CTACCCCCCTAGGCTACGGCGCAATTGAACCGTGGGTCACACGTACGCATGCATCTGGGATCAGCAGTTATTAAAGGCGCATGCTAGCTATCTACTGTGCACGACAGCGTCGCGCAAGCAAGGGGGATGGGCGGGGGCATACCCGGCTGTCACAAGTATGCACACAATGCAAGCGAGCACCGCATCGATCTGATCAGCAGCACTCCCCTTCCATCTATCAGGGCGTCGAGAGAGGTAGGTGCACGCATGATGGGGTAGAGCGTGTGCATGTGTCGCCTTGGCTCAAACGTCGCATCCGCCCTCAGCTGGCGAGAAGATCAAAACGACGGCCATGGCTCGCGTGGTTGGCTGTCAGCCCGCGCAGTCGTCCGGAGCAAAACCTGACGGCCAGGGATGCAAAAGCTGACGAGGGTGGGATTTGAACCCACGCCCTTACGGACTAGAAGGTTTCCTACCGGCACGCCCGGTTAGTCCTGAATCTAGCGCCTTAGACCGCTCGGCCACCTCGTCCTGATGACAAAAAGGGCAAAGAAAGGTCCCAATACCGGGAAAGGGACGAAAACTGTCGTACGCCGAAAGCTTTTCAGACGAATTTGGGCTCCCTGACCACGTGGACGAGGCGCCAACATCGCACAGGGGACGGGCCTGCATTATGCGCGTGACGCAGCCCTCGATGTGCTTGTAGGATGCATGATCTATCACACACGCACGCCCATCGACGGGGCAGCAGGTAGGCCCTGATGGGTCATACTTGGGCGGTGCCATGTACGTGCATGAGAGCTCAGCTGGAGGACAACAGTTTGTCCCTCGGCAGGGCCAGGAGATGCCATGATTGACAGCGAATGGAACCGACAAACGCGAGTGTTGTGACCAGGTGAGGCAAGCATTGGGCCAACCCACCAAGACATCTCACGCACATAAGGGCGGGGTCGATAACCCTGTTACGGCTAACCTGTCTAGTTCTGGCAGCGCCAATCTCTCTACATGTGCGCTCTCCTAGGCGCGCATTCGCAGACCACAGGCGCGCGATGCCTCCAGCACTCAGGACTCCAGGATTGGGAGGGGCCTGATTCCGTCACCTGCTGCGTGCGGTGCTTCCGCCTGCCATCATGCGGTGCCGGCGACCTTGTCGCACATCCTGACGCAGCTGCAAGGCGTGCGTGTGTGCTAGCTTGCGCACGGAATTGCCATGAGCCGGCCATCTGGACGTACGCCGGGAGGGCCGCATTGGCTGCTGACGGGATGGACGACGTCAGTGGCAGCTTGCTTGCTTGCCTGCTGTGAACAGTGCCTTTGGATGGGGCCTGTGGACTTGGCCTGTGGAAGACCCTCCCGCCACGCACGCGGCCAGGAGAGCTACGGAGCTGGCCGCAGACGCCACCTTTGTCCCTGGCGCTCGAAGTCCCTACTCACACAGGGCTACCCCCCTAGGCTACGGCGCAATTGAACCGTGGGTCACACGTACGCATGCATCTGGGATCAGCAGTTATTAAAGGCGCATGCTAGCTATCTACTGTGCACGACAGCGTCGCGCAAGCAAGGGGGATGGGCGGGGGCATACCCGGCTGTCACAAGTATGCACACAATGCAAGCGAGCACCGCATCGATCTGATCAGCAGCACTCCCCTTCCATCTATCAGGGCGTCGAGAGAGGTAGGTGCACGCATGATGGGGTAGAGCGTGTGCATGTGTCGCCTTGGCTCAAACGTCGCATCCGCCCTCAGCTGGCGAGAAGATCAAAACGACGGCCATGGCTCGCGTGGTTGGCTGTCAGCCCGCGCAGTCGTCCGGAGCAAAACCTGACGGCCAGGGATGCAAAAGCTGACGAGGGTGGGATTTGAACCCACGCCCTTACGGACTAGAAGGTTTCCTACCGGCACGCCCGGTTAGTCCTGAATCTAGCGCCTTAGACCGCTCGGCCACCTCGTCCTGATGACAAAAAGGGCAAAGAAAGGTCCCAATACCGGGAAAGGGACGAAAACTGTCGTACGCCGAAAGCTTTTCAGACGAATTTGGGCTCCCTGACCACGTGGACGAGGCGCCAACATCGCACAGGGGACGGGCCTGCATTATGCGCGTGACGCAGCCCTCGATGTGCTTGTAGGATGCATGATCTATCACACACGCACGCCCATCGACGGGGCAGCAGGTAGGCCCTGATGGGTCATACTTGGGCGGTGCCATGTACGTGCATGAGAGCTCAGCTGGAGGACAACAGTTTGTCCCTCGGCAGGGCCAGGAGATGCCATGATTGACAGCGAATGGAACCGACAAACGCGAGTGTTGTGACCAGGTGAGGCAAGCATTGGGCCAACCCACCAAGACATCTCACGCACATAAGGGCGGGGTCGATAACCCTGTTACGGCTAACCTGTCTAGTTCTGGCAGCGCCAATCTCTCTACATGTGCGCTCTCCTAGGCGCGCATTCGCAGACCACAGGCGCGCGATGCCTCCAGCACTCAGGACTCCAGGATTGGGAGGGGCCTGATTCCGTCACCTGCTGCGTGCGGTGCTTCCGCCTGCCATCATGCGGTGCCGGCGACCTTGTCGCACATCCTGACGCAGCTGCAAGGCGTGCGTGTGTGCTAGCTTGCGCACGGAATTGCCATGAGCCGGCCATCTGGACGTACGCCGGGAGGGCCGCATTGGCTGCTGACGGGATGGACGACGTCAGTGGCAGCTTGCTTGCTTGCTGCTGTGAACAGTGCCTTTGGATGGGGCCTGTGGACTTGGCCTGTGGAAGACCCTCCCGCCACGCACGCGGCCAGGAGAGCTACGGAGCTGGCCGCAGACGCCACCTTTGTCCCTGGCGCTCGAAGTCCCTACTCACACAGGGCTACCCCCCTAGGCTACGGCGCAATTGAACCGTGGGTCACACGTACGCATGCATCTGGGATCAGCAGTTATTAAAGGCGCATGCTAGCTATCTACTGTGCACGACAGCGTCGCGCAAGCAAGGGGGATGGGCGGGGGCATACCCGGCTGTCACAAGTATGCACACAATGCAAGCGAGCACCGCATCGATCTGATCAGCAGCACTCCCCTTCCATCTATCAGGGCGTCGAGAGAGGTAGGTGCACGCATGATGGGGTAGAGCGTGTGCATGTGTCGCCTTGGCTCAAACGTCGCATCCGCCCTCAGCTGGCGAGAAGATCAAAACGACGGCCATGGCTCGCGTGGTTGGCTGTCAGCCCGCGCAGTCGTCCGGAGCAAAACCTGACGGCCAGGGATGCAAAAGCTGACGAGGGTGGGATTTGAACCCACGCCCTTACGGACTAGAAGGTTTCCTACCGGCACGCCCGGTTAGTCCTGAATCTAGCGCCTTAGACCGCTCGGCCACCTCGTCCTGATGACAAAAAGGGCAAAGAAAGGTCCCAATACCGGGAAAGGGACGAAAACTGTCGTACGCCGAAAGCTTTTCAGACGAATTTGGGCTCCCTGACCACGTGGACGAGGCGCCAACATCGCACAGGGGACGGGCCTGCATTATGCGCGTGACGCAGCCCTCGATGTGCTTGTAGGATGCATGATCTATCACACACGCACGCCCATCGACGGGGCAGCAGGTAGGCCCTGATGGGTCATACTTGGGCGGTGCCATGTACGTGCATGAGAGCTCAGCTGGAGGACAACAGTTTGTCCCTCGGCAGGGCCAGGAGATGCCATGATTGACAGCGAATGGAACCGACAAACGCGAGTGTTGTGACCAGGTGAGGCAAGCATTGGGCCAACCCACCAAGACATCTCACGCACATAAGGGCGGGGTCGATAACCCTGTTACGGCTAACCTGTCTAGTTCTGGCAGCGCCAATCTCTCTACATGTGCGCTCTCCTAGGCGCGCATTCGCAGACCACAGGCGCGCGATGCCTCCAGCACGCAGGACTCCAGGATTGGGAGGGGCCTGATTCCGTCACCTGCTGCGTGCGGTGCTTCCGCCTGCCATCATGCGGTGCCGGCGACCTTGTCGCACATCCTGACGCAGCTGCAAGGCGTGCGTGTGTGCTAGCTTGCGCACGGAATTGCCATGAGCCGGCCATCTGGACGTACGCCGGGAGGGCCGCATTGGCTGCTGACGGGATGGACGACGTCAGTGGCAGCTTGCTTGCTTGCTGCCATGAACAGTGCCTTTGGATGGGGCCTGTGGACTTGGCCTGTGGAAGACCCTCCCGCCACGCACACGGCCAGGAGAGCTACGGAGCTGGCCGCAGACGCCACCTTTGTCCCTGGCGCTCGAAGTCCCTACTCACACAGGGCTACCCCCCTAGGCTACGGTGCAAGTAGCAAGCAAGGGGGATGGGGGGCATACCCGGCTGTCACAAGTATGCACACAATGCAAGCGAGCACCGCATCGATCTGATCAGCAGCACTCCCCTTCCATCTATCAGGGCGTCGAGAGAGGTAGGTGCACGCATGATGGGGTAGAGCGTGTGTCTCGACTGCGTGTAAATTACCCGTTAGCCTCCCCGATTGCATGCAACTTACCCGTGAGCCTCCCCGACTGCGTGCAACTTACCCGTGAGCCTCCCTGACTGCATGTAACTTACCTTTCAGCCACCCAGACTGCACGCCCCCCTATAACGCATTCCCTGCTACACGCGATCTACCTTCAGCCGCCCCCGATGAACATGAACATTTTGCTGTGGGCTAGCCCGCCAAGCCCGCAGCGGCAGCTATTGTTTCGACGAGGAGGGTACAATTACCACCGAGGGTTGCTAGCGCACAAGACAGCAGTGATGGATGGCGCTATGTCCAATGGAAGGGTTGCATGTTAAAGAGCCGCAGTTCAATTAATACTTATATTGTCGATCCCCCTCTCCACATATATGCTCAGACAGATCTTGCTTAGGTATATTTAAGCGAACTGCTGCTAATGAAGATTGCTAGATGGTAGGATCGTTGGGACATGGGGGCCGCGGGAGGTGCGATCTCCATCCTCCGTACAATAGGGAGCACAAGAAGCTTTAGAGCCTTGCGAAGCTCAGTCACCAACCAAGGGATATAGTATATACGCTATGGCCACTTACTAAGCAGCCTAGTTGATCAGTGGAATATTCCCTAACTTCCCAACTTCCAAGCTTTCTCGACCTCAGTTACTTCACGCTTGGCTCACCTTGCATCTCGAGGATTCCTGATAGTTGCTGCAACCTGACAGCACTGTTACAGTGAGCAGAGTATACCCCCTGCTGACGCAAGCAACAGGCGTTGACCATCAAAGTACCTGTTTCTTCTTCTGGACAAGCTTTAAGATTTGAAACAAAACTATAAGGGCTTAGGCAGGTGCGTCGCGTGCGTCATGGTTGAGTCTTGGTTCCCCAGCTAGGAGTGAAGGATAGTGCTTTCCACAGAGCTTGTTAGCATGTTTGTTTGACAAGTCATTGCTTTGCAGCTGGTGCATAGTTCGCTTACCAGTTCTTGGATTTCTTAGGAATTGCCCTTTCGTTGCGACACTTTAATGCTTCGCACACCAAACGTTTTGCGCTAAAGAATACGGAAGCACGTTCTGCAAGGGCCTAGCTGTTTCGTATGGGTTGAGCTGGCACGCAATAACGCGAAGCAACTGTTGCATGTCTGGGGCAAGAGCACTTTACTGCCAAAGCCTTAGACCCGAGGGAGTGTATTGAAGTATGTCTGCACCTCACATACCGCTGATGTTCTCAGGAAACTGGAGTGTTTGCCACATGGGTTGCATGACATCCTGCATGTCGCCCAAGGTGGCGGAGTTGGACAAGTCGCTGAAGACAGGAGACGAGCGCGCGGCGCTCTTAAAGCTCGCAGCTTGCCCGAAGCTATTGAGCTCGACGGCCGTACTGTCGTCAGCGGGAGTAACCCCATTACACGTCGCATGTCAGTCCAAACAAGTCAAGGTGGGTGTCGCTCAACAATTACGAGGTTGCTTGACCACCCTTCCCATAATCGACAACACTGAACCTATTAACTATTTCGCCTTCATTTGCGGCTTTTGCACCTCGTCTGTACACGCTCCCTTCCGGAGTTATTCTCTAACATTGACTTGCGACACCCGCTAAACCCCGCAGCTCGTACAACACATCGTCGCCTTCCTGCACTGCTCAGAGCTTGATGTTGTACGGCAGGCCCTGCTGCCGTACTGCCGCCGTGCGGCCGTACCGCTGCCTGGCTGCGTGACCGAGGGCGTACGAATGGCAGTTGACCTGCCCAATGCCAAAGGTAAGCGGCAACCGCACTACGAATACCCTATGCCACATGCTCTCCTCACGCTTCTCCTCACTCCCCTCCTCACTCCTCTCACTCCCGCGCGCCCCCTCCTCTCTTCACTCCTCCCTCCTCTCCGGTCCAGGCCAGACCCCGCTCATGTACGCCTGCTTCGCGGACTGTCCCGAGCTCGTCAAGATGCTGTTGGAAGAGGTGGGCGGAAGCGGGGAGGGAGGGCGGAAGCAGGGAGGGAGGGCGGAAGCGGGGAGGGAAAAAGAAGAATACCAATGTGTTGAATGAAAATGGCAAGCAAGACGACGAGCTCCTGGTGAATGGGAGCGGGGGGGGGGACGGAACAGAGGAGGGCGGACGAGAGTAGTGGAGGAGGGAAGATATGGAAAGGAGGGGCGTGGGTCAGCATTGGGCAAGCAAGTGAAAAGGGGTCGGCGCGGGAATGCCAACCAGCGGAGCTTTAGGGGTACCGGTAACCCTAGGCAATGAAGAGCAAAACACGTTAGCCCTCTCCCCTCAACGTCTCCCTTTCCAAACCACATGCTGCTCATGCAGGGTGCTGACCCATGGGTCGGCGACCGCTGCGGCGGCCGCACCCCCCTGCACTACGCAGCCATGTCTGGCAGCGGCGGCTGCATCGACACGCTGCTTCGACACCTGCCGCCCGCCAGTCTCAGCAGACAGGGAACCAGGTGGGGGTGGAGAGTGTGAATACGGTGTTGTGAAGGGGAAACGATCCGTTGCGCCGCCGCCGTTCTGTCCTTTCCTCAGCGCTTCTCCCCACTTCCGAACACCTGGATCCATCCTTCTTCTTCCTCAACCAACCCACCTCACCTGACCTATACAACACATGCATCCCTATATCCCGCCCCGCCCTCTCTATCAAGGGCATTCACCGCATCCGTTTACAACGCAAACAATTTCCTCTTCTTTTTATTGCTCCTCTTTCAAAGGCACGTCAACACCCCCTCCCGTGCCCCCCCTCCCGTGTTTCCGCTCCCCCCCCTGTCATGCAGGTACGTCAACGCCCCCTCCCGCTGCGGCCTCACGCCGCTGCACTACGCCGTGTACTTCGGTCGGCTGGGTGCGATGCGGGCTCTTCTAGAACAGGACGCGGCGCTCAACACCCCCTCAGGTGGGGACTGCATGCTGCCTGGTTGCTGCTGCCTGGTTGCTGCTGCCTGGTTGCTGCTGCCTGGTTGCTGCTGCCTGGTTGCTGCTGCCTGGTTGCTGCTGCCTGGTTGCTGCTGCCTGGTTGCTGCTGCCTGGTTGCTGCTGCCTGGTTGCTGCTGCCTGGTTGCTGCTGCCTGGTTGCTGCTGCCTGGTTGCTGCTGCCTGGTTGCTGCTGCCTGGTTGCTGCTGCCTGGTTGCTGCTGCCTGGTTGCTGCTGCCTGGTTGCTGCTGCCTGGTTGCTGCTGCCTGGTTGCTGCTGCCTGGTTGCTGCTGCCTGGTTGCTGCTGCCTGGTTGCTGCTGCCTGGTTGCTGCTGCCTGGTTGCTGCTGCCTGGTTGCTGCTGCCTGGTTGCTGCTGCCTGGTTGCTGCTGCCTGGTTGCTGCTGCCTGGTTGCTGCTGCCTGGTTGCTGCTGCCATGCCATGCACTTCCAACCCTATCCTAGTCCCCTGCTGTCCTTTGCATCCGCCAGTGTGGTGGTTCCTGTCGGCCGGGCTTCTTCGGATGTCGCGCACATTGCGGATCTAACTTAACACAGAGTAATCTCGTTCTCTTCTCCTTCCCCCGCGGCAACACTTGGTGGGGCCTGGTCACATGGTTGTCTTCATCCTCCGTCCCGTCCCTCTTGCCCCCTCTCGTCATGGCTTCTCCCCCTCTTTTCAGGCGCAGAGAGCTACGATGTGGGTGTGCGGGCGGGGCGCACGTGCGAGGCGGGGTCAGCCCCGCTGCACTTCGCGGCGGTGAGGGGCGACGTGGCCGCTGCGAGAGAGCTGCTGAGGGGATATGTGAGTTGGGGAGGGGGGGCCGGGCATGGGGGGCAGGGGCCATGGGGGGCAGGGGCCATGGGGGGCAGAGGCCAGGGGGGGCAGGGGGCAGGGGCCAGGGGGGGAGGGGGCCAGGGGGGGAGGCGCCAGGGGGGGCAGGGGCCAGGGGGGGGTAGGGGCCAGGGGGGAAAGGGGCCAGGGGGGGCAGGGGCCAGGGGGGTAGGGGCCAGGGGGGTAGGCGCCAGGGGGGGCAGGGGCCAGGGGGGGGGGAGGGGGCGTGGAGGAGCAGACGGGTAACGGGCAACGAAAAGGTAAAGGGGCGTGGAGAGCCGCTCCCACAAACCGCCCTTGTATGTGTTCCCGGCCCTTGCAGCCTAGTCCCAACTGCTCCACAAACTGCTCCACCAACCCCTGCACCAACCGCCCCTCCTCTCCCCTCCCCGGCACCAACTGCTCCACAAGCCCCTGCACCAACTGCTCCACAAACTGCTCCACCAACCCCTGCACCAACCGCCCCTCCTCTCCCCTCCCCGGCACCAACTGCTCCACCAACCCCTGCACCAACTGCTCCACAAACTGCTCCACCAACCCCTGCACCAACCGCCCCTCCCCTCCTCTCCCCTCCTCTCCCCTCCCCTGCAGTCCCAGCGGCTGTCCTGGGGCCAGGCGGTGGCGGACCCCCGCACCCTGGCGGATGCGGCGGGGCAGCTGCCCTGGCAGGTGGGCGGGCGGGTGGGGGGTGGGGTGGGGGGCGTCCTGCCTTCCTTGGGCTTCCTTCCTTGGGGTCATTGGGCGGGCGTCCTTCCTCGGGGCTCCAGGTATCTCCCTCCCTTGCACAAAAAACCCATTCCCCGGGTATCCCTCCCTCCTTCCCACCACCACCTCCCGCCTAACTGCGCCCCTCTATTCCCACTTTGCTTTGCCCTAACCCGTGGTTTTGGTATATCGCTGACCTCCACAGGGTTATCCTTCTTCTCACTCCCCCCCCCTTCCCTGGTGAAGCCATGTCATACTGCTCGTCAGTTACATCGTCAGTGTCGTATTATTTTTACCCCCCACCCCTCAGGTAGCAGTGGCTCACCACCCGGCGGACGTGCGGCTCGCAGCGCTGCTGCACCCCGCACAGCCCCTGGAGCGGGCTGTAGGGGGCGGAGGAGGCGGAGGAGGAGGGGGGGCCGGCATGGAGGAGGAGGAGGTGGATGAGCGGGGCGGTGGCGGTGGGGAGGGAGATGCAGCGGATGCAGCGGGGTTGGCAGCAGCGGTGTGGCGAGGAGGAGGAGGAGGAGGAGGGATGGGTCCGGCGGCATTGGCGGTGTTGGCCGCGGCGGCACTGCGGGAGAAGCTGCTTGGGGAAGTGAGACGTGCGGAGGAGGAGGAGGAGGAGGAGGGCGCTGAGCAGCAGCATTGCAGCCGTGGCGGCAGCGACAACTGCAGCGGCAGCGTGTGTGTAGTAGCCAGCGACCCTCAAGCGCTTGCATCTCCAGCGGAGGAGCAGGCGGCGGAGGAGAAAGCGGTGGCGGCTGCAGCAGAGGCAGAGGAGGAGGAGGAGGAGGAGGGTGCGTGTGGTGTTTGCTTCGCAGCGGCGGAGCTCGTGGCACCTGCGGGGTGCGGTCATGGGCTGTGCGGCGCTTGCGCCAGGCAGCTGTGTCGTACAGTAGGGGCGCGGCGGCCGCTGCTGTGCCCCTTCTGCAGGCAGCCGGTGGCGGGACTGGTGCCGTACGACAACTGCAAGAGAAGGCAAACAGTACGACAAGCAGTACGACAACAGCGGTAGCAGCGGCGGCACTACCAAGACAACAGCCAGTAGCGGCAAGGGCAGGTTCGCCACCGCTATATGATGAGAGTAGTTGGAGTAGAAGCAGTATATAGTGTGCAGTGCGTAGTTTGGCTGGTGCGTAGGCTGGCGCGTAGGGGAACCAGCAGCAGCACAGTAGGGTTCAAGCTGCCATAGCTCCCATTGGCTCATCCCGTATAAGCGCGTCTCGGTTTTTGTGTGCTGCCAGCTATTTATGATAAGTTCGATATTCTTTTTGACGTCTTGGCCGACGACGTCCAAAACGCTGCAAAGATAAAACCTGTGTGTTGTTCTGTTATAGGCAACCCACCGGTGTGAGTGAGTTTTTATGTGTTTTGTCTGCCGTATGCGCAACAAGCTGTGGCCCTAGTTGTAGCCGATTGGCGGTTGCGGCGGTTGCGACATGTACGGAAATTGTACTTCAGTTGTACGTCAGCAAGGTCACGACGGTCCGACGGGACAGGGTCGGCAGGCGCTTACCTCCCATAAATTGTGCGCAGTTGGGGATTTGCTCTTCAAAAGCGAAGACGGCTGCTGTGGCTGCTGCGGTCTCTCCTGCGGTTGGGGCTTTGCTCTTCAGAAAGCAAAGACGGCTGCTGTCTCTCCTGCGTTTGATAGGGGCAGTTGGGGCTTTGCTACTGTCTCCTTGCGTTCAGAAGTCGACCGCAACCCGGCTGCATGTTTGATTTGTTTGTCACAAGTCGTTTATGTGTCATAATTAATATAGATTGCGGTCGGTATGTCTTTTCACGTTAAAACATTCTTCACTTTCATGTGTATCTCAGACTTTCACGTCTGCCATATACTGATATTATCTAAAAACACAAAGTTTAATGGCGGATGGAAACCCTCAGAGAAACAGGTGCATGGACGGGCGAGGTATGGACGAGCTGTTGGGTTGGTTCCTGTGTGCTCTTACTCGGCTGGGATGTGAACCCCCGGGGTGCGGAATCGGCCGTGCATGGACGTGTCAGTGGGACGTGGCGACACCTGTCAGTGGTGGTTGGGATGTTCGGGGCACGAAGCAGCGCGACTGTAGTAGTAGCAGGGTGCGCAATGGGGCATGGCACTTTACAAGGCAAGGCTGAGCCGTGGGCCGGTGTGAAGAGGTGTGGTGGAATGTGGTTGCCGGTAGCTAGTACGGAGGTGGTTAATACCGGTGGTTCAGGCTTCAGGGGGTGATAGGGCGTGTCCTCAGCAGCAGGACCGCAGTACATGCGCTGCTGCTGCTTGGCCCCTGGGGGGTCGCAATTGTGGCAACATTACTTAAGTGTAGTCACGTGTGGCGACGCTGATAGTCACAAAAGTGGGCTTGTGTGGAATGTGACCCATGGGTCACGTACTAGGCCATGCTCTATCCTACCTTTTTTGGGAAGTGTGGACTGACCTTCTGACGTGTACGTCGAAACGCAGGGAGGTAAGGTCTGAAGGCGCGCAGAAAGTATGCATACAGGTCCTAACTGAGGTTGATTGTGGCGTGTATCGTTGTTTGGAGGTTATTTGGTAGCGTACATGCGCTGTACTGCGGTTTAGTAGGATCCAATCCACCCCGGCTAATGGACGGTAGTGTGGCTAGTATTATTAGCTGTATTGGTATCTCGTCAACCTTCGTTGCCATGGCTGTTTGAAAAAGCCATGTTACAAATTACCAAGGCTGCCGGTGGAAAACGGCTGATAATTCCTCACGCAACCATATCCTTGCGTGTTACTACTGGAAAGGCTGAAATACGGTGCAACCTCTTTTAGCTCCCTAAGGATCCTTAATGGCCGGCTGCAGGTTGGTTGAAGTCTGGCAGAGGTCGTGTCTGTTGGCTGGGATGGGCCAACATCCCTGCACGTTTTCCAAGAATGCCTCATAGCTGTATAGCTACCTCGTATGTGTGTGTTACATCGTACATTAGCTCCATGGCGTGTATGTATTGAAGCCCTGTGCCGTACAAGTGGTGTGCTCTCGTACGTACGAAGGAACCTGAGGAGGTACCTGACGTGCTTGCCTGCTACCAATATTGCAGCGCTGTAAGAGTGACGGATTGTAAATAAACTTGACGCAATTCCGCATATCTGCCACACCGTGATCGAGTAAAAACGAGCTGTCACGGCTTGCATCATCAACTTGCTCAAACATCCGCACCACTTCAACCCCCTTCCACGACTCTCGCCCCTCACAACCGTACTCCTCGCTACGCACTGCCCGCCGGTCTTGGGAACAAAGCTGCTGTCACCGCTGGCCTCCTGCCCCCTCCCCATGGTGAAGCCGTGTCACACAGCTTGTCGGTTTCCTCCGTGTACGGTCATGCAGGCGGCAGGCAGGTGCCGGGCATACATATATGTGGCTATAAGGGGCACGACACCGTGGAAATCATGCACCAAGGGCATCGCATGGGGCTCCGGTCCACCGGGAGATGACCCGCCATCTTGCATCCATCCTCTTCTCCATTCCCTGCTCCATCCTTTGCTTCGTGCTGCTGCTGCTGCTGCTTCGGTAGCGAACTTCTGAACGAATGATGGTTGCAGGGCTGCTGTGTGATGGCTGCTGCTCACCATACGCGGTTCCGCTGCTCATGTGCTCACTTGCGGACACGGCAGCCCACCTGCCGTGGGGCGGAGACGTGGGGCGGGGCAGCAGGGAACGTTTAAGGGAACCGGAGTCAGCGGAAAAAGGAAGTCAGCGGTGTTGGCAAAGCGGGAGGCTGACGAGTGGCAACCATTGAGGGAACCATTGTAACGGTCATTCATTCATTCAGAGAGGGCAAGAGCGGCCAGCAGGCAGGCGCCCATTGCTAGGCCAGCTGAGCCACCCATGTGAACCCCTCTCCCCTATCCCCCACCTACCTGCGCAGTGCTCTTCCCCATCAGTGTGGGGTTATATCATTCACACACACACACACACACACACATCTGACCAGCTATTCTCTTAGCAAACCTTCTCTACCCCTCCTCCCTCCCTCCTTCCCGCCCCCACCTGCGCCCTGCTCTCCCCCGTCAGTGTGGGGTTATCACACAGCTTCCCCACGTCCTGGCTCCCAATCAGCGCATCCTCCCACACGCTCTCCGCCAGATCTGCGCCCTCAAACTGCGCCCCTGTCATAGCGGGTGTAACCGTGTGTAGCAATGGCCAGATTACTCGGAGCGCAAGTTGTTTTGTACAAGTGCTGGTACGACGCAAGTAGGAAACGGTACATCCTGGGTGTGTCAAAAAGTATGGCTTTCTCTTTGCAGTGCATAGGGCTGCCAGCCAGCCATGCTGCTCATGACAAGGGGCCACTGTAGCCGTCCTTCATTCATCTAAAGCACACTCGTTCATATCCACCTAAATTGCATCCATCCATTCATTCATTCAATCATCTACTTGCAATTACTCACCCATCTCGCTCATCTCGCCCCCCCCCTCCCCCCTCCCGTCAGTGCTCGTCAGTTGCATCGTCAGTGTCTCATTATTTTTTACCCCCCCCCCTCCCCTCCCCACCTGTGACTACCGTGTTGATGAACCGCACGCCCCGCAGGTTGGCGCCGCTGAAGTCCACTCGGTCCACAACCGCATTGGTCAGGTCCGCCCCCGCCATGTTGACGTTGACCGCATAGGCCTGGGGGGGAGGGGTGGAGTGGGGTGTGGGGGTCAGCGGGGGGGGGCAGCGGGGTAGATCCAGGATGGGTGCTGCAGGTGAGGACGGTGCAGGGATAGGTCGATGTGTGTATGTCGTATGCACGGCCCGGTATCTCGTATGTACGGCCAAACACCCTCCAACCAACGGTATGCCGTACGTACGGGGGCCCTATCCCACCGTCATTGTCTGTACGGCATCGTACGGCAGTACAGCACGCCCCGCAGTGGTATTACAGCCGTACGCACACCTTTGTGAGTACGGCCTCCTGCAGGTTGGCTCCCTGCATGTCTGCCTCCGCCAGCAGCGCCCCCGCCAGCACCCGCCCGTGCAGGTCGGCCCCGCGGTAGGAGCACTGGCGCAGGTCCAGCAGCTTGTCGGACACGGCGTTGGCCTTCGGGGCAGGGGGGAAGGGAAGGGGGCAGGGGATGGGGAATTTCCTTTTCGTGCACTCTGCCTCTGACCCCTCCTGCTTCCTTTGCCCTTTATCTAGTTGTTGCACCTCTCCACTACCGGTACTATCTTCACCCCCTCCCTGCAGTGCCCCCTCCCTGCAGTGCCCCCTCCCTGCAGTGCCCCCTCCCTGCAGTGCCCCCCCCTGCTCACCTGCCCAATGGTGTTGCCCACATACCCGCGCTCGCAGCGGTGCGGGTCTGCGGGTGTTCGGGCAGCAGCGGGAGCGAGGAGGCGGAGGGGCGGAGGTTAGGGGAAGGGCAGCCGAGGGGCGGAGGTTAGGGGAAGGGCAGCCGAGGGGCGGAGGTTAGGGGAAGGGCAGCCGAGGGGCGGAGGTTAGGGGAAGGGCAGCCGAGGGGCGGAGGTTAGGGGAAGGGCAGCCGAGGGGCGGAGGTTAGGGGAAGGGCAGCCGAGGGGCGGAGGTTAGGGGAAGGGCAGCCGAGGGGCGGAGGTTAGGGGAAGGGCAGCCGAGGGGCGGAGGTTAGGGGAAGGGCAGCCGAGGGGCGGAGGTTAGGGGAAGGGCAGCTCGGTTGGGCTGACGGGGGTTGTTAGGGAAAGGGCAGCAGCCGCACCCCAGCGACTGCGGTGCTGTGTCCGCAGCAACATCCTCGCTCTCCGCCCCTACCGCTACCCCCCCCTGAATATGGAATTGGGACTCCATTGCTAACTTTTTTATTTAACCCCCCTGGAACTCTTTCTTTCTCCCCTGTCCCTGTCCCCCAGATCCCACCGTTGTCAATGGGAGGCAGTCGGAACTCAGCTAGCGCCAGCTGCGCCCCCAGCAGCTGAGCGGCTAGGCAGCCTAGCAGGCTGGCAGCAGCGGTGGTAGCGGCAGGGGCAGAGAAGGCGGCGGAGGTTGTAGAGGGTGAGCGTTGCGCTGCAGGAGGGAAGGAGGGAGGGCGAGAGTCGGGAGGAAGGACTGAGAGGCCACGGGTGCTGAAGGTCCTGGATGGGTTAGGTGAAGTTGAAAGTGTCATGGAGCAACATGGTGGCATGGCAGCATATGACCAACCGCGATGAGGACGCCAATAAGAGAAGCATATGTGGTAAAATTTCGGTTTCCAAGAAGAGCGGTGGAGCCCTCGAGCAAAGCCACTAATGGTCGCGTAAGCTTGCATAACATCAGCCACCCTGAGGATGCATAGTCGCGATGGGTAGTCTAAATATCTAAGCTTGCTTAGGATGTTCCGGATGCTCCTCGAGTCGTCTCGGTGTGCAAGGCCATTCCAAAGTCGACTTTCCCGCACCATAGATCCTGCTCGCGGCTCACCTCGGCAGGTTACACCAACTATAGCCCTCCTAGTGAAAGGAGCCGGTCGCTTTGCAACGACAGTGGGACGCATTTTAAGAGACATATTTGCTCGAGCGTCGCTAACAAGCTACTGCTGGTTTCCAACGGATAACAAGGCTAAGTAACACAGCATAGATAACGCAATATAAATCGCTTGAAGTATGCGGACAAGCGTGACGTCCGGAGGATCGACGACTTGTGTGGTTGAGGCACGCAAGCATACCGTAACCGACGACAATGCACAAGGCCCAACATGCAAAACACAGTTGCATACGGCTGCAAATAATCGGGATAACGCACTAGGGCTACTATCAATAGGTCTGGTATTCGGACAGTCGGCAAGAGACAACATCCATCCAGCGCCCATTGTTCCTATCGAAAGCAACCCAAATTTGCAGCTTCTACCGCCATACTCCATTACTCGTGAAAGCAAAAAGGCGGAAAGGAGACCGCACACAAAACAAGCCCAGTGCCCCAGTCTGTTCAAGGTGCCATCCTAACCATCTCTGCAAAAAGTCCAGGAAATTGCGAGCCTACAGACATACCTACAAGCGCAGCCGGCAGCCTCCAGTAATACTCTCGAAAATAGCTTCAGCTATACTGGTACTTCACCTGCCCTATGTTGGCTCTGTACACACGCGGCCAGTTATTTTAACACACGCATTTCTCAATCAGACAGCCCTGTGTGCAGACGCGTCTGTCAGTCAACATCTCATCGACCCACAGCAGGGGTCACGCAACGCACGCCCGCCTCCAACACCGCCTCCAACACCCGACTCCCGCTCTTGCGCTCTCCACTGCTGCTACAGCCTCTCACTTGCTCCCGCGGCACAGCCCCCCACCCAACGCTTCCCAAAGCACGCAGCTCTCCTCAAAACGACCGCCCCCAATGATGGCTGGTTGGCTTTCTCTTTGCACCCTACCCCACTGCTTTTGCTCCTGTCCCGGCACCCCCTCCCCTTACTGCTAGCCACGTATCGTTCACAGCACGCTACATCCCCTTTCTTCACCGTTCCCCCCACTGCATGTGCTCCTCCTGTTGCACCCCCTCCCCCTACTGTTCGTTGCAAACCATGTATTATGTAGCCTTCTCACACGATAACTTCGTTGTTCCCTCTTTATCCCCCTACTTGGCCCCTCTTCATCTCCCCCATTACTTTCCGGTACCCTACGGTCAGGGTCAGTGTTTCCGCGGCTCAGTTTATCCAATCCCCCATTACTGCTTGAGTTCCTGCTTGGTCCTCATGATGAAGCTCTTCATCGCCTCATGGCCCGCATCCGTCGCCACGAAACGCATCTTGGCGCCATCCTCCCACAGCAGCGTCCCCGCCGAGCGAGCATACGACACAGCTCTGTCGTACAATTCCCGGCTCTCCATATTTTCGTACAGTACGGCAGCCTCGGCGCGCAGGCGGTTCATGGCGGCCTCCCACAGCCGGATCTGGTCGGATACAACCTGTGTGTGTATGTGGGAGGAGGGGGACGGGTGTGTATTGCCGCGGAAACACTGAGCCGAACCGTAGTATACCGGAGGTGGGGATGCTACCGCTAGAGTACATGTGTGTGGCAGGGATCTGTGCGGCCAACTGGCCATCCCCCAGGCCTCGTCCTCCTCCTCCTCGCCTCCCCTCCCCCAAGGTTGTCTCGGCTTTCCACTGCATTGCATCCTTGATCCATCTTTCCCCTGCCCCCCACAACCCACCTCCGGCACCACCGGCGACCTGGACGCGACGGAGGGGTGCGGGCGGGCGGCTAGATAGCTCACCAGCTCCTCCGCGGAGATACCCCTGCAGGGGGGGAAAGCGGGAGGGGGGGGCAATAGATGATAAGTGCAGCAACGGAGTCTCAAATCCAAATCCCGACGGAGGGGGGGAGCGGGAGGGGGAATGGGGGAGTATTAGATTGGAGGAAAGTACTGTAGGCAACCCTAAGACATGGCTGGCTTTACCCTGGGGTGCAGCATAGGGGGGTTCCCGGCGGGAGTCAGGAGGGGAGTGGGACATAGCGCCGATACCCCCACCCCTGTCAACTGCCAACCCTCCAAAAGCCAAACCCCCACCTGCCCCCCCCTCCCAACCCTCCCCCTCCCCACCTCGCCAGCGCCCCCATCACGCTGTCCCTCCTCAGCGCCCCCACGAACAGGTTTGGCAGCAGCGCCTCGCGCTTCACGAACAGCTCCAACACCGCGATGGCAACCGGGGAGCGGGTGTAGGCGTACACCTGGACCCAGGGAGGGGGGGGGAGGGGCCGGGGAAGTGGGGGCGTGGAAAGGGGAGGAGATGTGAGCTCTACTCTCAAACCACACAGCTCCACCCGCTAATCTTGCCTTGACTAAACTTGAGGCTTCAGTTGAAGCGGTTTCGGTTGCTCCCTGACCTCCCTCTCCCGCATCACCACCCCAACATCACCCCATCACCCCCCCCGTGTGCAACTTGAGCAACTTGTATCATTATCACACCACACTTTGGAATTTCTTTCCCCCCCCCCCCCGGTGTGCAACCCCGCCACCTACCCGGTAGTTGCTCTCCACAATGACATGCGCGTCGCCGCCAGCACACTCCGAAGACAAAACACCACCGCCCGCCCCTGTCGTACCTCCCCCAACCCCACCCCCATCCGCCGTGCCACCCCCACCAACTCCCCCTCCCCCCGGCCCTCCCCCCATGCCAGCCAGCCCGCCCCCTCCGCCCCCTCCGCCCCCGCACAGCGAGGAGGCGAGGTGGGTTGGGCTGTAGTACAGCTCGCCGTCGGGGGCCTGAGGGGGGTGGGGAGGGAGGAGGAGGAGGGATGCGGGAAGGAGTCCACACATCAGGATTACGCACACATCTCCCGTGGAGGTTTCGTGGGAACAGCAGCGAATCTCGTTCCGACATTCCAGTACATTCTAACTCGCGGCCAGTTTTCGTAACACACCCTCCCTCCCCCCTTCCCTGCCACACCCTAGCCGCCCACACGCACACGTCACACCCTCCCTCCCCCCCACTTCGTCACACCCTCCCTCCCCCCTTCCCTGCCACACCCTAGCCGCCCACACGCACACGTCACACCCTCCCTCCCCCCCACTTCGTCACACCCTCCCTCCCCCCCACTTCGTCACACCCTCCCTCCCCCCCACTTCGTCACACCCTCCCTCCCCCCCACTTCGTCACACCCTCCCTCCCCCCCACTTCGTCACACCCTCCCTCCCCCCCACTTCGTCACACCCTCCCTCCCCCCCACTTCGTCACACCCTCCCTCCCCCCCACTTCGTCACACCCTCCCTCCCCCCCACTTCGTCACACCCTCCCTCCCCCCCACTTCGTCACACCCTCCCTCCCCCCCACTTCGTCACACCCTCCCTCCCCCCCACTTCGTCACACCCTCCCTCCCCCCCACTTCGTCACACCCTCCCTCCCCCCCACTTCGTCACACCCTCCCTCCCCCCCACTTCGTCACACCCTCCCTCCCTCCACCTGGTCCCCCCTCCGCTTATCATTTACTTCCTCCCCTCTTTCCCCCCCCCACCCTCACCTGCCACACCGCCAGCAGCCCCAGCTGGCACAGCTGCGCCGCCAGCCGCTGCTCTCCCGCCCCCCGCAGCTGCCCCCACCCGCACGGCTGCCCCACCCGCCGGAAACCCAGCTGCAGCAGGAAGGAGAGCGTGGAGGACAGCTCCTCGCCGGAACTGCGGTGGGGGGGGGCCGGGCGGGGTGGGAAACACACATGAGAAGAAATGAAAAGGAGGTCAGAAAAGGAGAAGGCCCAAGCCGTAGGAATAAGAGAGAAGATGGCATGGAGAGGGAAGGCGAGGGGCGGTTGCGGAATGATGCGCGAGAGGAAAGGCAGGGCTCCTGGCAGCCGGGGGCCCCGCCCTCACGGGCTGGCTCACATGTGTTGCAAACCATGACGACGCCTTGCACACAGTTAGTTAGTTCGTTCTTTTCCCGCCTCTCTCCCCCCCCCTCTTCCCTCCTCCCCTCCACCCCCCCTCACTCACGCCGCCTCCGCCCCCCCCCTCCAACTCACGCCGCCTCCGCCCCGCTGATGTACTCCCGCAGTACCGCCCACAGCTGCCGCTCCCCCGACTGCAACAGGAACTGGAAACCCCGCTGCGTCACCGCAAGACCACCTCCTCCTCCTCCACCTCCACCTCCGCCTCCTCGCCAGCCGCCTGGCCCTGTTGCCGCCGCCCGGTTGGCGCCTGCTGGAGCCAGCAGGCCCGCGTCAAGGAGGAGGGAGCGGATGTCCAGATCAGGACACCCGCGAGCCTGAGGAGGAGGAGGAGGAGGGTGGCGGTGGTGGTGGTAGGGAGGGGGAAGATAGGAAGTTGAAAGGGAGCCGGGTTAGGTACATTACGTCTGGTACGGTACGGCGCCAGCCCAGATGCTCACACGAGACTGTCCTTGTCAAAACCCTGCCACGGCCCCCTCCAGAGCCCAGTTGCTGCACTTGTCAGTTACCGGTATTTCTTCCCACCTCTCCCACTTCTTCGTCTTCGCCCTCCACCCCCTCCCCCCTCCTCACCCTCAGCAGCTGCCGTACCCTCACCCCCCCCCCCCTCCTCCTCCGGTCTCGGTAGGGAATACTAACCAACCCTTTGTCTTGTGGCACCCAGCCAACTCCTACCCCCATTGTTTTGCCCTAACTTGTGGTCTCCTATGGTTTGATATGGTCTTTGACCCCCCCCTCCTCACCCTCAGCAGCCCCGGCAGCCCCGGCGGGCTCCTGCTGGCCCCCAGCAGGAACAGCTGCAGCGCCTCCCACTGCCGCCCCGCCCACTCCGCCAGCTGCTCGCGAGGGGGGGCGGTGAGCGAGGCGGCGGGGGGCACCTGGCCGCCCAGCAGCTGGGAACTGGGGGGAGGGGCAAATTGGACCAAATGAAGCCATAACATAACAACATGGAGGGCAAAAAAGAAAAAAACAGGGATTCACATGACAGTTGGAGCTGGGAACTGGGGGGGTGAGGAAGAAAGAGGTAACTGACTAGCTGTGTACGGCCAGGCTTAAACAACGAAGAGGGAGGAGGGTGGTGGTAGCTGGTAGTGGGTGGTAGTAGCGCAGGGCGATGACCCCACAACCCCGCTCTCACATCCCCGCTCTCGTACGCACCCTTCCATGCACCCCCCATCCTGCACCCCCTCCCTCCCTCCCTCCCTCCCCCTCCCCACTCCCCTCCTCCTCACCCGCTGCACACCACCCGCTGCAGCTGCGCCCTGAAGTCCGCATGCAGGGCCCACACAGGGACCCCCGCCACCCGGCCTCCCGTACCACTGCCGCCTCCTGCCGTACCACCTGCCGTACCACCACCAACACCGCCTCCCACCGCCACCGTCGTCCAGCCCTTCTGCTGCTGTCCCCCCTGCTGTCCCTGTCCCTGGCCCCCAGGTTGTTGTTGATGTTGGTGTTGTTGTTGTTGGAGCATGAGCACGTCCAGTCCCTGGAGTGCGGCCAGGGCTGCTCGGTGGGCTGAGGTGCAGGAGCGGCGGCACCAGCTGTCCAGGTAGTCTGGGGGTGGGGGAAAGGGGGGGGGGAGCAGGGGGGAAAGGGGGGGGAGCAGGGGGGAAAGGGGGGGGAGTTATAGATATGTTCATTAACGGAAGGGGGGGAGGGGTTGCGTGAAGAGGAAGTACGGGTGGAGTAGGGGAGTGGTGGGAAAGAGGAGGAGGAAGAAGGAGAAGGCGATACCCAGCTGTGGACAGGCAGGCGGAGTTGGGAGTGTGGGGGTGGGTGTAGAGAGGAAATGCATGCGGGAACGGTGGGACCTTTTGAAGCCATGTGCCTGGTCCCTGTTCCCCCGTCCTGTCCCTCCTCGGACCCTCCCCGGAGCAGCCCGCACCCGCTGGGAAGGGCCCCGGCAGGAAGAGCAGCCGCATGACGTACAGTTGCGCCAGCGGGGGCAGGTTTCGGAACACAGCCAGACTTGTCCAGGGGCTGCGGTACAGCAGCGTTCGCTTGTCGGGGCTGAGACCCGAGATGTAAGCTGTGAAATCCATGTTCAGAAAGGCGCTGCAAGCTGGAGTATGTGTAATGGACTGATTAGATGGACAGCGTTCGGGGTTGACTTGGCGATTATTTAGGGCAGGAGAGGCGGAGATGGCGCCGATACTGCGCCGGAGGATGCGAGACGGGTGGGCTGCGATAGGCTGCGCTACGTTGCAAGGTAGAGTTCAATTGTGCTATGTGATCTACGCGTTGCTAAGGAGGAAGCGAGCCCGATCAACGTATGCGGCTTGCAGCCAAGGCAACTACGCACTCATGGGGGACAGACTATGAACGTTTTTGCATTGTCTTTCCTGTAAATGGCACCAATGGCGCATTTAAGCATTTCGCATCCTTAACTAGTAGATTGCAAGTAGTTGGAGACACGATGTGGCTTCCACTGCAGGTGCATTTGCCCTTTCGCCTTGGTCCTTTTGTTTACGCTAGCACCAAATCCTGATCGCAACACGTACGGCCAGTATGAACAGCATCGACATGTCTCGCCAACCGCTCCTGCTCCTCGGCCACGCTGTACGGACGCCTTCCAGAAGATTTAAGCGACTAACGTTGCACACCCAACGTAACAAAAGTAGCCTTGAAGCTCCATCTACGCTCCATATCCGCTCAAGATTCGACCCGACGGCTTTCCCACAAGGGTTTCGGTTGCCCACTTGCATCCTTCCTTGGGAATAGCAAATTGTAACACCTCCTTGTCCCGCGACGTTGTAGAGTTTTGGTTGTGGCTACCGAATGCTCTGGATTGCTGCAGCTGGGATCGTAGCTTTGGAAGCAAGGCGGAGGGCAAGGCAGAGGGTGCGAGTGAGTTTGCAACGCTGAGCATCGCTTGCAACCAGGTCGCCCTTTAGCAGAGCGCCAAGCCTACCTCGCTATACATCCTGTATGAGGATGGGACCTTTTTAACGGACGATGCCCATGCACTCGACTCCTGTCCTAACTGTTTCGCTGCCTTGATTTCAGGCCGGGCTGCCTAGCGTTGGCACATTCAGTGAAGAAGCGCTGCGCTGTCCAGTGTTTAGCGGGCAGACGGCAATTCGCCGGGTATCCTCGGCACATGATTCGAGGACGCTCGATGAGCTCACGCAGTTAAAGGAAATCCTCGTTTGCCTTGCCCCAACTCACGTTGATGATTTCATAGGTTCTGAAACTGTTCGGTCAGCGCTGTTCCGTGTGGAAGATGCGCTGCCATGGTTAGTCCGCATTCTGCAGGTGAGGCTTCCACGTCTGTGATGCGTTGAAATCAATTACTGCGGAAGCACGACATTAATCGGCAAGGAGACTAGAGGCACCGCTTTCCGACTGATCCTGAGCTAACTTAACCTTTTCCACGGTACGTTGCAGACATGCGAGGATTCCCGAGCCCTGATTGAGGCGGCTGAAATACTGGTAAGCATTCAGTTCCGCATAGAACAAACCACTAGCTTTGCGCGTGAAACTCACGTCCTGAACTTACCTAACTTGGATCTTTACCTCCTCTACACCTCCCTTTATCACCTCCCCTCATCACCTCCCCTCATCACCTCCCCTCGTCACCTCCCCTAACCATATATGGCTTTTCAACCCCCAGGCCCAGCTGTCGCCCTCCCGTCTCAGCCTGCAGCCAGCCATCTGCAAGGCGGGTGCCGTACAATCGCTGCTACGGCTGTTAGCATCGGTACGACATTCGCCGCCACCGCAGCAGCATGGGGTGCAGCAGCAGCAAAAGCAGCAGAGCCGTTGCTTCATTGACGGCAACTGCGCCCAGCAGGACTACGCTGAAGCAGATAGGGTTGTCCCATTATCCGCCAGTGTTGTTTCCGCCCCTGCGTTGGCTGCCGCCCTTCGCACGTTGGTTAACCTAACCAGTGACCCACGGGTCAACAGAGATGCCGGTGGCGGCATGGGCGCTCCAACTGTAGCAGCAGCTGTACGGCAGGCGGTCTTGCAGGACGAGGCAGCCATGGAGGGGCTGCTACAGCTGCTGCTGCTACAACCGTACGAGAAGGAGGCCAGGGATGTGGAAGGAGGAGGAGGAGTTAGCGACGTGGAGTGGCAGCTGGCAAGTCTCGCCGCTTGGCTGGTAGCACATTTGGCTAGCAAGCCGTACGGACAGCAGATGCTCGTGCGTGAGTACGGCATCGTACCGGTCCTCGTACGGCTCGTACAGAATGGGCGGTTGGCCTGCGAGGAAGCCGCGGCAGCTGCAGCAGCAGCGCAGCGCGTCGTCTCATCCCGTACGACTACGGGAAGCGTACTACCAACCGCTTCCGTACTTCCGTACTTTTACCGTTTGTCTGCCGTACAGTACGGTCTGATGGCGCTGGTGAATTTGACGTACGAGGACGCGGGGGCCCAGTGGGCGGTAGCGGCTGCGGGGGCTCTGCGGGAGCTGGAGTTGCTGCTGCGACCCATGGGTCATGCTGACGGTGAATGTTGTGATGGCGGTGGTGGCTGTTTTGATGATGGGAGTGGGGACGGCGGAGGTATGCAAGGGCCGCAGCAGCAGCAGGCGGATAAGTGCGATGGGCCGCCGCCGCCGCCGCAGCAGCAGCAGCAATTGTGGCGGTATGGCAATGCTAGCGGCACCGGCGGCGGTGGTGGTTGTGGTGGCGGTGGTGCAGCAACGGGTGTGCTGCGTCTCTCCGTGTGGTTGCTGGCCCACCTTTCTTCCTGCGACTCGCGAGTCAAGGTGGGTTGATGGGCTGCTTTGGATGGACAGCGAGCAGATGGGGTTCAAGGGCTGTGTCGAGGGAAGACAACACTATCCAATAGCTAAGCTCCGGTTATCACACGTACGAGTGTTGGGGAAACCCTTGCGACTGAATCCCGTACCGGTACCAAATCCCGTACCGGTCCCAAATCCTGTACCGGTCCCAAATCCTGTACCGGTCCCAAATCCTGTACCGGTCCCAAATCCTGTACCGGTCCCAAATCCTGTACCGGTCCCAAATCCTGTACCGGTACCGGCATGGAATGAGCCTTCAACTCCCAACAAGTCCCAACGGTGCTGTTCCCGCGCAGGCCGCCATCTTGGACCCCTCCCACGGCTTCCTGCCCGTCCTCGTGACCCTACTAACAGCCGCACCGCACCCTCAGCCGCAGCTGGAATCGTGTCAGCAGCATCGGCGCCAGCAGCACCAGCAGTACCACCAGCAACAGCATGGCGGAGATCAGCAGCTTATGGAGCAGCAGCAGCAGCACCACCATCAGCTCACACAGCAGCATGAAAAGGGCTTGGTTGTCGTACGACAACAACAGGAGGAGGAGGAGGAGGCAATTACTGCCGTACAACAGTACGCAGCGATGGCGCTCGTCAACCTCACGTGCGGTGCCGCCTCCGCCAAGGTAGCTGTGGCGGCGGCAGCGGACTGGGGCCGAGTGGCGGAGCTTCTCCACAGGCTGGCAACTGATTGCGGTTGCAGTGACGGTTACGGCCGCGGCAACAGCAGCGGCAACGGATCGGTATCGGCAGTTACAGGAACAGGAAGAGGAGCAGGATCTGAGCTGCTGCTCTATATCGTGTGGCTGCTGCAGCATTTGTCACTGTCACCCCTCGCCGCCTCGTTGATTGACCCACGGGTCGTTCCACCCCTTGTGGCGCTGCTCGCCGCGCCCGATCCGCACGTTCGGTTGCGTGCTACTGCCGCGCTGGGGGCTCTCGCCTCCGTCTCCAACCCCAACCCCAACCCCGCCCCTCCAACATCCGTTACCTCCTCCTTCACCTCCTCAGCCGCTTGTACGACAGCTGCTGTTACTGCCTCGAGCAGCACTGCTACTGCCGTACAACACTGCCGGAGCACTGCTACTGCCAGTAGTGCTACTGCCGTACAAGATCTCGGCGAGGAACGCCAGCAGGGTAAGGTTAAGGAGAAGGAGGAGCTAAGGCCGGTGTCCCACCGGGCTGCATTTTTGGAGGCGGACGGCATTCGGAGGCTGCTGGCGGCGGCGGCGGCAGAACGCGATCCGCAGGTGTTAGTGTACGGCATGTTGACCCTGTCGTCTGTCGTCGGCGAGAATGACGTGGCGTCGGCGGTTGAAGCGGTTGCTGGCGGCGCATTGGGGATCCTGGAGGGGGTTCTGGTGGCGGCGACGGGAGCGACGGGGCCTGCTGGCCATAGCTGCTACGGCCCTGGTGGCCAGGCAGCGTGCCTCATTGCTGCCGCAGAAGCGCTTGAGGTGCGGCTTGGAATATGGGGCTTGGGATTTGGGATGGCTTGGTGCGGACAAGGGGATGAGCACTTGAGCGTTTAGCTAGTGTATAACAGTATCCCGCTGTGTGTTCGCACTAACGACCTGGTATTTGAATTTGCGCCACAAGTGGCGCACACAATGCCATTTGCGCCACACCATTGCCTACACCCTTATCAGGCACTCGCCCGCGCGGCCCTCACTGGTTGCAAACGCCGCTTCACCGCTCGGGACACCGCCCCTGTCGAGGCATCATCATCATCATCATCATCATCATCAGCAGCAGCAGCAGCAGCAGCATCAAAGGCTGCAGCTGCTGAGGTGGCAGCGTCCGCGGCTGACTACGTGCCCAGCAGCCTGCTGTCCCGCATCGTGGCAGTGATGCTGACCCACGGTGACCCACGGGTCAGTTCCGCCCTCAACTCGGCGCTTGGCGCGCTTACTGCGCTGCCGGGCGTGAGAGAGCGCTACTCTGCCGTGTTTGCGGACACGCTTCGAGAGCTTGTGAGTGCCGCGGAGGTTGAGCTGAAAGTCATACCTGTAAACTAAGGGCTGTAAGATTATCTGTGGAGTATAAGAGTAAGGGAGGTATGGTTTATGGAGGCGTACCAAGGCGAATAAGGAGTAACAGAGGTTTGCTGTGGCCGTTACGACTTTGATTGATGCTAATGGCAAGGCTGCTATGCATGGTTCTGTCATATGGAAACATGGGGTGTTTCATTGACTAGAGAGCGGACGGGGTTTATGCAACAGGCAAGAGGCCTCTCCTGAGGGCTGCTTCTTCTGCGAACGGAGTTCTCTTGTGATGTAATGTGCGTTTTTGGCTTGTACTATTTGGCTTGGCGTCCGCGTTCCTTTCATGTCTTTGATTCTGTGCCCTGGGATAGCATATCGTCGGAGCTGCTGCGTTTTTCCCGTTGCGCTATTTGGATGAATGAATGACCGTTACACCGAATAAAATGGGGCGACCTGTTAGTTTAATCCTTTCATACCGTTCTTTGATCGATAGACGTTTGAGACTGCGTTTCACTATGACGTAGGGAGTAAAGCGAAAATGGATTCGACTAGACGTAAAACTGCGGAGGTCGTGTTGCGCAGTGCACAGTACGACACAGTACCGAAATGGCCCAACCACCTACCGGTATCGGCTTATCGAGGGCCTGGGTATTGACCTGCTGTTCAGGCAGCGATAAGGCATTTTAAGGTAGAGAGAGGCTTCAGCCATTCGGGTTTGTGAGGATACCCGAGGACCGAGGACCGAGAGACGGATAAGGACTCAAGTTAAGCATCGGCTAGCTAGGAGAGAATGGTATGAGGAAGGCAGTTCTTGTACTGAGTTGGCGGTGTGATGCCTCAAGCATGCAGGTCATTTACACATACATATAAGGACTGCTTTGTCTAGAGGGCTGCTGGCTGAGTTGTAGGGCCACGGTCTCAGTGGCATTGGGATTCTAACGGCTTGTTCGTATATGCCTTTGCATTTAACATCGATACGGCAGCACACCCAGTGCACCGGTATATGTGAAGTACGCCACCCACGGCTCGTTGTTCCCTGACCTGTCAAGCCCCGTGCGCACAACCCAAATGCATGCATGTCCGCTTCACAACGTTCGGCCACAGTGTCGAAGTAAGAGTATGTATCTTTCGCATACTTCCTAACCGCCCATCTGTAACGGTATCTCGTAAACGAGCCCGTCACTACAATACGCAAGCTGAGCTCCTGAAAGACAAAGAACGCACTTGCCTTCAAGAGCAAAAAATGAGTACGGCATTCACCACACCACAGCCTACGCAACCTCCTAATTACTGACCCGCCTTCCTGACGTTACAACGCATCACCAGGCACCTTAGCCCTGCATCCTCTCGAAAATTAGACCCCTTGAACACATACTCGATACTCCACATATACCGGTAACAGCCACCCCTGAAAGAATCACTGCGCCTCGCGTCTCGCAGGCCGCTGTTGGCGGCCCACAGTCACACACCTCCTACAGTCACACACCGCTTACCTCACTCATACAAAGCACTCCCTCACAGCACAAACCCTCCCAACGCCCCCTCCATCCTCACGTCCTATCCGTTGAAGACGGCAGATACCCTCCCGTTAGCGGTGTCCGCTCATCCGCTCCCGCATCCCCCTGGGCCCGCAATCCCGCCGTCCCACCCACGACCGGTGTGATCCCCATTTCAAGGTCAGCTGCAGCGCCGGCGGCCCCTCTTGCAGATCCGTCGGCCTTGGCGGCGGCGGCTCCGCTACTGGAGGGATCTGCTGCGGGACCACCCGAGCGATCCAGTGATGTGGCGTGACGTGTCCGATGCGACACGTCTGCTGTGTTGGCGCGGCTGATGGAGGAGGCGGCGGCGTAGCTCTGGCCGTCTGCCGCCAGGTAGAAGGTATCCGCCACCTGCGCAAGGGAAGCAACGTGGGAGCGGTGAGTGGGCGATGAGGTAGAAGCCCCAAGAAGTACATCACAGCCCATGTAAGCCCCCCCAGCACCGGTAGTTGATGCGCCTCGGCGCTCTGGCACCGGTGCCTTGCTCCCAGGGATTGCTCTATCCACCCGGCTCCTGCCTACCGACACGCCTACGGACATGTTTCCCCCATCCTCCTACTGCTTCCTCGAGGCTCAGTTTACCTAATGCCGCTACCCACCTCCATGGGCTTGTCGTCCTTGTCCAGCACCTCCCGCACCGCTGCAACGGGGTTGGTGAAGAGGTGCTTGAAGGCCTGAGGGGGCGGCAGGGCGGCAGGAGGAGTGAGGACAGCGGCGGTGGGTAGCAGGCCATTGGGTTGGGTACCGTAACAGAAGGGCGCAACACAGCTGGCATGGCAGACGGTAGTGCGCTCACGTGTTGCATGGGCTCTCAGCTGGCTGAAGAGGCAGCAGGACGCAGCTAGCCTCCCGCATTTTAAAACTCCCACCTGTGCGTGGATGTTGTTGTCCAGGTGCATGGACCCGATGATCTTGCCCTGGTCGATCTCGTGCGTCATCTTCTCGATCTGCTCCTTCAGGTGGAACTGATCCAGCTGCGCGTTCTGCACCTCCACCAGCTCCGCGCGGCTCACCATGCCCTCCAACGGCCCGTTCCAGCGGATCACGGGCACGTAGTTGAAGCCCTCCGCGTTCACAATCCTGAAACGTGTGTATTGCAGTTTCCAGGCACAGGTAGCGCAATTTGAAGACGTATGAGGTGCGCAAAATCCAGCAGCGCAGGAGGATTACAGGATCTAACTGGCATGACGAGCTTTGCAGAGCTGTCCACCGCGTGTTTTCGAGCAGCGGCCCTGTTGCGGGAAATGCTGGGGCAATGGAGGTTGCGGAACGAGGCCCAAACTACTACGGAACCGCCTGCAGCTGCTCGCACGTACCTATAGATGAAGGGCAGCGGCATGTTGGGTGGGATGATGATGGGCGCAATCTCCACCTTGGACGTGAGGTCGATGGCCTCCGCCTCCACACCCTGCTCGTCCAGCAGTTGAGCCACGTTGCGACGACTGATCATGCCGACAAAGTCACCTGTATCGTCGAGTCGAGCACCCGGGTGGTTCACTTCATCTTCAAGGTAATACCGGTAGGCAGCATTAGGACAACGCTCGAAGAGTGCATAAGCCCCAATACGTTCATTTGGACCGTGTAAGAGCAGGCCTCGGGCAACAGCAACATGCAGGCGGACAGCGGTTGCCAAGAAACAGGCTGCTGCAAGAGCCTGCGTCCTCTCCATGCCCCTAATGGCATGTCACCCCCTTTTTTCCGCCCTTGCGGCCCCATCGCCCCTTTTCCGCGATGTGGACTGTTGCAGAGAGGGAACAGACAGACACCAAACAAGCCCAAAGCTCAACGGGACGACAAAAGCCGCCCACCCCAGCTCACCCTTGGAGTTCTTGTCCTCTGGGTTGGGTGGCCGGGTGGTGACGGGGAATGCAGCCGCATCTCGGAAGGTGTCCAACGCCTCCGCCAGCACACAGCCCGGCTCCACGATGTACAACGTGTCATGCTGGGGTCGCGGTCGAAAGGATGGTGTGGGGCATGGTCGCATGGGCGGGGGCGCGGGGAGGGAGGGAGGGGGGTGAATGCCGTAGGCTGTGAGGCAACGGCGGTGCGTTGGTAGCGACAGAGCAGTGGCGACAAGCCCGCCGCCAAGAAGAAGGGGACAATAGGAACCCAGGTGTTAAGCCAAAGACTTGACACTGTATGAAACCATGGGGTGCTTGTACGACACCGCATGCCGTACCTTATCATCGTTTCGCTTCATGATGTCGGAGGCGTTAATGTGGAACTTTTTGCCATTGTTCTCCGCAAGGCCCACAAAGGCGAGGTTCTGTACAGGGTGGGTGGGGTTTCAGGGGACAGCAGGGGACGACGTTAAAAGCGGTGGACAGGCAGAGACTCTACCGATATACGGTAAGCTCGATGAAGGGAGGAACAGCAACATGTCGAAGAACAGAAGCAAACCCTCTCCCTTTGTGTAGCGCCCCCACCACCCCACCTTGAGCATCATCTGGTGCTCGAACACGCCGTAGTTGAAGCAATCTCCCACGTTCTTGGAGATCACAAGAACCTGCAACACATAGAGAAAGCGGCGGAAGAGGGCAACGGCTTCAGGTACTGTATGTCTTCAACGCCATTCCGGCACCGTGTGCATGGACGCAACCCTCTGTTCCCTTCATTTCCCGTCATCACGCCCCGCAAGCTGCAACAGCTCCCACTGCACTACACTCAGGGCACCGTCAATCCCTCCCCTCCCCCTCCTCAGGGCATGGCATATACCAGTGCAAGCCACATGGCTTGCATCGGTAGCGCATTTCTGTGTTCTAGCCTCCCGCTCTTTTTTTCCATGTCGAGCTCTCCCTTCCCATCTCGTTTTCCGCTCTCCCAGCCCTCACCAGCATCAGGAAGGGCAGCATGGAGGGCGCCTGCGTCATCTCCATCAGGATGAGCGCCTGGGCCGCAGACATGCGCATCAGCCCGCCCAGGAAGGCAGCGGCGCCCAGCAGCGCGTAGAAGCCCACCTGGAGGCCAGGATGGGGATGGGGACGGGGATGGGGAAGGAAGGGGCGGGAGAAAATGTGGGGAGGGATCACGAACAAGAGCGATCTACGCCGGAAGGTGCAAACGAACGCGCAAAAAAGACGCAGGTGATGAAACGCAGAGATAGCAGAGACCAGGTTTAAAAATAACGTTGCAACGAGGGTCCACCCAGCTTGCCTGTGAGCCCCTCACTTCCCATTCTTTTTCCACCCAGCCCATTGCTAAATCAGGCGACTGCTGACAGCCCAGTTCTGCCGCACCTCTGTGTTGTCTGCCACATGCATGGCCACAAGGACCTCGGCCCACATGCGCCTGCAGGATGTCGGGAAGGAGGCGCGGCAGGAAGGAAGATGCACAGTTACTCGCGCGCAAACGCCTCCCAAGTGTCCTGTATGGCCCGTTTGACACGTCGCTGTTTATTTTATTTTGTTTATATTGCAACCTTGTGCTAGGCATCCAAACCGCCGTTATGCAACTGCGTAGAACGGTACGTGGGAAGCGCCAAAGCGCGCTACTTGAATTCCTCATCGCAGCTGCGCACAAAATCCTGAACGTCAACATACCCTAGCAAGCCGCCAAAGATCAGCGAGGGTGTGAAGAGGCCCGAGGGGATGAAGGCTCCGTACGTAATTCCGGCCATGAGCCAATAAATGACGCCGTACAGCAGCATGGAGGTGAAGGAGAAGGTGCCCGAATGCGCCGTGAACAACGCCTGGATTACATAACCCTGCAGCACACCCACGGCATGGCAACCGGGAAGCAGGGACGTCAGCACGAAGGGTTACGGCGGCAGCGGGATCCCACCGCAATAGGATGATGGGCACCTGGTGGATAGCTACGTTGCCCCTCGAGCCTTGACTTTCCTTAACAGCAATGGCAACAAAGGCTTATGGCCGGTGCTGCTTCTCACTCCTCATAGTGCTGCTCCCCTGCTCCATGCACACCTACACGGCTCAGTCAACCCATCAGCCCAGCCCAAACCAAACCACAAATCATCAAACCGCTAGGGTGCGGCACCGCCCGCTCCCAACCACGGTGCTAGCAGAACTGCGTGCTCTTACGGCTGTGCGTGTGCCTGCGCTCTCACCTGCGGGTTGAACACCAGCGTGGCCAGGTCGTTGTAGTGGTGGTCGGTGTGGCAGTGGAAGCCCTGGAACGTCTTGAACTGCGCGCCGCCTGCAAACACGGCGCAGGAGGACAGCGGCAGGGCGGGAGAGTCTTGTGGTGCAGGAAGTGAGCAGGAAGAGTTAGAGATTAGAGCTCCTAAGGCGGAAGTAGCCGGAGACGATCAGGCGCAGTCCGCTGGGATAGGACAGCAGGTTGCAGCTTGACTTGGCATGAGCCGACTTGGCATGAGCTGCAACCCCTGGTACGAGACTGATTCAGCCCCTCACAGAAGGGTGAAGGCACCAACTCCTACCACTCCTACAGCGCCCGCCCGCCCATCATACCCACGCTAGACCCTTGTCACACGGTTCGTGGTTCATCCTGTCTACCCACCCGAAAGGCACTCGTCATCCGTCTTGCTGTCGCACGACTTGCAGCGGCCCGCAACGGGCATGAAGAAGAAGAGGATGGACGTCGCCACGGAAATGGCGCACACCTACACCGGCACACGGCAGCAGCAACGCGGCAGCAACAGCTCAGCACTCGCCATGCGGCTGGCAACTAGGTCCTGTCCTGATTGCCCAACCGTGCCGTACAGGTTCGTCAGTTTAATTTCGCGTGCACCATTGCCCTAATACCGGGATGATATCGTTGTTCCTAGACCCAGCAATCCTCGCCCCGGTCCCCTGCCTGCGCACCTCAGCAATGCGAGCCCACATGAACTTGGTCCACTTCTTGCGCACCACGCAGACCCACGTATTGAAGGAGATGTACAGGCAGCCCAAGTAGCCCCCCACCACCGCTAACAGAATGATGGCCCACACTTGGGGGTAGGGCGTGGGGAACTTCAGCTGCAAGGCACCAAAACAACAACACACAAAGCGAACGGGTACGCAAGCGTGAGCAAGCCATTATGTTGTGAGCAAGCCAACGTGCGGACAAGATGCCCAATCCCGGGCCGGTCCTGTCGGGTATGCTAAAATGCAACCGCTGTCGGCCCCTACCGGTAACTTGAAGCGTGGGCCATGCGGCTCCAGGCCCCGCATCACCTTGGCCCCTGACTAACCTGGAACCAAATGAGGGAGCCCCATTGCAGGGACTTGCAGTGGCCATGCGTGCTGCAGATGTTGACCGCCTCACGAACCACCACAATGGTGATGGCGCAGGCCAGGAAGCAGCGCCACATGATCTCCTTGCCCCAGCGCGTCGACATTTCCATGGCAAACAGCACACCTCCGACCTGTAACGCGAGTACAGATGTCGTACAAGTAAGCATCGCAGCGGGAATCCTCCATTAGAGGGCTTGGGGTGTAGGTTGTGATGTGGGTCGGGGCTTGCTGCGCGTACATTTACATGTGAAGTGACTTACGACGACGCTACCCCCGGTACGGTTACTGAATTCACGTGATCCTGCCCTTTGAGTGCAAGCAGAAATCGATTACAGGTTGTCCACAACCCTGGGTTGCGGCAAAGCGGCGAAGTACACCGGGTCCCTGACAGCAGCCTCGTCCTACCGGTGCTTTGAAGGCCGTGGTCACACCACACGCTGCACCTATAGCCACAAGGTCGCGCTGCTCCTTATTGTACGTGTAGGTGCCCCAGTGCGCTGCTACCTCCATCTGCTGCTGCATCCATTTGCTGTGTGGTGTGAATGGGTAAGCGGAGGGCTTGGTCAGTCAGAAACCATGCCATGGAGCCGGGGATCAAGTAACTCATGGGTGGTCGTTGCTCAGCAGGACTTACTTGCTACCCATGACGACCGCCAAAATGGAGCCGGCATGCAACATGGGGCCTTCCTTGCCCATCACCAAGCTAGAAGATACCGCCAGCGCGCTGGATATCACCTGCAACATGGTGGCCCATCATGTGAGCATCACGTGGCAACATACCCAAACACGGCATGTTGCTTGAGATCACATGTCGTAGATGCACACCTTTGCGATGAAAGTCTTAAGGGTAAAGAAGTTCTTAAAGATGGGGCTCTCCACGCCGTTAAGATACGCCTTCACGTCGGGAATGCCAGAACCAGACGCAGCAGGCGAAATAATCCACATGAAGAAGCAGCATAGGAATGCCAGCAAGAGGTTGAAGGCTGTATACTGTAGAAACTTGACGAAGACGTTCTCGTTGAGCAGCTACGACAGAGGAAAATGCCAAAGCTCAATCGTGTGCGAGAAGCCCCTTTACAGTGGCCATGCCGCGGAAGATGTGCGATGCATGACACCTACCACTATCGAGAAGATGAACTGGCTGCGCAGACCGTAGAGGCTGGAGACAAGCATGCTTTGGAAAAAGCCCACCAAGGCCGTGCTGATAGCAATGACTATAAGGAACAGCCATCTTAGCAAAGTATACAACCTAGGAATCTGCAGCCTCTTGGCATGCAGCTGTAAAGCCGACACCATTTCTCTTCCCCGCCTTTAAGTTGGCGTTCACCTGGTTTACAGACACACTACATATGGCTTACGGTCTGTATGCAAGTAGGGTAAATGCTAATTGCATGCTGCGTACTCGGGCAAGGTGGATTACTGTCCGCTCCGGAACCCTCGTCAGACAGTTGGCCATTTTGGCATGGATGGGACTAGCTAGGGTTTCTTTTCAAGTGAAGGAAGTATTTTGCTTAGATCCTGCAGGTCTGCACGCCAGATACACTAGACGTCATGAATTCTGATAATACAAACGGTGGCCTATCTGGTACCTCACCGCAGCCTCTTGAATCGGACAAGCTCCAGATCTTGCAATTGCAGTGCATTATTGACGCGAAAGACCGGGAAATACAGCTTTTACGAGCGCGGATTTCGGGCCAGGAGGTACGGTGATGAGTACGCCCTATCTGGTCTTCGCACCCTAACAAGTATAGCTGCTATTACTTTAGGTCTCAGAGGACGCTGAAGAGCTGCACGCTGATATTGCGCGCCTGCGGACGGAGGTTAAGCGCCTTAGCGAGGAGAATGCTGCCCTGCGCTCCCGGGGTTTCACAGGTCCGTTGTGCACCAACATTGAACGCCATAAATGAAGCTCATATGCTCGTGAAGTCAACAGAGTTCGCGCCACCGGTCTCTCCCATGGGTCGTGGGTGTTTGGTGGCCCTTGTTGGCACGAAGTTGCTCCTTTCGTACCGGGTGACCTGACCCAGAGCATAGGTGTAATGCTGACGTACTGCATAGTTGCACTCCGTCCCTCAACGGTGGCATGCGTATGCAATGTATGTGGGCGCGATAAATGGTAAGGCGAAATCGTTTATCGGCCTTCTTGTTACATGTACCACAGTATGCATGCATGGGCCAACTGCTTTGCAGGGACCATTTCCGAAGCCCCAGGCGAGGACCAGCAGCAGCCCGCCATCAGCCTGAACTCCGGCGGAGCGGGCCTCGCCAGCCCTGGACGTCTATCCAAGGAGGGAAAGGTAAGGGAAAGGCATTTGGTTGTATCTAGCCCAGGTATTGCAGGCACCCACCTTATTTGCTTTTACTTTCGTTTGCATATATTCGTACGTATGCGCACCATCAGCGCATGCTCCTTGTAAAGTCCATGCCCGCTTCCCCTGCTCTTTCCGGTGTGCAGCCGCTGGCTTCGGCCGGTCCCGCAGCAGCAGGCCACAGCGCGGCCTCCCCTGCCGCCGGCGGTGTAGACGCCGATGCGTTGGTGGGCAAGCTGCGGACGCTGGTGTCGAGTCTGGTGACGGAGGCACTCGCCGCACAGCTGCCCCTGCACCAGCAGCTGCCCCAGCAGCAGCAGCAGCAGCAGGGTGCATACCTGGAGCCCACGCTGCCTCAGCAGCAGCCCCTACGCCACTGCCAGCAGGCCCACCAGTGGCATCAGGTGCCTCAGCAGCAGCAGCAACCACAGCAGCCTCAGCAGCAGCAGAAGCCTCAGCAGCAGCAGCCACAGCGGCAGCATCAAGGGCAGAAGTGGGAAACGCATTCGCCAGGAGGGCATTGCCAACAGCCGCCACAGCCACAGCCGCAGCTGCTAGCTCTGCAATTTCCTCAGGCACCAGATGCAGCCTCTGCCGGCCCCGTATGCAACGCCACCAGCTGGGGCATCATTCCCGGGCTGCAGATTACCATACAACAGTGCCCGCCACAGCTGTCAACCACAGCGGCTACGACCACACCCGCCGGCTCAACGATGCCCATGCACGCGGATAGCCCGCACTCGCTTAGCGGTTCTGGCACTGGCGCTAGCAGAGGAGTGGCGGTCTGTGGGGTTCCCAGCTGCCGACCTAGCGGCCCCGGTAATGGCTCCGCAGAGGCTGTGGGGCCTTGTCTTCCGGGGTCCCAGCAACCCAACGCAGCGGTCCCGGATGTAATGGAGCTCAACGTGGACGGCACAGCCGTGTTTGTGGACCGCGCTGCGCTGGAGTCTCAGGCCGCGGGCAGTCGGCTGTACGACACGCTTATCAAGCACTACAACCGACTGCCGTTGGATTCGCAGGGCAGGCCGTACTTGTCGTACGAACCGCGTGTTTTCCAGGTACGGCGCACAAAATTGGATGCGTTTGGAACACAGCGGAGACACATGCACCCTTTTAGCAGCGGCTTGTCCTCTTGTAATTAAAACCTTTGCCCTGCCTTCGCGAACACAAGTCGTACATGCTAGCAGCCCACAACGTTTGCGAATACAAGTCGTACATGCCAGCAGCCCTAGATATGCAATCTACCCATCTGAGGTGTCGGGACAAGCAACCCTGTGTACCTGCCTTACCCGCTGTATCATGCTCCCTTCCTACCTAATCTCCGTGGTGCCAGGTGCTGCTGTCGCACCTCAAGGAGCGCTGGCTGTTCGGTAGCAGCAGCCGGGCAGCTACCTGCGACTGGCCCCGCCTCGTGCACTCCATGGGGGTGTCTCCAGCGTACTTCATGCAGGTGCGTTGGGTGTGCTGTTGTTGCCGATTTCCTGATATAAACAGCGCAGAGGGATGGCTACCGGCATTGCCTGCCATATGGGTACATGGCTATCTCGCCTATATGCCGCCCTTAGGCCCGTGGGTTACTAACGGACCCCTGGGTCTTCCTCGAAGGTGGCCTGCCACTTCGGAATGCTGGATGTGGTATCGTCGCTGCTGGCTGCATGGCCGCCGCCGAGCTCGAGCACCATTGCCCAGGGACCGAGGGCTGCCCGTCAGGCCGCTCAGCAACCTTCGCTCCTGTCGCACCCTGACACATCGACGCTTGAGCCCACCTCCATGCACCAAGACCAGCCACCCCATCAGTTGAAGGGTACACTTCCGCAACCGACACTTACGGGAGTTCATCAGTCAGGACGCCCAGCCGCGGGCGGCACCAGTGATGGCGGCTGCGTTTCGGAGCCTGCTGGATCTACTAACGCTGCAGCCCTGGCTGTCAGCAGCCAGCCGCTTGCTGCATCCATGCTACCTGCCGCAGCCAAGGCCCATGTGCCCGCACAGCTGCAGCAGCCAACGGGCTGCGTGTCACAACCCTTTGTGACGCCCGAGGTTGTGGATGCCCTGCCTATCGCTGCTGCTGCCCTCGCCCGCTACGTTGACCCGCCTACGGGAGATCAGGTCACGCATGGTGTAGGTGTAGAAGCGCCCGTGGCTGGTGTGCTGCCCCAATCAGACCTGTTTGCTGCAATCACAGCTGGGGCTACGGAGGGCAGCCCGACCATGCGGGAAGCGCCAGTTGCGAATGGGGACGCTTCCACCGAGGAGGGGTTTTCTGGGGGGTCCATCCTGCGTCCGATGTTTGCTGCTGGTGTGGCAGCAGCAGCAGAAGCGGCGCAGCAGCAGCAGGCAGGCACGGACGCGGCGGTCGCGACGGGGGCAGCACCGTACCGCATGCCTAGCTTGTATGCGCTCATGGAGCAGAGACAGCGTGCAGAGGAGGTGTAGGCGTGATTGGATTGGATGAGTGGACGCGGGGGGTCCAACAGCAGGGCTTGGAGAAGCACAGGGGTTTTTGGTCCTTTTACGTTTGCCCTTACTGTCGGAGGCGCCACTGTATTGACGGGTTCCATGCAATGTTGGGTGAAGCAAGCATAGCCCAACTGCTGACCTGCAAGGGACAAACTGTTGTCTAAGGTGCGAAAATGTGGTATACGGTAGGGCAACATCTAACGTGAAATCCTGTCATGACGTCACCGTCGACTAGAGTCTTGCAGGCTGCGAGTGCCTAGAGCGCACATGTAGGGAGGTTGGCGTTGCCAGAATTAGACAGGTTAGCTGCAACAGGTTTATTGACCCCGCCCCTACGTGCGTGAGGTTTCAGGGGGATTCTGTTTGGTGGGTTGGCCCAATGCTTGCCTCACCTGGTCACACCGCGGAACTAACGCTTGCTAAGCAAGGTGGGTGGGCCCCAGGACTATGGGCCCGCCGTACATGTATCCGATGCCCTGCACGTCCCGGCCCATATGTGTCGCATGCCATTCTATGTATGTGGTTGCAAGTGGATATTGCCTGAGTCACCATACCAATAAGGTCATGGATCGTGGCTGGAACAGCGCGAAAAGGCTTGCTCGAGATGGCAAGGAACCAAACAAGCGCGTAAGTATGATTCTTATTGTTGTGGCATAATTGCGTTGCGTAAAAGCTAGTGCTGTATGGCTACCGGGTGGTTGCGGAAGTGCGTTTACTTAGTTGGATGTGCCTCAGCCGCTTGGAAGTTCTTTTTTCTGTGGTGTTGATTAAGGCCCTGTCCGATGCCGTAAGAGATGCATAACCGGGCAGGATTAAGTTGGATTAGGCGCATTGCTAAATAATAATCTCACGAAGGCGCCGAAGGTCAACGAGCCGCAGCCCAAATACCAGGCAAGAAGACGGTAACAACATCACAGAAGCTAAGAAGCAAGTATAGCAAGTCGCTCCAGCAGCAAACAGTCAACCAGGAACGCCGTACATCGAACACCGTACATTTAAGGCGCTCCAGAACCACAACCTAGGTGAACGCCAAAATATATTGTTGCCAAGTTGACTTTCCAAGTCACCAGTCACAGAGGATAGGGACCCAGCGCCGTGCGAGCATCCAATGCAATTGGGCATTTTGGAGTAGCGCCGGTGATTCCCTAGAGCGAAGCCACTTCTAGCTTCATTTTGGGCTTTCTGCTTTCCGTTGCCTTAAAATACAGCTTCATCACTTTTGGCTTCTAATGTAAAGGGCCCCTAAGTTATTTCACTCAACCGGGTTCAGCCCGTTTGATCCACATTGGACACCACCCGCCTAACATGGAGTATAATGTTACCGGCAAGCGGAAGCAAACGACTCCCTTATCAATCCTCAACCGTCTACTTGGGGTGTTCCAGTACAACAAAGACAGCGGTATCATGACGCCCGTCAAACTGCAGGACTTGGCGACAGTCGACGCCTCGCAGTGTTTTCTGCCGGTAAGATGGTCGAAGGTTGTGATTCAGACTTGCTCGTCTACGTTCTTGTCGCTTCATGTGTGCTTGCCTATTCTCTCTCCTCCCCTGCAGTTGGCAAATGTAGCTGGCAAGGACTATGTCTTCGACTTTGCTGAGCGATCGGAGCCCACGGAGAAGAAGCATACTGTCCTAATCTTTTTGCGGGTAGATGGCCGCATGCTGCTCCGTGTGGAGCACAAGAACTTTAAGGACTTCACACGTCTTGCCAAGCCAGTGAGCTTACCTAGCTACCTTCATTGCTAAAGCACCCCACCTGACACCTCTCCCCTCACACTTCTTTGCTTCCAGGTTAACCATGGATACTTGACTGTCAGCAATCACACAGTTGAGAAACTGAAGGAGCACTCGGTTATTGGGATGCTAAGCCTTCCAACCCTCAGTGTGCTCCAACCAGGCAAAACTGAGAAACATCGCCCCATCCTTAAGGAGGCATTAGACTACCTCCACAATGTCTTCCCGTCGGTTGATGACGGCATCAAGCTCGACAAATTACAGGACCTGATCATTGAGGAGGAAGAAGACAAGGTTGAAGAGGAGAAGGAACAGGAGGAAGAAGAGCCTTCTCAAAACCTACATGTCAAAAGCACAATGCCCCAAGCAGGCCTGTGTGGAGCCAAAAGGGTCCGGTGCCAAAGCAACACCATGTCAGCCCCCTGCAGCTCAACAGTGTTATTTAACAGTGGTGAGCCAGTCAATCCTGCATCAGCAGGTGGTGTGTCAATGGTGGGACCACCTGATGTGCCTCAGCTGCGCTTCCTCATGTTAGAACCAGCTGTATTGCCACTGCCAATGCTGGTCAGTAATGCCCCCGGCAGTGGAAGCAGTGGTACTGCTGCGTCTGCTGGCGGTGCCACAGCTGTCAGCAGTGGTGTTAGTGCATGTGGTGCAAGCAGTGGAGCTGACACCAGCAAGAGTGGGAAGACTCAGGCATGTCTGTTAATGGTGCCTAGGATGGCGCACACATTAGGTGGTGGCAGCAACATCAACCCTGATGCTGAGCTCAGTGGCAGTGCAGCTGTTGGAATCAGTGGTGACATCAGCAACACCAACCCTGCACCTCAGCCAGTGCTGACCAGCGGTTGCTCTTTTCGAAATTATGGTGGCAGTGAAGCTGGCGGCAGTGGTGGCGGCAGTGGTGGCGGCAGTGACAGCAATGGCAACAAGGTGGCGGTGCAGCAGGAGGAGGAGGAACTGCAGCAGCAGGAGATGCAGCAGGAGGAGGGGGTGCTGCAGCAGCAGGTGCAGCAGGAGGAGAAGGTCCTGCAGCAGCAGCACATAGTAAGTAGCACTCCAAAAAATGTCTCACAGAGCACACACTTTCCGACTCACAGCTATTAATACACCTTAACCTAGTCTTATCACCTAAGGAGGCTTAGGGAAAAGTGCCATCCAGGTGCCTTCTTGCTTCAAACAATGCCTACAAAGCAACAAGATCTTTCGAATGCAAAGAAGTATGGGTCCTACTTTGTTTAGTGCTTGCTGTGCAGGTGCTCACCACAGTACCTACACTCGTGCCTACAAGCCCACAAGCACCCACACACTCCATCAACCTGGCTCCTCATCAGCATGGCAGTGGTGACAGTGGAGGCAGCAGGGGCAACATTGGCAGGGGAGGTGCCGCACCTGGTGTCATACCTGGTGACACACTTGGCATTTCAGCCTGCCGCAGCTGGGCTCCACCTCAGCTAGGAGGTGGCTCCACCAACCTCGCTCCTCAGCAGCAGGGTAGCATGGCTCGCATGGCTGGTGGAGATGGCCGCAGCAGCAACACTGGCAGTAGTGGAGGTGGCAGTGGAGGCAACATTGGCAGCAGGGAAGCTGGCAGCGGTGGCAGTGGAGGCAACACAGAGGGTGTGGGATACTTTAAATCACTGATACTGAAGGAGCTGTGAGTATATTCGTGCTCTGTATGTTTGTGATTTTTTTCCCTCTGATCCGCCACCTTTCTTTCCTGTTCTTAAGTGTTCTTACTTGTTGTTACCCATTCTCACCTGTTGTTACCCGTCCTTATCCTCAGTGGAGCATCAACAGAGGGTCAACAAGTGCTGGAGATGTCACTCCAACAGATTTTTGAAGTGGAGGAGGCAAGTCTGGTTGAACGTGATAAGCTGATAAAGCCAATAAAGCAAGGTGGTAAAGTATTTCACCCCTGATTGTTTGTGCTTGCAGACAGCCCCTTCTGAATCTGCTGACATTCTGAAAATGATGAGGTGAGTCTTTACTACTTTGTTGACTGGCCTCCTTGCTACCTTTGCTACCATCACCTTAACTGCCAATTTAATACTGCTTGTAGAGCTGCACCGGACATGACGCTGAAGCAGCTGATCATGTGCTGGCCGCTGCCAGAGGAGGAGGAGGAGGAGGGTGTGCAGGACTAAAGCAGGCACGTGTGCAGCAGTCATGGTAGTAGTTATAGTAGTAGTTGTTGTAGCAGCAGCCATACATGGTAGAAGTTTCAGTAGTAGTTGTGGTAGTAGTTACAGTAGTAGTCAGTGGTGGTAGTCATGGTACCTTGAAGAAAAGGTGTAGGAAACTGTATAGGCAATAGTTGTTGGCAGTAGTTGAAGGTGAGAATGCTATAGTTGTTGACGGTAGTCAGGAGGTAAGTAGGTTGAAGAAAAGGTGTAGGAAAAGGCTAGTCAGAAGCAGGTATGGTGAATGTGGGAATGGGTGCAGGTTGAACATCCGGAAGTTGTTTGACCATAGAGTGGTGGCATTGTGGCGAGTCTGGTGACACGGAAGATGTGGTTGGGTGGGTTGCGATGTAAGGAAGGGTTGTCTATTACGGGTACTGCATGTTGAATGAATGACCGTTACAATGATGCCCTAAAAGGGGACACGGGTGATGAACCCAACCCTACATTGCAAAAGAAATGGAACAAAAAAAACACAGCACCACAACAGGCCAACAAGATGGGAGACATAGCCCTAAAAGAAGCCACAGGAGGTAAACAAGAGGGGAGAAGCCAAGAAACGGCCCCTCAGCAAACCTCGACAAACCACCACTAGGGCAAAAGACAATCCAAACTGGAAGCCACAAACACACCACCCCAAAGACAGGGCCAAAACAGGACGCCCAACAGCATACAGAAAACCGCCCGCCAACAACTCATAAGAAAGGATGAGAAGGGCCAACCCCAGCCCATCCCTGACAGGGAACACCCAAACAAGCAAAACCCCGAAGCTGACCCCAGAACCAGGAAACAGCAGACAGGGCCACCACATCAGCAAGCCCAGACATAACACCAGCAGAACCAGACTCACACACACGAGCCCATAACAACTGCCCACCCTCCTTCATAGCAGACAAAGCAGCCAAAACAACAACATCCCAAACACACTGCTGCACGCCCAAAGGAGTCAACACCAACCACAAGGCAGCCCAAGGAACTGCAACACCCAGCGATACCTCAAGCTGCTCAACCACAGCACGAGCAACAGGACAAGCCCAGAAAAAATGCAACCGCGGAGATCAGGTTGGGAAGTACAAGCACCAAAACCTGTGGGCATTTGCACCTTCGAAGGTTGGCTCGCCCCAATTAGGGGCGTAGTCTTAGCGTTCACTCAAATTAGTCCGGGCCGAGGCGTTATGTCCTTTTTGTACCGTGTGCATGTCCTATGTGTATCCCTGTAACATTCTACATGTACCTGCACCGAGGTCGCAGATTCGGTCGGACAAGGTGGCATTGTATGTGCTGTTGTGTTTTGAACATAATGGCATGTCGAAAAAAGAGAGAGGCTCAGAGTTCAGAAGACGACCCACATGTCGTACATATCGGAGGAAACAAAGCGCTGTTGGAAAGTTTGTGTAGATGATTCGTAACAATATAATTCGCTCAAAACCAGCTGGCACAGATATGTCCTAGGCTATACTTGACAGCGATATTTGATTTTAAAAAGGGGGCGAGCCCCGGTGTCTGCAAAGCTGACGGGTTTTCACAAAACGGCATGGAGGTTGCCCGCCAGTTATGCATGGTGATTGTCTAAATCATAACATACAAACATACACCTGTTGCATTATCATGCAACAGTAGCCTGGTGTTATTACCTGGGATGTGTTGTGGATGGCTTCTCACAATGAACAAAAGATCTCTTCCACGTTCTCATTACATGAAGCCTTGTGCTTGTAATGACTAGCATATGTCCATGTATTGGTCCATGTATTAGGACCCCTCCTAAACACACTTTTGCCCAGATACTCCTTTCCTCCAACACTCTCTCAACCTTCTCCTACCTTCTCCTCACTTCTCTCACTTCCTGCGGGCTGCCGGGCCCAAAGATGTACTTGCACACAGGCATGTGAGACAACGCTACTTCTCAGTGAGGTTCAGCTGACCGCTGCAGCCACAGCTCAGCGCCTGCTCGACCACTCGCGCCGGTTGTGTTGTCTTTGTTTTCTGCATTTGCATTCATGTTGTGTTGTGCTTGCGTTCGTCCTGTCTCACATGCCATCCTGCTTTGCCGTACATTTTGCACTTCGATATAGGTCCATTTTGTCTCTAACTCTGTCCCCCTCTGTTCCTCGCTCTGGTTCATGTTTCTGCGCATGGCATTAGTCACATTACTGCAGCTGCTGGTACTGGTGCTGACTACGGCGCTTTTGCTCGCAGGTACGCAATGCGCGTTTGCATGCACGCATGCACAGCATTGTGGTGTCTCGTCTGCGTGACCAGAGCGGGGGCTCCCGGCGTCGAGTTGGTCAGCGGGCTAGGTACTCAGCAGTAATTAGTTTTTCCCGACACCATCAGCATCACCGACATGCGGCGTCAACCCGCCACTCTTCTTACATCCAGCACCAGCGTTTTAAGCAGTTTTAATGAGTTACATTTCAGGTTTGTTTATCTCTGTTTTGCCTCTGTTTTGACTGTACTCGCGGTTCACATGCGAACCTATCCCAACTGCTTGCTCTTGTTTCTACTCAACTGCACACAGGCATGTTGACCGTGGTGGGAACCTTGAACAGCTCAAAGTCACATCTGTAAAGCTCATGGGCTGCCTTGTTTGCTGCCTCCATGTCAGTGTTGACCGGCCGGGTGTCCTTGTTAGCCCAGTCCAACATCATTCTGGTCAGTGGATGAACCGCCTTGACCACCTTCACCAACTCCCCATCTATCATCAACCACCCCAGCTGCACCCTCAACCAACCCAACCACAGCCGCAGCCCCCATCTCATCTAGGAACACCCCCACCATAGCTTCAAGCACTATCCATGCAGCTGTATGGCCAGGTTTATCTGGTGCAGTGTCACACACACACTGGTTGCCTCCTCTGTTTTGCCTGTACTCGTGGTTCACATGCGAACCTCTCCCAATTGCTTGCTCTTGTCCTACTCAACTACACACTGGTTGCTTGCCTCCGTCACTACTTCTGTGGCTCCAGCAACAGTGGCCATGGCCACAGTGTGGGCAGCAGCATGAGCTTACAGAAAGCCTGCTGTCCGCCCCAGACGTGCAAGCCCAGACATGCAAGCCCCAGCAGATGTGGGAGCCCTGGGAGCTGTGGCCAAATAGCTGTGTGAACCATGACACTGCAAAGTTCAGCCAGAGTCACAGACAAGGCTTCCACCACCAATGCAGCAGTAACCTCGGGGCTAGCTTCCTCCGTAGTTTCCAAGTCCTCCGTATAGCTTCCAAGTCCTCTGTAGCTTTCACCGCCTCCACAGCTTTAACTGCCTGCAGGAGCAGCAGCTACCCCAGCCACAGCAGTGGCATGGGTGCCAGGGGCCACGCTGGCGGCTGGGGCAGGTGTTCTTTGCATTTTCGAACAGTAAGGGGCTGGCAATAAGGGGATGTTCGACAATTTACGTCCCCTTAAGTATATTATTGGAAATGACCCATACATCAGGGCCTACCTGCTGCCCTGTGGGTCAGCGTGCATGTGCGATAGATCATGCATCCTACAAGCACAGCGAGGGCTGCGTCACACACATATAATGCAGGCCCGTCCCCTGTGCGATGTTGACGCCTCGTCCACGTGGCTATGGAGCCCAAATCCGTCCGAAAAGCTTTCGGCGTACGACAGTTTCCGTCTGCCACCCGGTATTAAGAACGTTTTTTACCTGTTTGTCATCAGGACGAGGTGGCCGAGCGGTCTAAGGCGCTAGATTCAGGACTAACCGGTAGTGCCGGTAGGAAACCTTCTAGTCCGAAAGGGCGAGGGTTCAAATCCCACCCTCGTCAGCTTTTGCATTCCTGGCCATCATGTTTTGCTCCGGACGACTGCGCGGGCTGACAGCCAACCACGCGAGCCATGGCCGCCGTCTTGATCTTCTCGCCAGCTGAGGGCGGATGCGGCGTTCGAGCCAAGAGCTTATAGGTGACATGCAGCTGGGGCTCGGCTGCAGGGTGGGAGCGAGCGTCCCCATGCAAACCATGATGAAGCCTAACACACAGGCATTGTTAACTGTTTCCTCTTTACTCCTCACGGAACGAGGGTAAACGTTACAGGTGAACGTGATGCACGTACATCTGTTACCCTTCTCTTTCACAACTCACAACACAGAATGAAACACACAAGGGCAGCTGCAGTAAGGGAATGCAGCGTGCGGAACAGCCCGTGCCAACCCTGTAACTCTCCAATATGGTTTACTAACGGTATTGAGTATATTACCGTATTGTCGTGCGGGTATCAGCGCTGCTGCGGTACAAAGCCGGCCTAACATGTAGCAACAGCACCCCAACAATACTTGCAGTCTCAAACGAACCTCATCACGCAAGATAGACTTCAACACATCACTTTAGTTCTTTCCTTGCCTGAAGTACAAAGGTACGACGTTAAGAGGTTAGACTGTACTTCACTTAACTCTCCAATACACCACCTAAGCCCTTTCCGTCCTGAAAATCGAACGTGTGCGACGTCTGGAGGAAGCTATAATTGATGCCTCGGTCCTGTTCCTGCCACCACACCGCGCCAACAAGCCGCTACATGTCACCAACTGACAGCCAACCAGCTGAACCTTTGGCAAGATACAACACGTACACACTTACACAAAAGAAAGCATGGCAAAAACGGTCTTCCTTCCAGTTTTTAAATACGGCACGCTACGGACAGTGTACGGTCATCATCAGGTGCTCCCAGACATCCTGCTACCCACGCTGCTGTCAAAAGGCTTCTTGTAGCAATCCAGGCACGCGGTTTGGAGTAAGAGGGAGCACCTATCTCAGGCGGAAACGCTTCCATCTATCCCGTCTGCCTGCAGCAACCTGCAACTGCCTGCAATTCCCGCACGCATGCACATGATTGCGCAAACCGGATGCTCGTGATCCCGAAAGGTCCCATCCACACGTGCGAATACAACAACACAACCAAGACAAGAAGAACCAAGACACACAACGTGAACGCATAAGATTGAACTTCAGAAGCCCTGTTAGCGTCTGCCCAACCGCCAGCTGTCTCTGACAGCACAAGATTCCTCATGCAAATCCCGTATTAGCCACCTGTTGAGGTAAAGAGCTTCAGCAATTGTGAACGCGTTTTGGTCAGAATCGCCCATTCTCCATAAACGTTTCGCGTTCCGATTTATAATCCCCACGCGCTCTTCGTTCGCAGCGCTTTGTTCAGGAAAAGGGCCACAAGGTGTTGGACTTTGGGTGAGATATGTTAGCAGAAACGAGGTGAAGATCTGGCGAGCCAGCGCCGCAACGGGCCTTTATAAAACCAAGCAACGGACGAGCGAGCGCCCAACTCCTGCAGGCGGCCTACCGTAGGAAGCCAACCCTGGAAATGGGACATCGCCCCGCAAGCAACTCATCACGACCCATATGCACATCTTGCTTCTTGCCTTCCTGCCTTTCTGTACCTCTTCTTAAACTCCAAATGCCGTACTATACTCCCCAACACCTTCTTCTGGCCAAAATGCCGCAGATGAAAGTCGCTGCCGGGATACCCTATTCACTTCCTCCCTGGATGCCAAGCACCTAGCTCGTAATCGTCAGCCAAACTCTTCAATCTTGCAACACTGTTCAACTTCGCATTTCTCCTGCCTGGGCCGGCAATGCCCGGCCTCCCCAATTTGTTCAAGATGCGGGTAGGGTTGTTCCTGTCATGTTCCTTTCCTCAGGGCGCAGCAGGAGCCTGCTGCTTGGAGTCCGGCTCCTGCGGGCAATCCTGCACCGAAACGTACGAACACTTGGTTTGGTTGTTGTAAACACACACGGCAGCAGGCCCGGTCAAGTCTTGCGCGGGGATGCATGCATGACAGGAATGGGAAACAAGGCATGAGGATGAACGCCCCCTCCTACTTCTCCATCCCTCCCCTTGCCTCCCTACCAGCGCGTTTTGCACCCATGGGTGCATGAGCAGCTGCGGAACCGTGGGTCGGTCCGCCGGCTCGAGCTCCAGACACGCCTGCACGAAGGCGCGCGCGCCCGCACTGACGCCCCCGGGGTAGGCCAGCGACTTGGCGGCCGACCCCGTGGCGCCCTCCTTCCGCGGCGGCGGCCCCCCCGGGAAGGGCGTGAAGCCCACCAGCAGCTCGTACACCAGTGCGCCCAGCGACCACACGTCCACCGAGCAGCCGTACGACAGAGCGGCGTTGTCCTTGTTGTCCTCGGGGCCGCGCTTCAGGGGGCAGATGTTCACCTCCTGGAGGAGGGCGTGGGGAGGGAGGGAGAGGCAGGCGTGGGGAGCAGGACTTGAGGAGGCGTGAGGTCCTCAGCAGAGCTGCAGTGCCTGGCACCGCCACCAGTGTGTTGCCCCACTAGAGCCTCTCTCCCCCCATGCCACTCACCGGCGCCATGTACTCCCGTGACCCTGTGCGTGTGACCGCCCGCTCCTCGTGCAGGCAGATGGACACGCCGTAGTCGCACACCTTGAGCTGCCAGTCCTCGGTGAACAACAGGTTCTCCTGGGGGCCGGGAGGGGAGGGGGAGATGGGGGAGGAGGGAGGGGGTGCAAGGGCGAAAGGGCGGGAAGGGCAGGGGGCGGGGAAAGGCAGGAAAGCAGGGGGACGGCAGGAGGGGAGGGCAGCGACAGCAGGCATTGCAGGAAGGGGGGCGGCAGGCGGAGCGAGCAAATGGATTTTTTAGATGCCAGTAATGAGGCTACAAGGGGAAGAGGGAAAGAAACCTATAGGAGGACAGGAATTAGACGGACGCTGTTCCTTTGCGACTCGAGCATGAGCATTGTGGGTTGTGATTACAGCATCCCATCCGCCCGTTGTGCAATGCCGGCTGAGGTAATCGGTACACGACAGTGGATCCGCCATATGGTAGCTGCTATAAGCAAGCAGAGGAGAGATGGGATGGTGCATGCGTGACACGGAGTCGGTGCTTGATGGGAAACAAATCAAAGGCACCAAGGCATACTGGAACTGTGAACATTTCCATCTCACACCCGGGCCCCGTCTACCCACAGCTCTCCCCCCCCCGATTCCCCACCGGCTTGATGTCTCTGTGCACGATTCCCTTGCCATGCAGGTACGCCAGCACGCCCAGCAGCGGCAGCAGCACCAGGTGCATGGCCTGGAACTCCGTCATGCGCCCGCCCAGCTTGCGCCGCACGCGGTCCAGCGAGCCCCCGCGCACGTACTCCTGCACCAGCACCAGCACCTCGCCCTCCTTGAACGCCGCCAGCAGCTGCACGGCGCCCGGGTGCGCCAGCCGCGAGTGGATGTCCAGCTCCCGCAGCACCTGGTTGCGCAGGAAGCCGGACAGGCTGGCCAGGTTGTAGGCCTTGAGCACCACGTCGGCGCCGGACAGCAGGCAGCTGGCCTGGGGGGGAGAGAGGGGGAAGTGGGGAGTGGGGTGTGGGGAAGGAGGAGAGGGGGTTAAAGAAAAACCAAACCACAAACAAGGGCAAGGCGAAGGGGATAGGAGGCGGCAGGGTGCCAAGTGGCAAATGCTGGGAGACCTGCGAAGGGGGAGGAAGGCAAGGGGGGAGGAGAGGGTTTTGAACCCCTGGAAGGGGAAAGTAAGGGTGTACAAGGCAGAAGCGAAACGGAAGGGGCATGCATGCATGTGCTCTTCAATCTCCGATGGATGGGCATAAAAGCACGGGCGGACCATGTTAAGAAAGCTGGCAGCCAGTAGGCACGGGAGACACGGATAGACTGTGTCGGCGCTGTTACAACTGAGCGTGAGGTAGTAGGCCACGCAAAGGCTAACACAACGTAAGGCGAAGCGGGTGAGTTCCCCCGGCAAGAAAGGCTAGGTCAAGCACGTTCAAGGGAGGACATCTCGTCTCTCCAGCCCTTGTTTCCCCAGCCCTCGTCTCTCCGGCCTCCTCTCTCCAGGCCTCGTCTCTCCAGCCCTACCTTGTAGACACTGCTGGCGTAGCCCGCATACAGCTTCCGTACAATCTTGAAGTCCGCCGCACCCCAGGCACTAGCCGGGCGCCGCATGCGTGCTGGCGCCGCTGCAGACAAGTGCAGCAGCCCCTCCTGAGGCACCGTCCGCGCCACAAAGGCACCTGGCTGGTACAATCCGGGTACCGCTGCCGCCGCAATCGCAGGGGTTGTGATGGAGGAAGATGTAGGGACGCGAGGCGACATGGCCACAATCGCCACGGCAGTCGGCGCGGGCGTCGAGGACTCCGCCGCTGCTGGCTGATGGCCCGGCGGCGACCGAGACGATGTCGTTGTCACTTGCTGCCGATGCTGCTGTTGCTGCTGCTGCTGTTGCAGCTGGTGCTGCTGCAGCGCCTCCGTTACGTCATGATGTGCCGCAGCAGCTGCAGCTGCTGATGATGCGGGAACACAGACACTGCTGCTTCTCCGAGCCGAGGGAGGAGCAGCAGGAGCCAAGGACGACATGCGGCCTGGAGCAGCAGCAGGACTGGGGCCGCCTGCGGCCATGCCGGGACTGCCGCCGGGACTGGGGTTGGGGCTCGGGTTGGGAATGGTCCAAGTAGTTGGGTTCGGGCCCGTCTGGGAGGATGCGCCAATGGACATGCGGAGGGGTTCGGGTTTGGCAAGCGCACGTAGCCTGCTCTCAGGGACGGCGGAGCCGGCGGCACCCTCGGTTGCGGTACCGTCGGCGTCGGAAACGCGACTTGAAGAAGTCGCCTCCGCCGCGACCGCCGCTGCAGCCGTCGCGGCGACCTTCAACTTACGCACCGGCGTTTCAGGGGCTGCGCTGGGAGGCAAGACGGTCAGGTCACTCAAGCGCCTGCGTTGCGCTGCAATGCCCATCAACTGCTGGTGCTGCTGGTGCATTTGCTGTTGCAGCTGCTGGTGCTGTAGCTGCTGCTGCAGCTGCTGCAGGCCTTGGTGTTGCAGGCTGCCGTACGGATGCGGTGCAGTCAGTAGCGGCGGCGGAGTGGGCTTCAGACCAGCAGCGGAGCCGTGCTGCTGCTGCAGCGGCGGCGACGGCGGCATTGCCGCTGCCGCTGCCGCTGAGGGCTGCGCAGCCTGCGGCGTGTTAGGCTGCAATTGCGGCTCGCCCATGACGCGCGCTGCGAACATCGGCAGGTTGCCTTGCGTCGGCGACTGACGCTCTTTGACATACTCTGGAAGGGGCTGTTGCTGCGGCGCCGCCGCCGCCGCTGCCGCTGCCGAATCCTCAGGAATTGACTCTTGTGGCAGCTGGCTGTTAGAGGTTTGCGGGATGGGGCTAAGCGGCAAGGACTGGAAGCGGGAGAAGCGCTCTCGGTCGCGTCGCAGGTCGCCCAGAGCTGAGGGCGCGGAGATGGCGGTGGTGATGGAGGCCGCGGCGGCGGCGGCGGTGGCGACGGAGGTGCCAAAGGGGCTGCCGGCGATTTCCGCGCTGCCCGCGGGTTGCTGATCGAGTGTGGTGGCGCGGCGCATGCGAGGGGAGGCTTCCCGAGGGCTGCGGACCGGCATCAGCATGGGCGGCCGCGGGGAGGGCGAGGTCGGCGGCGCCGGGGAGGAGGGGCTCAGGAGCGAAGACTCGGCTGGCGGCGACTGAGTGGAAGTTTGTAGCTGCAGCTGAGCCGGCGGGGGCTGCATGGGTGCGTGGTGGGAGATGGCGTGGGAGAGCAGCATGGACTGAGGAACGTGGTTGGGAGGTGGTGGGGGCTGGGAGTGGGAGAGACCCAGGCTGGGCTCTGGAGCGGGGCTGGGGCCGGCGGCTCCTGCTTGATGGGGCTCTTGGGGCGGCTGCTGCTGCTGTGCTGGAGTCTTAGAGCCGCCGGTCACTGTGGTGCTGATGCTTGGCAGGGTGAGAGGCCCGGAGTCGCCTGCCTTGCGAAGGGCCCGATTGGCAACGTGTCGCGCAAGGGGTGTGGCAGTCGCGGTGTTTACAGGGCTGTGGAGGGAGGGGAACAGCAAGGCAAATGCGCAACTCAGCACAAGCAGCGTATAGAGTCGCCAGAGAGCAAGAGATCAACCAGGAAGGAAAGGAAGCGGGTAGAAGCATCCATGACAAGGTGCGAGCCGTCCCGCTTCCAGTGGTACAGTACGGATGTTTACACACATGCCGTACATATCCCCTTTCGTTGGCTCGGCTTGAAGCGAATGATGAGTCGCATGCATGCTCATCTCAAAGGGCGGTTAACAACAAGGCAGCTCCCAGCCCACAACAGCGGCAGCAGCGGCGGCATACCTTGGGAGCTGCATGGTGCAGCTCAGGTGACGGCCCAGCGGGGAGCCCGTCCTTTGGATTGGGTGCGAGTTTAGGCCGCCGGTGTTGGTGGGAGGTGCCTCCCCGTGACCGCCGCCGGTAATGAAAGAGCCTGGCGGGGAGGAGGAGCGGGACAGGTGGAGGGGTAAGAGCATGCAAGGAGGGGACAGGCCAGGAGAGAGCGTGGCTGTGTTGAACAAGTTCCGTTGGTTGTACAGCCTGGTGAGAGGCAAGGAGGGCAGTGAGAGGCGCTGCGACCACCAAAAGCAACTACCCGCACGGCACTGCTAGAGCAAGCGCCGGGAGGGGGCTTGTGAGGCCATCATCATGTCATCCGGGCACCCCCTATCGTTAAGTTGCTTGCTTGGGTGCACGGCGATGCGCGCCGTGACGATGACATCGTGCGCGCCTCACGCACCTGTGGGTGTGCAAGCTGCTGATACTCCTGGTGAGTCAAGCGTCCCGCACATGCCCCGTAGGGGAGCACTGAGGAGGGCTGCTGTTAGTCGTCCGTCGACGCTGCTGCGCTGAGAAAACGGTGTAGGCGCGATTGATTGAGAAGAGCAAAGAGCATTCGAGCTTATAGCCACGTGGAGGTCAGCAGGCAACTCGAGGTCGCGCTGCGGCGAGCTTAGCGACCCTGTTCCGATGTCAGGACCACCGTTACGCGAGACGTGCTTCTTAGACTTGTTACCGTCGCCAAATCCCAGGGCAGCAACGGCTTTTTTCATGAAGCCCATGGCCGGATCCGGGTAGGTCGGTCGTCCAGCCCCGTCTCGTTCCAGCTAGGTTGGGCGCAATGAATCGGAAAGGCCCAGTTGCGCGACGTCGCAAACAGCTGACAGTAATAGCTTAACTATGATATAGATAAAAGGAAGGTCGCAGTGTTGCAGCGGGCTCAAGGCCAGCTGGTGGGAAAAGTTGCTGGGAGGTCTGCGAGGCAAGTTCGCGGCAAAGGTGCGTGGCACCGCGGCATCTATACTACCTAAGAACGTACATCTGAAGACATCCGGGGGCGAGCGTGTGCGTCTCGGCCGGGCAAAACCTTCATGGTGAGGTCGTAACCTCCAGTCGCTTTCATTCCTGGACACAAACCAGCGCGACTATTAGGTAGAACATGATTATAAGTAACTATGTAATGAAGTGGATTCACTGAAAGTAGCTGGTGTCCTACCTTCCAAGATTTCTGTTGTACTAGTTCCCACCTTCAATGGTGGTTTATCGGCGGGCTGCCAGCTCTATAACTGCATGATATTCCTGAATTAACTAGTTATTTGTGTGTAGGATGTACCTTGGGCATTGTCTAAGTATACGGTTGTGGAGCTGGCTGGCGCCGCAGACCGGTGTGACCGCTCGCCGCGTGCCGCCGTAAAAGGCGTGTTATGTAACCAATGTCTACACTTATCTAATTTTGGTCAGGGTGTTTGATTATGTGAAGGGCGGGTTTTAGTTCGCGTACTCGCGTGTAACCGAAAATCCAGCTACGAGTATGTGTACTCTTCACCTAGCGAAACCCTCTGGATAGAGGGAATCCTCTAACTAGAGGGAAACTTTGACGGAGTGGGCAGGTGATCGGGCGCAATGCCCTAATGCGTTGTACACTTCCCTCAGCGCCCTGCCCCCCCAACTTCTAGGCAGCAAGACACCCAAGCGACTGCTTCCTAAGGGTGCTCTTGCACAGCCCTTACAACAGATCATCCTTACTGACATTCCGGAGTGTCACCCGCGCTTTAACTGACGTAGATAGTCTAAGCACGTGTCCTATACCTCGGATAGACCTCTTTGGGTCTATCCAGCAACTATCCAGCTGTGAACGTGTAGATGAATTAGGCATGAAAGGGCTTCCTTAGTCGCGGGTTCATGTTTGTATCCTTTAATATGTCGAACATGTCGAAGGAGCGGGAAGAGGAACGGCTTGGGCCGAGGGGCTTGAGCCTCAACAAGCCCAAACACTCTAGCTGATCGTGTGCTTTTCCACCTGCAACGAAGTGACCTGGCCCATGGCCCAATGTTGCCGTCCGAGGAATCTGAGGGGACTGCTGCGGAATTGTTCCTTCGAAAGGGTTTGGATGTCAGCCTTGTCAGACGTGCATGCTCTGTCATACAATGTGTTTCAATGCTTCGAATTAAACTCCCTTACGTTTGGGGCCACCATTGCCGTCTTTTCATGCGTACCAAGTTTCTTAGGGTTCCATATACCGGTATGCATAACCCCAAGCGTAAGGACCACCTGCGTGCTTTCGTGACATTGAGGGTTTCCTAGCCGATCGCAAGTGAGTCAGTTCGGTGCTTGGGTTGGGTATGGCAGCAATGCAGGCGGCACTACCCTCCTTATCCCAACGTACCCGTACGTACCACCCCCTTGTTACGGACGCAGTGCAAGTCATTCTGCAGGCTGTTACATCAGCGCACGCTCCACAACTACGGAAGCGGCGTCTCTATGACATCATTACCGACTTCCACAGACAACGCCTGCTGTTAAAAGACTACTTTTCACCAAACCACAAAGGGACAAGTTCATGCCATTCCTGCAGCACGTCCTGCAGCACAAAGTTGTATCCGACCCTACCGACCCCTACGACGGAGATACGGCTACAACGAGCGCCGTCTATTTCCAAAAGCACTGCGCGCAACAAGGGATGCACCGTCTTGTCGCAGCATGGGATGTACCGGTATACCGGTATGCGCGCGCGCAATGCGCCACACTGTAATGGCAAGGTCAGAGGCACGCCGTATCCCCAGGCAAAGAAGAACCACCTGATATGCACACGCAGCGACCACCAATCTTGGCCATCCCCATTAAGGTTAAACTGAACCGCGGGCAGTGACTGCACCCCTTACCGGTATCATGCAGACACCCGATAGATTGCGCCCATCATGGCACCATGAAAACACGTACGTGGACAACCATGCTTGACTGTACTCCGTACGTTCCTACTCTACCGTCCTCTAAAGATCCTAGCCGCTCCTCTGTAAGACGTCGGATAAAGAACCCAAACCGAACACCAAAACATGTATCTACCCATGCATGCGGAAAGTTGCACTTGCATTCGGAAACGCATAGAAACCAGAACATTGACCGGGGGCAAAATCACACCCCTTTCTCCGTGTCTCTCCAACGACTCTCCAGTACAGAAAACGTAAGCCAAACAAGAAAGCGGTATCAAGCATGCATACTGGATACACGTGTGAAGTCCATTGCAAACATACTCTGTACATCTTTCAAAGAAACCCTAACACAACGGCACGACTCTGTACGACATTCAAGGACCCCTTACACCAGCACGACTCTGTCCGCCATTCAAGGAACTCTCACACCACGCCACGGCGCTCATCCTCAACCACAGATAACAAACACGCACACTGTGTCTCAAGGTGGGTTGCCCGTCTTCTTCCAACCCGCAGTCCCACGTACATACACCCTCCTACAAGCTATAACACCGGTAATAAAGCTCCTCGCCAGATTGCTGGAAGTGCTCTCCACACGCAATCCAGGCGGCAACACTAAAAAGAATTCCCTCTGCAAAGCGCACATGTCAGCTCTTTATACTCAGCTCTTTCTAGCCAGACAACGGTCCTCCTGACACGCTACCAGGGCCTGATGGGCTCGAAATCAACACTCCCACGATGTGACACTCCCACCAGGCGTCCGGTATGCCCCGGCACAGCTGGCCCTCAAACCGCACAAACCGCACAAAGAAATTATAAAGATAAATACTACTCGCGTGTTTGTTCTCTTAAAGAAACTCTCAGAGCCGTCGTCTCCCACAATACCCGAAACAGCAAGGTGCATGCAAGGCACGGTACGGAAGGGTACGGCAGCACGGACAGCTGCGGAACAGCCACAACACAGGGTCATCACCCACCATGGCTGTTCGCAGCAGACACATGCAGCAAGCCTCATACGGGTCGCATCACCACCAAGAGGGGCTTATGACGCACCATGACCCACGGGTCACCCAACCGCATACTCAGCCCCCAGCCGCCGACAGGTGCATTTACAACCAACTATAACAGCACTCAAAGCAGCCCTCCCGGCTATAACCGGGAACCGGCAACCACAAACCGTCTGCCCAGCGCTGCGTATAAAACGTCGCTCCTCGCTAACATAATCATTTATGCTGCAAGCATACGCTTCCCTGCTTGTTTGCTTGCTTGCATCAAGCAGGAAAGAACCAAATGACACCCCCAGACCTCCGCCAATGCAAATCAGGTCCAGCCGCAGGGGGCGGTCGCACGCAGTGGCGGTGGCACAAATGAAGCGCCGTGCCCAGTGCCACCACGTGCAGCAGCATCCCATGGCGAAAGCGGGGAGGCTATAAGCAGGGAATAGAAATGGGGGCAGGCACGGGACCAGGCCGCGGCCCGGTCGCGTGGCCTTGCAGGGCATGCAGAGTCGGCCCGGCCCCCAGAGCACGGGACAGCCCAACCCGTGGATGCGTGTTGAGCTGTGCCGTGTGTCCATACGTGATGGAGACATACAAACACAAACACACAAAGCACACCCCGCATGAAATCACATTGCGACCAACATTGTAACCAGCAGCACACCGAGCCAGGAACGCACACCGTGTTCCCCGTGTTAACAACACACTCGCCGACACACGCCATGTCGTTCCGTGTCGTCAACACCTCTCAAGAAATTGCAAGTCCTGTTTCTCATCTCGTCCCTGGAATCTTATAGTATGTCTTCTCTCTCTTCATATCCTCGAAAGTAAAGGGTGTATATATGTGCCAGGTGCCAAGGGTCTACCGCCCCACCTGCCTAGGGCAGCGTGGGACGCATACGGCCCACCATGCACCGGAGCTTTCACTGCTGTGTTCCTCCTCCTGCTGTAAGGTTCCCACCTTTGTCACGTGGGCTCTGCAACGCTAAAGGGCTCTTATTAACGCGAGACCCCTTTAGCAAGCAGGACTTCAGGCTTGGGCCGCATAGCTCAGGTCATCATAGTAATCATCCACCTGCAGCACGCACGCCAGGGCATGTGCGTTAGTTGATCGGGCTACCGCTCATAAACAAACCACACCATATCTGTATACCCCTTCAAGCGCGCGAAAGTTACGTAACATCCCAACTATCCCCAAAGCTCAAGCATATCCCAAGTCCACCCCCTTGCTCGTCAAGTCATCACCCTCCTCCGCTCCAGGCCCCTCCTCCTCCGCCTCCGGCTCCTCCGTTTCCCCCTTCCCTTTCCCCACATCCCCCCCTCCTCTTCCCCCTTCCCTCTTTCCATTCCCTCACCTGGCTTCCGAGCAATACCCGGTCCGCCACCTCCTCCCAGCTCCGTACATCATAGCCCCAATGCCAAGCCGTCAGCCCCGCGTCACGCGCCCCCCAGCAGTCGTTGCGCCGGTCATCTCCAATGTGAACCACCTGCTCCGGGAACAGCGGCGCAAAGTCCGTGGCGATGGCGCCGCCGCGCTGTGCTGCTGCTGCCTGTGCTGCTGCGGGCGCCAGGGGGGAGCCGCAGCCCGACATGGCGGCGGTACCGCGGGTGACGGCGGCTGCGCTGAGGGTGCGTACGGCGGTGTCGAAGATGACTGGGTTGGGCTTCTCGGCGTGGACCTGATGGAGGGGCAGGAAGCAGGGAGGAGGGCGGAGGGTGCGGTTAGGTGGGAAGGAAGAGGTAGGAAGGAGGGTGGTCAAACAGCATGGACTAGACCAAGGTAACAAAGGTAAACAAGTACGAAAACGTACTTGTTTCGTACCATGTGCAACGCTGTGGGCTGTACGCGCACCGGGAGCCCGTCAAGCGGTTGCAGGCGGGTAACAGCGCAAGCAAGCACAACCAACCCAAGCACAAGCCAGCACATGCGCTCGCACTGTGTTGCTCCACCTGCGCACATGCAATTATACATGCCAGCAACTCCAACAGAGCACACCACGCGGGGCCTGCATGACAGCAGTGGAGGTCGCCCCCACCCACCTCGGCCGACACGATAACCGCATCGAACAGCTTCTCCACCCCCAGCTCCCGCAGCAGCGGCCGCAGCCGCGTGTCGAAGTTGGACACCACCGCCAGCAGCAGCCCCGCGGACTTGAGCCGCTGCAGAGCCTCCACGGCGCCTACGTAAGAGTGCGGGACAATAATGGAAGGAGAACGGCAAGGAGAGCGGCATGGAGAGCGGCAAGCGTGTAAGAAGGGGAGGAAGGTAAGGTCTGACCCAAATCAACTACCGCGGCCTTCCCAGCCGTGGGGGCACTTGCTAGGTGCGAGGGGACACTTGCAGGGCACAATGCGATCAACAAGCTGACCTCAAGGGAAAGCGTATAGCCTAACCGAGCAACGTACCCGGAGTGACATACCAAGCCTCCGCACGGGAGTAGTACTCGTAGATGGCTTCAGACACCTGTGGCATGCGAAGACCGTATTACGGTTTGTTCCAAGCAACGAGCACCAAATAAGCAGGGGTTGGTGATCCAGCATAGTGTGTTGCAGTCTTACCTCTGGATTGTTGCAGCCAGTAGACTGCTCAACGATGTTCTGCCAGAAGGGCCGGGCGTCCCCAACGTAGCGAAGCGATGACGTGCCCCATGGTGTATTGTAGGCCCTGCAGGACGTACGGCAAAGCGCATAAGGGCGGGATTTTACGAACACCGGCATTCCTGGCCAATAAAGCACGTCGAGTTAATCATGGATCTTCTCCGCTTCATCGCTGCTAAGCATCTTTCCCCCTTGGCCAACGGCGGTTGTATGCCCTCTGCAACAACCCTACCTGCGGAACCGCTGCAACACCTCGTTGTCAGATAGGCGGCATCCGTGGGGCCGGGCATATCGTAGGTAGACATCGGTGATAGGCTCAGAAGGCATGAGGAAGGTTCCAGCCGCATCAACCAGGACGGCGCGGTAACATGGCTGCCAAATAAAGTGTCTGGCAGCGGCAACCGCTGCGGCGGTCAGATACCGTGCTGGTGTAGATGCCCCTTTAGCGTTGCTATGAAGACGACACTTTGCCAGCGGTCCGCGACGAACGCCGCTTAGCAGGCAACCAAGCATGCCATTAAGGCCGACGGCGCCGCATTTGGCTAGCATGGCTTGATGCCAACAAGCTATCCACTACAAGGATTCAAGCAGCGAACCAGCACACGATCGTCCTCTCTTCTAGGTGATAGTGGTCGGTGCTGACAGCTTAAGGCCCTGCCAGCTAGCTCTGAAGAGCACGGTAATAGCTGACAAGAGAATTTTGGCAACGTTTTGACACCGCGTCTTGAAGGAAAGCAATGTACTCAACGAGTAATGCGCGTCCAAGGGACCAAGGAGTTGCACACAGCCCTAGCCTTAGGGTTTGGGTCGGTACAGACACTGTATATGGAACTGATGTGACAACTTATAAACGTTGCTCGCGTTCCTGCCCTCCATGCGGTGCGATCAGTTGTACCGCCTTGGCATTGTACCACACGTTTGTTGGGATTTGTCTAGAACTTTATTTTATGAGGTACCAACAGTGCTGAGTAAATGAGGTTACGTATTTCGCTTCGTTGCGAGCAAAGGGAGGATTGACACTGGAGGGGCATGTCCCAACGACCCACATGCGCTGCACGCTGCAAGGTACACGCCGGCATAGGTAGCCCTTAATCTACCCCTTAAGAAGCAAGCTATGATGAAAATCTATAATAGGTAGGCCATGGAAAGAGAGGATAGCCTCTTGCCAGGTTTGGAGCCCAACGAGTCCACCCAAAAAAGCAGATGTGCAGTTGGCCAGACAGCAAGCCTACTCCAAAATGGGCTTCCGCGTCATTTTGTCCCGACTAGACTTGAGTAAGAGTAGGTAATGAGGAAGGCTGTGCGCCACGCAAGACCCTGCGACGGCTTTATAGCCTCACCGACAGTCCCCCCCCAACACCTGCGCAAACATGAACACCTGCGACAGCCCGCAGTCTGAGCTAAAGCCCATAAGTGTGTGTTTGCGCCCCAATGGGACAAAGCACACTACAGTTAGGGTATAGGTAAGACTTACAGTCCGTAGGGGTGCACAGTGTGTCGTACAAGCCTGGGGTTTCACGGGCGCTGTCGAGGGTGAAGTTGATTCTGGGTCAGGGTCCCTCACGGAGGTGATGGCTCCTGATTTTTGTAGAGGTGGCTCCTGATAGTCATGCGGGCTTCCCAGAGGTAGCTCCCTGCGATACTGGTATGAGGACGGAACCCATGCAGCCATGGTGAGCTGGTACCTGGTTACGATGCAGACCAACCAAGCCATCAGCACTGGCGCTTAGTGCTAAGAATGTCTATGGCTCAACGCAGCTGTCGAACTCCCGATGCGATGGCTTAAGGTGAAACCGGGATTGCGGGGGGAATGCACTAAAGAAGACAGGGCCGAACATGCAGATCATTTGCTTGCCTAGTGCCGACATACATGTGAAGTGCAGATGAAAACCTATCGACAACGAAATGGGTTTCAAGTCCGCGTGCTTCTTCTGCTTCTTTGGGATGGCTCGGCGCGCCTTCCCAAATGAACATTTGCGTGCCAACGCCATACACCCTCGGAGGCGCAGCTGCGCCTGGCTCTGCCACCTGCAAAGGAGGTCAACAGAGCGGAATACGGACGTGCTGGACATTACGCATGGCAGACAGAATGTGTTTCCGTAGTCCCATCCGTTCCACATGCAATAGCAACAGGAGACGCACTTCTTGGCTTCCGATAATGCGTGTATATAGATCATAATCTGTTACAGAGGCATCGTGCAATTTGTCGCTTCTTACTGCTCCATCCAATCCGTCCGCGGCCCAAGGGACACCCATGGTGTGGCGACATTTCTAGGCCAGAACCACTGTAAGAAGGTATGTACATGAACAAGTTCCATGTATAAAAGCCCTGCAACGCAGGCATCCTTATGCGCGAAGTAGCGAAGCCTGCGAAGGGGGTATGCGGCCGTACGGTCCTTTGAGGACGAGTAATACATGACCTCTGCATGAACGAGAGCTTGATTACTTATCGTGTTCCCTGTAGAACTAGTATTGGCTGACTCTTGTTATTTATTTCGGCGAGCAACTAAGGAAGCGAATAAGCATGCGACCGAACTAACGTGCAATCCTCAGTTAACCTAGCTTATTGGTGGCCATGGCTGAAGAGGAGCAGCCCGCAGCGGCTGTGGCCGCAGGCCCGGTCAAAGATATTCGCTTCGACTATATTCGGGACCGCGTCTGCTCTTGCTTGAAAGTATCTGAAACAGCCTACGAAAAGCTCCTGTCTGGCGATGGCAGGTTGGTCAAATGCGCCTAAGCGCCCTGTACCTAAGCCCAGTGGAGTTTGCCTGACCCTTTTGCCCTGCGCAGGACGCCAATTACCCAGTTCTTGGAAGACGCGCGCGCGAAGCGGCTCTTGATTGCCGTGGATGGCAAAGACTTATCAGCGGTATGGCTGTCGAAGCAGGTCTGCCGTGTTAGACCTCCGTGCTCACTGGGACATGGCTGAACTGCAGACCGTGAAGCCCCCGCCTAAGTTCAAGAAGAAGACCGTATACTTCCTGAAGCTTCAGGATGCGAAGCTTGACAACGACAACATTAAAAAGCTGGTGCGTGCGTAGCCTGCTTACGGTGCCGCTGTACTGGTGTGCAGCCTAGCTTGACCCCGGGGCCCCCTCACAGGTCATCCATGGCGAGATTAACGAGAACCCGCTGGAGACCCTGGCGGCCATCGCCCAGGACGTGTTCATGCCGGTGCTCACCGCACCGGCCAACCAGCAGGGCTGGCCGGACGTGGTGGCGAAGGAGGTCACGGAGAACTTGCACAAGTTCGTTTCCAATGGTGCGTAGGTCGGGACACCGAAGGTTCACCCTGGGAGGGGTAGGGCACATGCGCAAAGCGGCTAGGATTAACGGGCTAACGGAGGGGAAAGTACGGTTGTGGGTTAACCCCCCCCCGCCTTTCACTAAAGACTCAATCCCCCTGTCCCCTCCCCGCCCTCCTCCCCGCCCCGTGCAGTGTTCGTCACCATCGGGCAGATGAAGGGTCAGACCCTCCTGCCGCTGCCTCCCCAGGCAACCGTCCCCACGATGCAGCCGGAGCACGGCATGAACAGCCTGAAGGATCAGGACAAAATCCACATCCTGGAGAGCGCGATCGTGACCTGGACGAAGCAGATTAAGAACGTGCTGAAGTCCGACCCAGATGCCCCCCTGAAGGTGTGTCACGGCTGCATGCTGCACTGGGCGTTGGTAGCGGGTAGCCAAGGGCATACGCTCGGTTGGGAAGGGTTGAGGTTGGGAAAGGCTGGGATTAAAGTGGGTTGGGATTAGGAAAGGTTAGGATCACTGGCCCACATCCCGCCCGGCGTCCGCTCCTGCAGTCCAGCGGTCCCGAGGTCCTGCATGCTTGGGTAATCACGAAACCTTGGCATGCCACCATCAGTACGCATTGCTGTGGGTCGTCTCCCTGCCGCTATCATTACCCCAAGCCCCTCCTTCCTCCGCACCACGCTGCCAACCCCTGCGACCACAGGAACCCGGCGTGTACCCGGGGCCTCTCACGGAGGTCAACTTCTGGTCGGAGCGCGCGGCTAACCTGAACTCCATTCACGAGCAGCTGACCAGCGAGAAGACCATGAAGGTGGTGAAGGTGCTGGAGCTGGCAAAGAGCACCTACTACCCCGCCTTCCAGCGGCTGTTCCGGGAAGTTGAGGCGGCGCGGCAGGAGGCCAACGATAACGTGAAGTTCCTGAAGCCGCTGCGCAAGTACCTGGAGAAGCTGAACACCATGGACGATTTCGCGCAGCTGGTGGACCTCTTCAAACCCATCATGCACACGCTGATTCTGATCTGGAAGCACAGCAAGTCGTACAACAGCAGCACGCGGTTTGTGACGCTGATGCAGGAGATTTGCAACGACCTGATCATGCAGGTGGGTGGGTGGGATGATGGGTGTTGTTGCAGGAGAACAAAGCGGCTAACAGGAGAAAGAAGCGGCAACCGCCGTGTGCACAACCCGTGCGCATGAATGGTCCAAACACTACCGTACCTTGCTCCGTGCTGAGTGACGTAAGCGGTATAGCTACGGTTGCTCCCTTGGCAACACGCCAGCGCCTCTTCCCCATGCACGGTCGCCCAAGCCCTGAGCTCTTAACCCGCATGCCTTCCTTCTCCTATCCCTTCTCCCCACGCAGGCCTGCAAGTTCGTTCCCGGCGGCGACCTCATCCAAATGGAGCCCTCGGAGGCAGTCGACAAGCTGCGCATGACGTTGCGTGTGCTGGGCACCTTCAAGAACTACTACTTTGAGTACCGCGCGCTCAGCCTGCACGACACGCCCGACAACCCCTGGAAGTTCCAGAACAACTCGCTGTTTGCGCGGCTGGACTCCTTCCTGGAGCGCTGCCACGACATGATGGACCTCATGTCCACCTGCATGCAGTTCAACCGCCTGGAGCGGGTGGAGATTGGCGGCACCAAGGGCAAGGTGCTGACCAATGGCGTGAAGGCCATTCACCAGGACTTCACGTCGGCGGTGGAGAAGTTCCAGCAGGTTGGGGCCGGCGGGGGGGGGGCTGGAAAGCGGGGGCATACAGGAGTGGTGTTGGGGCATGCATGCAGCGGTGTATCACGTATGACTTCACAAACGCATGCATTGGATGGGTTGTTGTGGAACTCCTTGCAGCGACGCGTGTTGGACGTGAATGGAGTTGCACGCGCTGTCACTAAACGAGCAACTTAGTCCGGTGGCATGCTAAAGCAAGCACTCGTTCCGTCCATCCTCAGGTCACATACGATGTGATGGACGTGGACGCCAAGCAGTTTGATGAGGACTTTTACGGCTTCCGCGTCGTCATCAAGGAGCTTGAGCGGCGCCTGGCGGCTATTATCATCCAGGTGGGAAGGGGCGGCAAATGGCAATGTCCTAATGTACCGTGTCTACAAAGGCAGAGGAGGGCTCTACAGCATTGGCCCAACCATTACCTAACCTGTTGGAAGCACCCGGCTCCGCATGTGGCCTTGTCGTTTGATCAATGCTAAGCTGCATGGCAGGGTTACAACAGCATAACATGGTGTTGTTACGACCCGTGGGTCCGTTGGGTCCCTAGCAAAACTATCCCGCAGCCTCTCTCAGAGCTGAGCATAACCCTGCGGCTGCTCCTTTCTTCCTTCAGGCCTTTGACGACTGCACCACCATCGGCACCACCTTCAAGCTGCTGGACAGCTTTGAGGGGCTGCTGGACCGGGAGGTCATCGCTCATGACCTGGAGAAGAAGCACACGGACCTCCTCAACAGCTACGCACGCGACCTGAAGGACGTGGCCGACCTGTTCCACCAGTACAAGGACCGCCCCATCGTGGCCAAGAACAGCGCCCCCTACTCGGGTGCCGCGTACTGGGTGCGCGGCCTCATGGAGCGCATCAAGGACCCCATGGACCGCCTGCTGACCATGAACAAGATGGTTCTGGAGTCGGAGCTGTTCAAGGAGATCCAGCGCTCGTACGACCACCTGTGGGAGGAGATGACGGAGTACCGCAAGCGTGCAGTGGACGCATGGTGCGCGCAGGTGGCGGCGACCAGCGATGAGAAGCTGAACCTGCCGCTGCTGCAGCTGATTGAGGAGACGCCGGAGGGCATCCGCGTGCTGGGCGTCAACTTTGACCCTGCGCTGGTGCGGCTGCTGCGGGAGACCAAGTACTTTCTGTTACTGGAGACCGCGACGCCGGAGAAGGGCTCTGGTGGGGAGAGCACGCCCAAGGAGACCACCGTCATTGCGGTGCCCGACAGCGCCAAGGACCTCTTCGCCTCCTCTGACACCTTCCGCCAGCAGATCAGCAGCCTGGACCTGATTTGCAGCATCTACAACAAGGTGCAGCGGACGATTCTGGTCGTGGAGAAGCCGCTGGTGCAGCAGAAGCTGGATGCCGTGGAGCAGGCGCTTAACCGCGGCCTGGTGGAGCTCAACTGGAAGAACGACAACATCGACGCCTACATCAAGGAGTGCATGGAGCTGGTCAAGGATGTGGACCTGGTGCTCAACACCATCAAGGACAACGTCAAGGCCACTAGCAACATTCTGCAGCAGTGGGAGAAGAACCTCATGTTTGAGCGCAAGGAGGGCAAGACCTACTCGTTTGACGAGCTGAACGACGCGTTCAACCAGCTGATCCAGCAGCGGCATAGTGAGATCCGTGACGCCGGCAAGGAGATCACCAAGCTGCTGTCCTCCAGCAACCGCGTGCTGAAGGTCAGCAAGGGCGCCGCATCTTGGCGTGCGTATGTGGACTACTTTTCCAACATCGTTATTGACGGCTTCTCGGCTGCCATCATCAGCACCGTCCGCTACCTGCTGTCACAGGTTAGTGCGACCAGGCATGATTGCTCCCGGGCGCATGGCTTGGCGGGTGCAAGGGAGCGCAAAGGGTACATAACGGGTGGCAAGGAACATCAAACCGGGTTCTGTAAAGGGCTGCCTAACACAGGGCTAGGTGGTGGGTACAAGGCAGTGTAAAAGATACATCACGGGTGGCAAGAAACCCCAAGTACCGGTACTTAGCGGGCGACCTGGAGGGATCACGGGGTGTTAAGACAGGGCTAGGCGGTGGATGCAAGGGATGCAAATCATAGATAACGGATGGTAACAACCTTAAACCGGGCGCTCTGGAAGGGCCATGGGTTGCCTTGGCCAGGGCTAACAACCTAAGGTCCTTACCATATCCCGCCTTACCGCTGTGTACCGTCCTCCCTACCGCAACCACCCAACCCACCACAGATCGACCCCGACATCCTGGCCAAGTCGGAGAGCAGCCCGCTGCTTGAGATCCAGGTGGAGCTCGTGGCGCCGGACATTGTGTGGAAGCCTGAGCTGGGCGAGGGCGGTGTGAAGCCCGGCGTGCGGGACATGATCAAGAAGTGGCTGCAGTCCTTCCTGGAAATCGGGCAGCTCATGAAGCGGCTGGATGTGGGTGAGGGCAACTACGCCAAGGAGCTGGAGGAGGACTTTGAGGTGTACGATGCGCTCAACCAGGTGGGATGGGTGTCGGGGCTGGGCTGGGTTGCGAAGATAGCTGCGGAAAGGGATCTGTGCAGCCTGTTAAGCAGGTGCTAGCTTTGGCCTACGGGGGCTTACTCGGGAGTAGTTAGGCTGAAAAGGGCAACATGAGCCTGCAAAACATGAGCCTGCAAAACATGAGCCTGCATTCGCTGCTCCATTTAGGAACTCATTCGGGTAACTCTCTGGCATCCGGTTTTCCGGTCTTTCCTAATAACAGGTCATGATGGTCACGTTGGCCAACGAGACGCGCTGCGAGGACTTCAAGGCGCAGTTCGCCAAGTTTGACTACCTGTGGAAGCAGGACCTGCACGGCACGCTGCAGCAGTTCATCGCGGACCACGGCGTCACGCTGCCCGACGGCACCAAGGACGACCCGCCGCTGGCAAAGTTCGAGGAGCAGGTACGCTGACCAGACCAGGGCTGCTTCTACTTCTGGGGACCAGGACTGCTTCTGCTTTCAGGGACATGCGCACGCCGAAACGTGATGGCTCACATCATTACCTTGTCCCGCGGAATCCCTTTTCGCCCTAGGATACTGTACCCGTACTCAACTATGTCCAGCAACGCTCTAACCGCACATCGTTGCCATGGCCCCGCAGATCGCCAAGTACAAGAACATCGCGACTGAGATCGCCTCCTTCAAGGACACCATGACCATCGGCTACGTCAAGGTCAACGCCAAGCCGCTGCGCCAGGCGCTGTCGACCTGGGCGTCCAAGTGGGTCTACCTCTTCACCCACTACCTGCAGGTGCGGCTTGGTGCTCGGGTGGCGGTCGGCTGCCTAAGGATTAGGCCATTTCGGGCCTTGTCAAACTATCGGCGTCATTAGCCATCACTGGCGCGTGCACGGTTACCCACGTACCATCATCTCTGCTGCTCCACGCATGGACGCGTGCCGACACCCCTTTTTCTCCTCGCTCTGCTTAACTGTTAAGCCGTGCTCACGCGTTTCTCCCCTCTCTTGCCCTTTGACCTTTCCGACCCGCAGGAGAAGGTGGTTAACAGCATCACGGAGCTCTACTCCTTCATGGACTCCTCCAACAGCACGCTGGATCTAAAGGTGCTGGGCGAGGGCAACGAGGAGGAGGAGTACCATGCGGAGGAGGACTCGGAGGAAGCAGGTGCGCACCGCCATGGGGACATGCACCGCCGGTAACCGCCAAGAGCGTACTAAGCATGCGCCTTTGTACCTTGCTGCTCTGCTCTAACTTTGAGGTACCGGTAACCGGGCTGTCCATGCACGCCATTCATGCACCGGACTGATTACCTCCCGCTATACTTCTCTCGCTCCTTTTGCAATGCCGTGCAGCCGCCAAGAAGGCCCAGGAGGAGGAGGAGAAGCGCAAGGCGCTGTACTCCATCATGGCCTGCATGCGCGACATCCGCCGCAGGACGGAGCGCGGCACCGACACCATGTTCGAGCCGCTCAAGGAAACCGTGTCGCTGCTGCACTCGTTTGGCATCCAACTGAACGACACCGTGCTTCACCAGCTGGATAATGCGGAGTTCAACTGGCGCATTCTCAAGAAGAAGATGCTCAACCGGCGTGAGCAGCTGGCGCCGCTGCAGCAGGCTGAGGCGGTGGAGATCCGCCGCAAGTCGGACGCGTTCAATGAGCGCGTGGAGGATTTCCGTACCTTCTTCCAGCGCAAGGCGCCGTTCACGGTGTCGGGTGGCGAACTGAAGCTGGAGCAGGTGGGAATGGGCTGGGCTGCAAACCGGCTGCGCTTAAAAATGTTAATTCACGTGCATGACATAACACAACAGAACGTATTTGAGTCTGCGGGTAACCTGTGGCAAACGGCACCTTACCTCACGTGTGTGTTCCCGGTTTTCAGGTCAAGCCCGCGTACAAGATGCTCGACGATTTCCGCTCCGGCAGCGTGGAGGGCTTCCCGTCCGTGCTGGGCATCATTGCCGAATCGAAGCAGCTGCAGGAGGCACAGGTCAGGAGGGCGGGGTGTACGGGTCCCTTGCGGGGAGCTTGGTCGTACGACCACGATTACCGGATAAGCCCTTGCTTGGCTTCATCACCGCGCAAGAATGCTAGGATGCGCATGCAAGCCACGCCTCCCATGGAAGCCAGCCGTTACCGTAACCGTATCCTCCCGGCCCCCCTCTCTTTGTCGTCTCCCCCCTCAGGACCTGTTTGAGCTGTACCAGTCGGACTACCTGAAGCTGCAGCGCTGCAGCGAGGAGCTGGGCCACCTGAAGAGCCTGTGGGACACCGTGGGCACCGTCATGTTCACCTTCCGTGACTGGTACAAGACGCCCTGGGACAAGATCGACGTGGACTTCCTGGTGGAGGAGACGAAGAAGCTGTCCAAGGACATCAAGACGCTCAACAAGGCCGTACGCAACTACGACGTGTACCGCATGCTGGAGGAGTCGATCAAGGCGGTGCTCACATCGCTGCCGCTGGTGCAGGTGGGTTGCCGGTGACTTGGGCGTGGGTAACTGGTAGCGTTAGAAGTCTTGGATTAGGGTTGCTTGCTACGAACATTTGGAACGGCATTAGCCGTGATGCAACCGGGGATTTCGCATTGGGCTTGCAGCACCGTAACCCCCCTAACTGTTGCGCGCCGTTCCCTTCCCCAGGACCTGCACCACCCAGCCATGCGCGAGCGGCACTGGAAGCTGCTGATGCAGACCACCGGAAAGCACTTTGTGATGGACGACAAGTTCTGCCTGGGTGACCTGCTGGCGCTGGAGCTGCACAACTATGTGGACGCCTGCTCGGAGATTGTGGACCGTGCGCAGAAGGAGCTCAACATCGAGAAGCAGCTGAAGAAGATCGAGGACACGTGGGCCGGCCTCAGCCTGGGTTTCGTGCCGTACCAGGTAAGCCCCCCTGTGATGCTCCGGGCCTTGACTACCTGCATAGAGGTTCCCTCTAGGCGCCGACCCCCGATCCCAGCAGCTTGGCTCAGTAGGAATAATGACGTGCCCTTGTAGTAATGGGCCTAGTGTACGGAGCCAGGGTAACCCTAATGCCTAACCTTCCCCCCGTCGTTCCGCCCCCTTGTTCCCTTGCAGGACTCGGACGTCATGTCGCTGCAGGTGGAGGACTCGGTGAACGAGGCTCTGGAGGCGGACAACCTGCAGCTGCAGAACCTGTCGGGCCAGAAGTACGTGCAGTCCAACCCCATGTTCCTGGAGACGGTGTCCAAGTGGCAGAACAACATGGGCCGCGTGTCGGCGGTGCTGGAGACCTGGCAGAACGTGCAGAAAAAGTGGCAGAACCTGGAGTCCATCTTCATTGGCTCCGCGGATATCCGCGTGCAGCTGCCCGAGGACTCGAAGCGCTTCGACGCTGTCAACGCCGATTTCCAGGTGGGGCCTTGGCTTTGGCTTGATTGGCACTGATAGGGGCAGGTGGTACAGTGTGTTAGGTATTCCCGGGAAATCAGTTGCTAAGGACCTCCCAAGTTGTAAGACTTTGGCTTGCATGCATGCATTCTGTCGCCAGGAGCCCGACAGCTTCACAGTTCCTCCTCACCAAAACTCGCTGCTTTGCCGCCTGTATAGGACCTCATGCGCGTTGCGCCCGACGTCACCAACGTGGTGGAGGCTTGCACACTGGATGGTCGCCAGGAGCGGCTGGAGAACATGCAGTCCATGCTGGAGCAGTGCGAGAAGGCGCTGCAGGTGCGAACGGGGCTGGCTGACACCACACTGCGTTACCGCGTTCCATGAACCGTAATGCTGTACCATGGCGGACGGGCCAGGACCTACCGATATTGGGTTGTCGCGTCTTTAGTTTCTCAGTCACCGTGACTGACGGTCTTGCCGTTCCTCTGACCGTGCAGGAGTACCTGGAGACGAAGCGTGTGGCCTTCCCGCGCTTCTACTTCGTGTCGCCGGCTGACCTGCTGGACATCCTGTCCAAGGGCTCCAACCCGCAGCTCATCCTGCGCCACCTGCAGAAGTGCTTTGACAACATCGACAACCTATCGTTCAGGTGTGGGGCGGCATGGGTGGTGGGAAGCGGCAGTGGGGTAAGGCAGCCCGAGCCAGCTGACTAGGCAACTGTCTTTATCGCGCTTCTTTCGCCCCGAACTGGTTCATGCTAACGGTTTGGCTTGTTCGAGGCGTGTAACTTACCCTCAACTGGGCCTTAACCCTTGTAGGAAGGACGAGCGCGGCGATCCCACCAAGATCGCCACGCACATGCACTCCAAGGAGGGCGAGGTGGTGGAGTTCGTGGCGGACTGCTCCTGCGACGGTCCCGTGGAGGTGTGGCTGCAGAACGTGGTGGACAGCATGAAGCAGGCGCTGCAGGTGGAGTTCCGCAAGGCCATCCCCACCTACGACGAGATGCCGCGCACCACCTGGCTGTACAAGTACAGCGCGCAGAACACGGTGGTGGTCAGCCGCACGTTCTTCACGCAGGAGGTCAACGAGGCGTTTGATGACCTGGAGGAGGGTGGGTGCCGCTGGTATGGGTTACGGTGCCGGCTTGCTCTTATTGCGGTACTGCGTTGCTGGCTACACTGGGCCCATGGGTGCGCGGCGTTAAGTTTTATTTTGCTAAAGCTGCCAGCGCATGCGTTATGTGTTAGCCGCTGCCTTGTTCCCGCACGTGAAGCTGCCTTGTCCCGTAGCGAAATCTCTTCCCCTCACCCTTCTGGGCCCCCTTGCCCTTTCTGCGGTCCTCAGGCAATGAGGAGGCGCTCAAGGTGGAGCTGGACCGCCAAATCCAGCAGCTGGCTGACCTCATCGACGACATCAACAAGGAGCAGACCTCCCTGGACCGCAAGAAGCTCATCACGCTGTGCACCATTGACGTGCACTCGCGTGACCTGGTGCAGAAGCTCATTGACGAGCGTGTGGAGGACCAGATGTGCTTCCAGTGGCAGTCTCAGCTGCGCTACATCCAGAGCGAGAAGACCAAGACCTGCCAGGTCAACATCTGCGATGCGGAGATCGCCTACAACTACGAGTACATCGGCAACTGCGGCTGCCTGTGCATCACGCCCCTCACCGATCGCTGCTTCATCACGCTCACCCAGGCGCAGCGTCTGGTGCTGGGAGGCGCGCCTGCCGGCCCCGCCGGTACCGGCAAGACGGAGACCACCAAGGATCTTGCGCGCGCGCTGGGCATCCAGTGCTATGTGTTTAACTGCTCGGACCAGATGGACTACAAGGCCATGGGTCACACGTACAAGGGTCTGGCGCAGACGGGCGCGTGGGGCTGCTTCGATGAGTTCAACCGCATTCCGGTTGCGGTGCTGTCGGTGTGCAGTACGCAGTACAAGACGGTGCTGGACGCCATCCGCGCCAAGAAGGAGCGGTTCGTGTTTGAGGATGCGGAGATCAGCCTGCGGTCCACCGTCATGGCCTTCATCACCATGAACCCGGGTTACCCGGGTCGCGCTGAGCTGCCTGAGTCGCTGAAGGTAAGCATGCCTCTTGGGAGCAACATGACAGCAAGGGCACGGGGTGAGGCATGGGCAGGAGGCATTGGTTGCATAAGGGAAAGGGCGCAGGCTGAGACATGGGCAGGAAGCATTGGCTGCATGGGAGCAAGGGCACGGGGTGATTCATGGGCAGGAAGCGCAGGAGTGCGGGGACAATCGTACTTGCGTGGCAGTAAACCCAAGCTACGGCTCGTTCCCTGACCGCCTTGCTGTCCCTCCTTTCTTCCTCCTTGCCGCAGGCGCTGTTCCGCCCCGTGTCCATGGTGGTTCCTGACCTGGCGCTCATTTGCGAGATCATGCTCATGGCGGAGGGCTTCCAGATGTCCAAGGTGCTGTCGCGCAAGTTCGTGATCCTCTACAAGCTGTGCGAGGACCTGCTGTCCAAGAGCCGCCACTACGACTGGAAGCTGCGCGCCATCAAGACCACGCTGTACGTGGCAGGTGGCATGAAGCGTGCGGCGCCGGAGCTCAGCGAGGACAAGGTGGGCTAGAAGCGACGGACCAGAAACGGGGCTGGATAACCGTAATTGGGCGCACGAGCATACCGCTACGATTAGGGTACAGCCTTGCTTTCAGCAGCAGCCTTCCTTGCGCTCATAATCCCATGACCAACTCGTTTCCTGTCCGTGTCTCATTTTGCTGTCAGGTGCTGCTGCGTGCCCTGCGTGACTTCAACCTGGGCAAGCTGACGGCGGACGACACCAGTATCTTCATGGGCCTGCTCAACGACCTCTTCCCCAAGACGCTGGAGCTGGTGCCGCGTGCGCTGGACAAGGCATTCGACGAGGCGGTGGGTGGTTGGCGGCTGGGTGGCAGGCTGCTGTGTCGCAGGCTGCTGCGCACCACATGCATGGTTATAAGCCCTCCGAAGGGTTTTAACAAATGACGCCGAAGCTTCACCCGTGCGCTGCACTTCCCGCTGGCCGCATTAAGCCCCGCCCACCTGTTGTGACATAACTCATGAGAATGTGCGGGTGCTTCTGCTTGTACCGGTACTCTGCAGGCGGCCAAGGCGGCGAACGAGCTGGGCTACCAGCCGGACGAGCAGTTCCTGCTCAAGATCAGCCAGCTGCGGGAGCTGTTCGTGGTGCGCTGGTCGGTGTTCCTGCTGGGCTCCGCCGGCTGCGGCAAGACCGCCGTGTGGCGCACGCTCATGCGCGCACAGAACGCCATTGGCGAGAAGACGGTATACCAGGTGGGTGGTTCCTGGTGGTTAGGGTTCTTAAGGGTTGTTGTGGTCTTGTAGACCGTAGGCCCAACCATGCCCCAGCTGCGTACGTAACCATAATCGAGCCATGGATGCCAAGCATCGTCCTATCTTTCCTGTACCCGGGTTGCAAAAATCTTGCATTGTTCTCCCTGCCCCTGTTCGCCTTGAACCCCACCCGCAGGCTGTCAACCCCAAGGCGGTCACCCGCAATGAGCTGTACGGCTACCTGCACCCCGCCACCCGCGAGTGGAAGGAGGGCCTCATGTCCGTCACCTTCCGCAACATGGCCAACAACAAGTCCAACAAGCACCAGTGGATCGTGCTGGACGGCGACATCGACGCTGAGTGGATTGAGTCCATGAACACGGTCATGGACGACAACAAGATGCTCACGCTGGCCTCCAACGAGCGCATCCCGCTCACACCCTCCATGCGGCTGCTGCTGGAGATTAACCACATGGTGCACTGCTCGCCCGCCACGGTGTCGCGTGGCGGCGTCATCTTCATCAACACGGACGATGTGGGCTGGCAGCCGGTGGTGTGGAGCTGGATTGACAAGCTGGAGGTGGGTTGGCTGCTCTGGGGTAGGGAAGGACTAACGGCCTCTTGGGGCGCCATGTGGGGGTTCCGGCTTCGGGATACCTAAAGATTAAGATTTCCGCTTTAGAATGTTACAGAGATACCGGTAGGACGGGCATACAAAAAACAGGACGAGAAATCCCTGGAAGAAAATGTCCTGAAAGGGAAGGGACAACGACCCTATGCTATGCACCCATGCACCCATGCTCGATTTCCGTTATACATACTCCCATGCTCTCCCTGCCTGCAGGCCGCCGAGTACCGGCCGCTGCTCACCGCGCTGTTCACCAAGTACGTGGACCCCTGCCTGGAGCACTGCCGCCGCAACTTCAAGACGGTGGTGCCGCTGCCAGCGGTCAACCAGGCCATGACCATCTGCAAGATCCTGGAGGGCATCCTGCCCAAGGAGACCGTCAGGTGGGGTGTGTGTGGGGGGTTTCAATGGTCAGGGGGTAAGAACTTCGGGGGAAACGTTGCTCACGTATGCTGAGTCACCTGTAGGGGTACACATGTTGTAAAGCGGTACGCCGGTACCTGTGTCACATATGTTAGGGCACGTAACATTCCTAGCATACCTTTGCCTAGTATCAGAGCGCAACGCACGTGCTTCTCGACCAGGCCTCTGACTCTCCCCATGCGTTTCTGTTCCGCTACATCCCAGGGGTGCGCCGCCTCCGGACAAGAAGCTGCTGCACTACCACTTTGTCTTTGCCTGCATCTGGGCCTTTGGCGGCGTCATGCTCGTGGACAAGGTGTCCGACTACCGCACGCAGTTCTCCAAGTGGTGGGTTTCGGAGTGGAAGGACGTGCAGTTCCCCGAGAAGGGCCTCGTGTACGACTACTACGTGGACGAGCAGCAGTGCATCATGGTGCCGTGGGAGGAGAAGGTCACCAAGTTCCAGTACTTCCCCGGCGACTTCGGCTCGCTGTTCGTGCCCACTGTGGAGACGACGCGTCTGACCTACTTCCTGGACTCGCTCATCTCCAACAAGCACTACGCCATGTTTGTGGGCAACACGGGTACCGGCAAGTCCGCCATCATGGTGAACAAGCTGCGGAACATGGACACGGAGGCCATGACCTACTACACCATCAACATGAACTCGCTGTCGGAGGCGCCCGCGCTGCAGGTCATCCTGGAGCAGCCGCTGGAGAAGAAGTCGGGTGGGTGGGGTCGGGTCGGATGGAAGGAAGGAAGCAACGGTTAGGGAAAGGCGGTAGGGAGCGGGGGCCGTTTGGGTTACGGTACGCAGCGCAATAGAGCTAAGGCTGAAGCAATGGGTGGTAGCGTTGATACCGCTTCTCTTGTCCCCTGTCTCCTGGACAAACGGGGTCGCAACTACCGGTAGTTGCTGCAAGTAACGTGTCTAACCGCTGCGGTGTATCCTACTACTTGCAGGCGTGCGCTACGGCCCGCCGGGCTCCAAGCGCATGGTGTATTTCGTGGACGACATGAACATGCCGCAGGTAGACAAGTACGACACGCAGTCCTCCATTGAGCTGCTACGGCAGATGGTGGACTACCACGGCTGGTACGACAAGGTCAAGATCCAGCTCAAGGAGATCATCAACTGCCAGATGGCCGCCTGCATGAACCCCACCGCCGGTTCCTTCAACATCACGCCGCGCATGCAGCGGCACTTTGTCACCTTTGCGGTGCAGATGCCCTCCAGCGACATCACACGCGCCATGTACTTCCAGATCATCGACGGTCACCTGTCCTCCTTCGACCCGGACATGGCGAAGATGGCCAACAAGCTGGTGGATGCCACCATTGAGCTGCACCGCAATGTGGGTTTAGGGAAGAATGCAAGGAGAGATACACCGGGGCACTAGTAGTAGGGTTAGTGGCATATCACTACACATTCCTCGTTCCTGGCTATTCGGCATGCCGTACCCACGGAGCCACGATTGCCGTACAGCGGGCCTGGTATCCTATCGTACGCGTTCATTGGAAGCCTGTCGCTCCAGCTCACGGTCCCTCGGCAATCCTTGGTACATCGCCGCAGGTCATGAACAACTTCCTGCCGTCCGCCGTCAAGTTCCACTACCAGTTCAACCTGCGCGACCTCTCCAACATCACCCAGGTGCGGGACTCCCTCCATTCACGCAGGGAATCTTCTTGGATTTCTGATATGGACTGAGCTATACCTCCACACGCCCATGGGTCACAGCGTACCGTTGCCTCCGCTTAATTCCCTCCCTGCTTCATTCCCTCCCCCTACCCACTGCCTGCCTTCCTTGTAGGGTCTGTGCCGCATGCTCAAGGAGTACTACCGCGAGCCCATCAAGGCGGCGCGCCTGTGGGTGCACGAGTGCGAGCGCGTCTTCCGCGACCGCATGATCAACGACGCGGACATGATCAAGTTTGACGAGTTCCGCTTCGCAGTCACCAAGAAGTGAGTTGCAGGATGGTTTCGTCTGGGTGGTTCCGATGGTTGCGTCGGCAGGAGCACCTGGGCCCTCGTCTTGAGCCTTCCTTCACAGGGGCCACCCGCCTCTATACACTGCTTACTTGTGTTGTTACTCCAGTTTCTTTCGGAACTAAGCTGCTTGCTGATCACTACCAACCTGCAGGTACTTTGACGACTGCGGCGGCATGACGGCAATCGAGGAGCGCCCCCTCATCTACGCCTCGCACGCCTCCATGACCTACAACTCCGACGACCTGCCCGTCTACTGCTCCATCGGCACCTACGACACGCTGCGCAAGACCCTGGAGGACAAGCTGCGCGAGTACAACGAGTCCAACGCGGTCATGGAGCTGGTGCTGTTCCAGCAGGCCATGGAGCACGTGACCCGCATCAGCCGCATCATCGACCTGCCCCGCGGTAACGCCATGCTGGTGGGCGTGGGCGGCTCCGGAAAGCAGTCGCTGGCGCGCCTGGCGTCGTACATTTGCGGTTACGAGGTCTACCAGATCTCCGTGAGTTCCACGTACGGCATCAACGACTTCAAGGAGAACCTGCTGGGGCTGTACCGCAAGGCCGGCACCAAGGGCGTGCCCATTACCTTCCTCATGACGGACAACCAGATTGTGAAGGAGGGCTTCCTGGTGTACATCAACGACCTGCTGTCCACCGGATACATTGCGGATCTGTTCACGCCCGAGGACAAGGAGGCGTTCTGCAACGCGGTGCGCAATGAGGTGAAGGGAGCTGGCATCCTGGACACGATGGAGAACTGCTGGGACTTCTTCATTGACAAGGTAAGCGGGCCTTTTTGGTGTGCTTTGGGTTGGTTAAGGCCTGAAGCTATAACATCATTCAGCAGGGAGTTGTCTTAGGCATGCTTGCTCGCTAGGCTTTTTGCACCAAGCTGGGACATGGGATAGGCGGGTTTGCTAAGCACACCCTTCAACTCCGGTCCAACTTTACACGCAGGTCCGCCGCTTCCTGCACATCGTGCTGTGCTTCTCGCCCGTCGGCGACAAGTTCCGCATCCGCGCGCGCCAGTTCCCCGCGCTGGTCAACTGCACCATGTTTGACTGGTTCCACGGCTGGCCGGGCGAGGCGCTGGTGTCAGTGGCGCAGCGCTTCCTGGTGGATGTACCCAACATGGAGGAGGAGGTGCGCGAGAACATCGCGTACCACATGGCCTACGCGCACCAGTGCGTGTCGGAGGCTTCGGAGCGCTTCAAGGAGGCCTTCCGCCGCTACAACTACACCACGCCCAAATCCTACCTGGAGCTGATTAGCCTGTACAAGACGCTGCTGCAGGTGCAAAGGGGTGTTGCTTAGCATGTCGGGGGGCGGCTGTGACTCTCGCTGAGTGCCCAGAAATATTTGTCTCCGAAGCCAAGACCCGTTACATGTTCGGTGAAGCCCTAACGCGCATTATGAGGCGGTTCCGGTTTAAAGTGCTCCCCACTCGCATGCCTGGCCTAACCTGAAAACCCAACGTTTGCCGGCTGCAGATCAAGCGTGAGGACCTGCGCAAGAGCAAGGAGCGTCTGGAGAACGGTATCGACAAGATCGCGCAGGCGTCGTCGCAGGTGACGGACCTGCAGCGCGTGCTGAAGGAGGAGCAGGTGGTGGTGGAGGAGAAGAAGGCGCAGACGGACGAGCTGATCGTGTCCATCGGTCGCGAGAAGGCCATTGTGGACCAGGCCGTGGAGGCGGGCCGTGAGGTGCGTGCGGGCGAGGAATGGGCGGGGGCGGGTGGAGCGTGCGGGCTGGGGCGGGATGAATAATAATTGCAGCAACGGAGCTGGGGAGGGGGCTGGGGGGAAACTATGAAAAATAAATGCCGCTGAGGCTGGGGGGCGGGGACGGGTGGAGCGGGACAGGCGGGTGGGTGGGCTGAGGAGCATGTGGGGGACTGGGGTAAAGTAATGGGGTAATTCGAGCCAAGCGAATAGCCCTGACCATGACCACCTTTTCTTCGCCCGCCTGTGTTTTTACCCACCTTGCTCTCTACAGGACGAGGAGTCTGCTACCCGGCTCCAGGCGGATGTGTCGGCCTTCCAGGCTGAGTGCGAGCGTGACCTGGCTGATGCTGAGCCCATCATTCAGCAGGCGGAGGCGGCGCTTGACTCGCTCAACAAGAAGGAGTTGTCTGAGCTCAAGTCGTTCGGTAGCCCAGCCGCTGAGATTGTGCAGGTGGCTGCGGCTTGCCTGGTGCTCACGTGCGGTGGCAAGATCCCCAAGGACCGTGACTGGAACGCCGGCAAGAAGATGATGGCGGACGTGAACTCCTTCCTGGCCAGCCTGAAGAGCTTCGACAAGGACAACGTGCCGGTACGTTTTGGCGTGGCTTTGTGATGTGGCAGGGCATGGGCTTTGCTCCCGGATTGCTCCGGCTTTGCTCCCGGATAAGGGTGGATAAGGGTACCGGTATCTAGACATGTCGCTGTCTGCACCTACGAGTACAAGTTACGTTGTGCCCTTATGCGCTTCTGGGTCGGAGGAGTAGGTAGCTACCTTGGTCTTGACATGCAATTAAAGATTCAGTTATGACATCCCGGGCGTATGCATGCCTGCATGCGCGCAGGTCATTTGCGTGGAGACGGTGGAGAAGGACTACATCTCGCTGCCCGGATTCAACCCGGAGAACATCAAGGGCAAGTCCGCTGCCGCTGCCGGTCTGTGCAGCTGGGTCATCAACATCTGCAAGTACTTCCGCATCTACCAGGTGAGCAGGAGGAGGGGTACAGCGGGACAACGGGATAGCGCGTATCCATGTGCTCGTACAACGTACCAGGACGCCAGTAAGCGCCTTCCAAGGCAACTCCGCATACAATCTTAACTCCCTCCTGCTTGCCCTCCTGCCCCGCCTCCTCTTCTTTCCTCCCCCCAGGTCGTGGCACCCAAGCGTGCTGCCCTGGCGGAGGCCAACAAGAAGCTGGACACCGCCAACAAGAAGCTCAGCGGCATCCGCGCCGAGGTGAAGCGCCTGCAGGACCGCGTGGCGCTGCTGGAGCAGAGCCTCATGAAGGCCACGGAGGACAAGAACGCCGCCATCGCGCAGGCGGAGCGCACCGCGCGCAAGGCCCAGATGGCGGAGCGCCTGATCAACGGCCTGTCCGGCGAGAACACCCGCTGGGGCGCGGAAATCAAGCGGCTGGAATCGCTGGAGGGCAGGCTGGTGGGCGACGTGCTCATCGCGTCGGCCTTTGTGTCGTACGCGGGGCCCTTCAACATGCAGTTCCGGAAGAGCCTGGTGGACGAGAAGTGGCTGCCGGACATCATCGAGCGCCAGATTCCCATGACCTCGGGCATCAAGCCGCTGGACTTGCTCACGGATGACGCCACCAAGGCTAAATGGGCCAACGAGGGGCTGCCCACGGATCCGCTGTCAGTGGAGAACGGCGCCATCATGACCAACGCCAGCCGCTGGGCGCTGATGATTGACCCGCAGCTGCAGGGCATCAAGTGGATCATCAACAAGGAGACCGCGAATGGCCTGGTGATCATCCAGCAGAGCCAGCCCAAGTACATTGACCAGGTGGGACGGCAGGCAGGGAGGGTGGGTGGGTGGGAGGGATGGGGAGTGGGTGGCCTTGGACTGAAAGAACGTGCATAGAAGAACGCTTCCATTGGTCTATGCTGCCTGCCTGTCTGTCACCGTGGCACTGGTTAACGATCTTCTTTCCAACCCTAAACTCCGTGTCCCGCCCTTTCACCGTGTCTCCACTCCACAGGTCATTCACTGCATCGAGAACGGCTGGCCGCTGCTCATCGAGAACCTGCCGGTTGACATTGACGCCGTGCTGGATCCCGTCATCGGCAAGATGACCATCAAGAAGGCGCGCCAGATCATCATGAAGATCGGCGACACCGAGGTCTCCTATGACAACCGCTTCCGCCTCTACCTCCAAACCAAGCTCTCCAACCCGCACTACAAGCCCGAGGTGGCGGCGCAGACCACGCTGGTCAACTTTTGCGTGACGGAGAAGGGTCTGGAGGACCAGCTGCTGGCGCTGGTGGTGGATCACGAGCGGCCCGACCTGCAGGAGCAGGCGGCGGGGCTGGTGCGCTCGCTGAACGAGTACAACATCACGCTGGTGGAGCTGGAGAACAACCTGCTGTACAACCTGGCCAATGCCACGGTAGGGGCGGAAGGAGGATGGCGGAGGACGCGGTGTGTTGGGAGGGGAGGGGATACGGGTAATGCGGTGGTATATGGGGCTGTTGGGGGGTAAGGATTAGCTGTGCGGGTTATGGTGGGCAAGGAGTGCGGGTGGAGTTATCCTTAACGGCCTGGTAGCTGCGGGTGGTAAGGTCGTTACAGACGGAAATAGGTTACAAGGGAGATGGTTGCGGTTAGGACTCCTTCCTTACCTGACTCTTCCTTTGGTTTACCCTTGCCCCAGGGTAACATCCTGGAGAACATTGAGCTGATTGAGGGTCTGGAGGAGACCAAGCGCACCGCCGTGGAGATTGAGGAGAAGGTCAAGCTGGCGAAGCAGACCGAAGTCCAGATCGCAAAGGCGCGCGAGGTGTACCGCCCTGTGGCGACCCGTGGGTCACTGGTGTACTTCCTGATTGACAACCTGAACGCCCTGGACCGCGTGTACCACTACTCCATGGCCAACTACGTGTTCGTGCTCAAGAAGGGCATGGACATGACGCCTGGCTCCAAGGACGAGAGCAAGGTGGGTGGCTCACCTTGGGTTTGGGAACTGAGAAGGCTAAAGGTAGTCGCCTTCTAACCGCAGGCTAGATGCCCAGTCATAAGTAAGCCGCTGTATATTGCACATCTGGCCAGCAGCGACCCGGGCTTGCCGCAACCAACATGCCAACCACCTGCTGTTACCGGTATGCTCCCCTGCCCCTCTACCCTCGCAACCCTACCCTCCCCAGGTGCCCATGGCTGAGCGGCTGGGTCAGGAGGTGGACCTGGACAAGCGCGTGGAGCTGCTGGTGGAGACCACCTGCTTCGTGCTCTTCTCCTACGTGGCGCAGGGGCTGTTCGAGCGGCACAAGCTCATCGTGGCCACGCAGCTGTGCATGCAGATCCTGCGCTCGCGCGCCGAGCTGCACTACGCCAAGTTCGAGTACCTGCTGCGCGGGCCCAAGGTGATGGGCGCTGACAACCCGCTGCACGACTGGGTGTCGGACAGCGTGTGGGGCAGCGTGCAGGCGCTCAAGGAGCTGGACGACTACCAGGTGGGGGTGGGGAGCGGGTGTGGAGAGCGTGTCGATAGGATGTATAGGGGGAAATTGGATGGGTTGCATTTCACGGATGGAAGCCCCGAGGCTGGTAGCCATGCAGCGCGTTTTGTATAGTCTGGTGGCGCCCTCCATGTGAGTGAGAGTTTACGTATCATGTCTCATCTATTTGGGGGTTCCCCTCTCATTGTGGTGGCCGCACACACAGGGCCTGCCTGAGGACCTGATCGGCAGCTCCAAGCGCTGGCGCGAGTGGATGGAGCTGGAGCGGCCCGAGGATGAGCCGCTGCCGGGTGACTGGAAGCGCATGCAGGAGTTCGACAAGCTGCTGCTCTTCAGGTGGGTGCAGGGCGGCTGTGGGTGCGGAAGCTGGGTGCGGAAGCTGGGTGCATGGGCGCGTCTCGCCTGACCATCACACGCTGGAAGATACCGGTACCCCTCCATTCAGCAACTGTTAAACTCCATTCGCTACCATGCGGCGCCCCAAGCCTCTAGCGCTTGTCAGTCCCCTTAGGCCTGGATACCGATACAACCTCTTTCCCAACTTCCATGCCTTAACCACTCCCGCGCCCCCACCACCTCCCCGCACAGGGCCCTCCGCCCCGACCGCCTGACGTCCGCCATGGGCCGCTTCGTGACCAACATGCTGGGCGCCAAGTACGTCACCAGCCAGCCCTACGACCTGGAGCGCTCCTTCCAGGACGCCAGCCCCGGCACACCCATCTTTGTCTTCCTGTCCCCCGGTGTGGACGTGGCGGGCAGCGTGGAGGCGCTGGGCAAGAAGCTGGGCTTCACGCTGGACAACGGCAAGTACGCATCCGTGTCGCTGGGTCAGGGCCAGGAGCCCATTGCGATGGACCGCCTGTCCGCGGCGCACAAGAACGGCGGGTGGGTGCTGCTTCAGAACATCCACCTCACCATCGACTGGACCACCAACCAGCTGGACAAGAAGGTGGACAAGCTGGTCGAGGGCGCGCACTCGGACTTCCGGCTGTTCCTGTCGGCGGAGCCGCCTCCGGCACTGGAGCGCGGGCTGCCTATTTCGCTGCTGCAGAACAGCATCAAGCTCACCAACGAGCCGCCGGAGGGTCTGAAGGCCAACCTGCGTCGCGCCTGGAACAACTTCAACGAGGAGATCCTGGAGAGCTGCGCCAAGCAGGCGGAGTTCCGCGCCATTGTGTTTGCGCTGTGCTACTTCCACGCGGCGCTGCTGGAGCGCAAGAAGTTCGGTGTGGGCAACCTGCCGGGCGCGCGGTCGGGCATCGGCTGGAACATGAACTACCCGTTCAACACCGGCGACCTGCTGTGCTGCGGCCAGACCGCCAACAACTACCTGGAGAACAACGTCAAGGTGCCGTGGGAGGACCTGCGGTACAACTTTGGCGAGATCATGTACGGCGGCCACATCGTGGAGGACTATGACCGCCGCCTGGCCATGTGCTACCTGCGCAAGTATGTCAACGAGGGACTGCTGGAGAACATGGAGTTCTTCCCCGGCTTCGGCATGCCGCCCAACACCGCCAACCACCGGCAGGTAGGCTGCTGCTGCTCCCTGGGGTTACCTCCTGGGAGGCATGGGAGAGGGATGCTTGGGGCTTGCCTTGCTATGGCGGTTATTGGCCGCCATCCTGTTATGTGAACTTTCTTGTTCCATTGCACAGCTTAGGATAGCCTTGCAATATTATCTGTGGGGCGTGTTCCCGTTATACATGAGCTGTCTGCAAGCGGTATGCATTTGGTTATCGCCTTTACCTCAACGGTTCGCCCCATGGCTACCGGTGCCACCACCACCCCTCCCCAGGTGCTGGAGTTCATCGACGAGCAGATGCCGCCCGAGACGCCCCTTGCCTTTGGCCTGCACCCCAACGCGGAGATTGGCTTCAAGCTGCGCGAGGCGGAGTCTTTCTGCAACAGCCTGGTGCAGCTGCAGCCACGCGAGGCAAGCGGCGAGGGCGGCATGAGCGCCGAGGAGCGTGCCAAGCTGGTGCTGGACGAGGTGGTGGACAAGCTGCCCGACATCTTCGACATGGAGGACGTGCGCTCCAAGATCAACCCCGACGACCCCAACATGCCCTTCGTCATGGTGGCAATCCAGGTAGGGTTCTGGATCGGTGTAGCGGGCGCAGCAGCATCGCAGCATGGCCATGGGGGTTGGGTGGGTGGGTGGGTGAGGTCAAGTGCAGCAGTCACTTGTTCCCTTTCGCTACCATGCAGCATTAGGTCTCCGCCTTCCTGTTACTCCTTTTAACTACCGTAATAACCAATTCCTTTCCCCTCCTCCTTCACCCCCTCTGTACCCCTCTGTAGGAGTCGGAGCGCATGAACATGCTGCTGGCGGAGATGAAGCGCTCGCTGCTGGAGCTGGACCTGGGCCTCAAGGGCGACCTCACCATGACGGAGCCCATGGAGCGCCTGCTCAAGGCGCTCGCCACGGACGCGGTGCCCGGCTCCTGGCGCAACCTGGCCTACCCCTCGCTGCGGCCGCTGGGCTCCTGGCTGGGCAACCTGCTGGCGCGGCACGCGCAGCTGGTGGACTGGACGGCGGAGCTGATGACGCCCAAGGCGGTGTGGCTGTCGGGGCTGTTCAACCCGCAGTCCTTCCTGACGGCGGTCATGCAGGCCACCGCGCGGCGCAACGACTGGCCGCTGGACAAGACCGTCATCATCACCGAGGTCACCAAGAAGCAGCCCGACCAGATCGAGGCCAACAGCCGCGACGGCGCCTTCGTGCATGGGCTTACGCTGGAGGGTGCGCGCTGGGATGACAAGATTGGCGCGTTGGATGATTCCAAGCCCAAGGAGCTGTTCTGCCCCATGCCGGTGATTCTGGTGCGTGCGGTGACGCAGGACAAGGCGGAGATGAAGGATGTGTACAAGTGTCCGGTGTACACCACGGAGGCGAGGTTCCGTGAGGAGGTGTTTGAGGCGCAGCTGAAGAGCAAGCACTCGGAGATTAAGTGGGTGCTGGCGGGCGTGTGCCTGTTCTTGGACGTCGTGTAAGACGTAGGTGGTGATGTTCGACTGCTTTCTCTACTAAGGTATTGTTAGTGACAAGCTGTTCTTATTTATGAGACGCACCACGTGCGGTGATCAGTGCCGAATGTGACGATGGCGGGGCGCCTACTGCGTGATACTTGTGGACAAATGTAGATTACGCGTGTGAGGGCAGGACATGTGCGTGGTTACTGCCGCTTTCGGACGCAGGTGACTAGGTGTGCGTACAGGTTGTGTGTTTGTGACCTTACGTCCTTTCAGCTGAATGTCATTGCTGGCTGGAACTCGAAGGGGACTTGGGGTGCACTTGGCGTATGTATATATCCTTTCGCATGAACGTGATTCCTGCATGCCGCCTCACCCGGAGGGGGACGAAGCACAGCGTTCATGGTTGGCATGTCTTATGTAACATACAAGGGCATACGGTACCATGTCTCCATGTGTCCCAATACGCCAATTGAATTCCCATGTCTCTCACTTAACCCAGCGGCCTAGGACGTCACAACAGCGCTTTGCATTCCTCCCAGATGTGCTCGGACCAACGGGCCAGGGTAAAGTGATATGTCGTTAGTGCCTGCCGTGCTTCTAGTTGACAAAATTAAAATCCACACCTAGTCTAGCCTAGTAGCAGAAACCCGCCAATGGACTATCGACAGCAGTTTCGTGACCCTTCTACCCTGACGTACCCCTTCCCATAGCTAGATCCCAGTTCCGGCAGGCCAACTGACCTACTTTGACATTACATAATGGATGGGGCTTCAGCTACATTCGTAATAAGAGCCACTAATTGCCGAAGCTAACAGCGATGCCGTTGTCCATTGCCCGGTCTAGCCCGTACCGGTACTGCCATCTAGCCAATTTTTATGCGATCAATTGCTGACCGGGCTAGCCTTTGTGCGCGTGATTTTTTCGTCAACAGTCCGTTGCTATGGAACGCTTGTAGATTTCGATGACGGCCTTAGGGGCCTGGAACAGCCATGCAACGCCGAGTCGCCGATACTTACGAGAATGCTTGGCCTAAAGCTTCTCTTCACCACAAAGGCTGATGAGCGATTCCCTGTAGTGCTCGATTTTGGACTAAGCTCGTCCCAGCTCAAAGCCCCGAGAGATGACTATATCGGTATACCTGCGGGCACCGAGAGTCTAAGCGCTTCATACACATGGGATGCTTGCAGTACTGGTAATGTAGCTCAGCGGACAGGAGCGCGTTGGCTTTCCCCAGGTTGGAATGCGGCTTCGAGGTTTGGCGACGTCAGCACCCATGGCTCAGTGCTTGGCGCAAAAGTTCCATCATCACTAAGCAGAGAGGCGGGCTTTTCATCGCGCTTATCATGGCCAGCAAGCTGGTTGCCGAGCTTTCCTTGGAATGCAACCGCATCATTTGGTCCGCGACGGTCTGCCACAGGCGCAAAAATGCAGTCTTGTGTTGGTCGCAGCTCGCTAGGCGTTATTTCCGGGAGTGCGCTTGGGGCCGTGTTGAACAGTCTCGTACGGCCTCCTCCAACATCTGCTTGCCAGACCCTTAGCGCTACTCATCGCCACACAGTGGCGCTATTGCCCCAGGCCGCTGCCATCGCGAGCTCCGTCAGCACCAGCATCCCAACCTCTGCCCCCTTATCTCTCATCAGCTCCTGCACGGACCCCTTTGACACTTTTGAGCGACATCCATCCACCACCTCACCCTCCTGTCCGCCAGCCCCCGCCTTCTCGACCTTACCCGCCAGCCAGCCTGCTTCCTTTCCTGCCCGCAGCCATCCTCACAGCCTGCCTCACAGCCACCCGAGCAGCTACACGGCCCATGCTGCCACCTCCTCCTCCGTCCACCCAGTCCCGACCCCAGCGCCCCCCTCCTCACACGCACCCAGCGGCCCTACTACAACCCACGCTGCCGCTTGTGCCTCTGCCTCGGCATCCCCCCCATGGGCCGCTGCGCCCGCCCCCAGCTCCCAGCCCCCCCGGGAGCTTGGTGGCGCTACCCACAGCGCCACCTGCTACCCACCAGGAGGAGGAGGAGGAGGAGGAGTGGGCTGCCATGCAGGAGGAGCAGCTGCAGGGGTAACGCAGGCCTGCAGTCTGGAGCAGCAGCAGCAGCAGCAGCTCTGGCGGCAACCCCAGCAACCCAGCAGCCTACATAGGGAGCAACCCTGGGAGGCAACCCAGTGGCAGCGACATCAATCCCATGACGCATCAGGGACTCCGATTGCGGCGCCACCTGCGTCAACCGCTCAGTTCGCTGTATCAGCGGAAACGCAGCAGGGGTGGCAGCAGCAGCAGGGGCAGGGGCAGCAGCAGGGGCAGGGGCAGGGACTGTCCCCAGCTGCCATCTTGTCCGGGTGGGGCGGGGGCGAGGTGCAGGGTGCCACCGGTCTACCACCGGCACCGCAGCAGCAGCAGCAGCAGCAGCCTCAGGAAGGCTCGGGTCCGCTGCTGCCCAATGGCTTGCTGTTCCTGTCTCCCCTGGCGCCGTCATGGGGGGTGCACCTGCCGGGCAGGCAGCCGGTGACACTGGCAGCGGTCCTAGCGGGCGCAGCGGCAGGGATGGGGACAGCGGCAGGGACGGGGACAGCAGGAGTGGCAGCAGCGGGGGCAGCAGCAGCGGCAGGGTTGTTGTCGCAGTGGCGGGTGCTGCGGCAGCTGTACCGGGGGTATGCCAGCGGGGTGTACAAGGTGCGTGGGAGGTGGGGGGAGGAGGTGGTGGTGGTTTGAAGTTGGTTGGAGGTTGGCTGCGGGGAGGGAGGTGGAAGGGTGGCCAGGCAAACCACCCGTCGCTGTGCGGGAGGAGAGGGGGGGTGTTCACTAGACCCCTTGTGGGGGTACCGTACCACATGGCGGTCGAGGAAGGGCTGCACTAGAAGAGCTTTTCTGTGAACTGATTCAACAACACTGCCCTTGCAGCCTCCTGCTCCTCTTCTTACCATGTTCTTCTTCTTCGAGCTGGCCCTTTACCACACCCCGCTCCCCACTTCCCCCCCTCTCCCCCCCCAGGCCAGCTGCCTGCTGTCCGGCGCCGACGTGGTGCTCAAGGCCTACAACCTGGCCAGCCTGTCCGGCTTCCTGCGCAACCAGGTGCTGCGCGAGCTGGACATCCACTCGCGGCTGGCGCACCCGGGCGCCGTGCAGCTGCTGGCGGCGTTCAAGGAGGGCGAGGTGCTGGTGCTGGTGCAGGAGTACGTGCGCGGGGGCTCGCTGGACCGCGTGCGTCGCAAGCTGGGCGGGCGCATGACGGAGTTCCAGGCCATGCACCTGGTGCTGCTGCCGCTGCTGGGCGTGCTGGCGTACCTGCATAGCAAGGGAATCGTGCACAGAGACATCAAGCCGGTAGGGAAGGGGGTGGGGTGGGGAGGGGGTGGGGTGGGGTGGGGTGGGGAGGGGTAGGGGAGGCAAGGAGGGGGAGCTGTGAGCAGACAGGGTGCGGGTGCGAGATGGAAGTGTTCATATTTCACAGGATGGCCCTGAGCGGGAGACAGAGTAGGCCCCTTCCCTTCCCTCACCTCCTCGGCCCCCCTCTCCCCTCCTCTTCCTCCCCTCCCGGCCCCCAGGAGAACCTGTTGTTCACCGAGGACTGGCAGCTCAAGGTGTGCGACTACGGCGTGTCCATCTGCCTGCATGAGGAGCGGGCGGTCACACGGACGGGGTCACGGGAGTACATGGCGCCGGTGAGTGGCAGGGCAGGGGGGAGACATGAGGGGGCGCGAGGGAGTACATGGCGCCGGTGAGTGGCAGGGCAGGGGGGAGACATGAAGGGGCGCGAGGGAGTACATGGCGCCGGTGAGTGGCAAGGGAGAAGGCAGTGGTGGGTCACTGCGGGGGGTGGTGCTACTGCCGTAGCTGCCTTGCAGCTCTGCTAGGGGACTAGCTAGCTCAGGTCCTAACTTCTGCACTCCCCACACCTGCCTCCTCTGATCTCCCCCCCCCGCCCCCCTCCAGGAGGTGAACATCTGCCCCCTGAAGCGCGGCCCCGAGGACAACAAGGACAACGCCGCTCTGTCGTACGGCTGCTCGGTGGACGTGTGGTCCCTGGGCGCACTGGTGTACGAGCTGCTGGTGGGCTTCACGCCCTTCCCGGGGGGGCCGCCGCCGCGGAAGGAGGGAGCCACGGGGTCGGCGGCCAAGTCGCTGGCCTACCCCGGGGGCGTCAGTGCGGGCGCGCGCGCCTTCGTGCAGGCGTGTCTGGAGCTCGAGCCGGCGGACCGACCCACGGTTCCGCAGCTGCTCATGCACCCCTGGGTGCAGAACGCGCTGGTAGGGAGGCAAGGGGAGGGAGGAAGGGAGAAGCAGAGAGGGAAGGAGAAGCATGCGTTAAATGAGCGTGGCATACTGGGTAGGAGGGAAGTAGAAGGAGGGGGAGGATGAGAAAGAGGAGGCAGGCAGGGTGGGGTTAGGTAGCGTAACAGGTAACGCCGTGCAAGGTGAGAGGGAGAAGCAGGAGGGCACGGATTGCTAACTTTGTATCAGCAGCTACCAGCAGCTAATTGTGCGATGCGTTGTGTCCTGCTGCGTCCTGCCCCCTGCCCCCTGCCTGCGCCCCCCTCCCCTTGCACGGAAACAGGCTGCCAGGGGCGGTGGTCAGCTGCATCCCCCGCTACACGGCGCAGCGCGGGCGGCTGGGTGCTGCTAAGTGGTGTGGCCGCTTCAAGGTAGGCTGCAAGCTAGCAGCAGCGGCAGCAGCAGCAGCACTCGGAGGTTGCAGCAGCAATAGCAGGCAGCACGCATCACTCCACCAGCCGCTTGATGCGCCGTCCGCGCTGACAACAAGGGTTGTGCTTCTGAAAGCAGCAGCACCTGCAGCAACCCCAGCAGCGCAGCAGCGGCCGGAGACTTAGCAGACCTCTCGAGCTCTCAACAACAAGCGGGACCAGCAGCGGGGCTGGGCGGCGAATCAGCACTCGACAACAAGCGGGTAGTGCAATCACAGTGGTGGAATGCACGGAGGTGCGGGTGCGTGTTAGGAGGAGGTGGGGGCACACACCGCTGATAAGAAGCTGCGGTGCGGTGCGTGTGTTGCGGGCAGGTTTTCTCGGAACCAGACGGACCGGCCATAGCCCGCGTTATGTTGGATGGTGGTTAGTGGTATTAATTTAAAAACAAATGCTCAAGTGGCTCAAGATGTTTTGCTGAGGCGCGAATATTTACGGGCTTCGGAAGCACGGCTCGAGGGTTGCCTGACACTCACAATTTTCCTGTTCCGTGTTTTTGCCATCACAGGGGCTTTTCGGCGACCCGACCGCAACCCGCTTATTGTTGCAATTTCGCGTTGGGTATTGCGCTTTAGTTGGTTTCACCTTGGTTTGGCTTTACATGGTTCTGCTTCCTACGTACGGAACGCTTCCTACCTTAACTGCGGGGTACCCCGCCGAGGACCTGTGCCCCGACAAGCTGTATTTGGGGCTTTGTGGGGGCTGTCAGAGCTCCTGTTGACGAAGATTGACGACGAAGACTGCTTAAAAGATCGCCCTGTTCTTCCGCGTTTGCTCGCGCGCGTGGGGACGAGGCCGCCACGCCCGGTCTTGTTCCCGGCCCGGCTGTGTTATAGATATCAGGATATGTATGGGGCGCTGTTTTGCTGTTTGGATTTCGAAGGAAAGCGCTCGCTTGCTCGGACTCGTGCGTACGGTTGCCGTACCCTGCTTTACGTGACATGTACGGTATTACTGACGCCACATGTGACGGTTTGGCAACTTAGCAATGGCGCGGTTGGTTGGTTCAACGGTCGGTCGTTGAGGTTTTGCGGAAGGTTGTGTTTTGGGCGTGTGCCCGTGCGGCTGTGTTTTGGGGTGGCTTCCTGTGTGGACCACCTCCGGATTGTATCGGTTGTGTGATGCATTGCATGCTCCAGTAGCCCCGCCCCTGGCAGGTCTTGTAGTCTGTCGGCGACCTTCATAGGTGAGGACACTGACGCTGATAGCTTAAATACCTTTTAACGTAATCTCTTAACGTAATGAGTTGCCGACACGCACGTTGGGTATTTGGTTTGGTTTGGCGGTGTGGCAATCCCGTGGGTGAATGGTGTGGCGTGTGTTAAGAAAACTGGCGGCGAGTAGGAACGTACTGGGATGTCGGAAGATGAAGTCCCCACAGAACTGTGTGTGTGTATAACAGGGTCCTTGGCCAGTATGTATAACAGGGTCCGCCTACCCCCGGTCTCGTCCTTATGCGGTTGCACGGTTGTCGATTCCACACCTCTGTCTTGGCTCTTGGCTTCACAGGAGCGGGCAGGGCGGTTCTCGCGGTTTCACGAGGTCCCACGTGATTTGCATGTTGTCCTACTCGAGGAGGCGTTTTGCGTGCGTGCGATCTCTCCTTGGGCGCGACCCCAGGGGACACTCTAGCACTGATGGTGATGCGATGCTGCATGGTACTGCTGCTGCTGGTGGTGCTGTTAGGCATATCAGTCAATAAAGAAGAAGGAAGGAGTGAGACAGTTACCGGGTTAATAATAGTAAGTTAGTAAGTTGTCGTACCTTGTACGAAACGCCTTCACAAGGCAGGGTGTGCGCCTTTGGCCTTCCTTGCGGTTTGTTTGTTTGTTTGTTCTGGGATGCCGCTGTTGCTGTGTCGCTGTCGCTGTCGCTGCTGCTGCTGCTGCTGTCGCTGCTGCTGCTGTCATTGTTAGCTGGGATGGTGGGTTGGGAGGTGTCGATTGGGGTGGTGAGGGTTTCCGTTATACCCCTAGCTCCCCAAGTGCCTCCAGGACGGAGGAAAGCTGCTCACCCCTTAGACACGTGTACTTAGATTACCAGCCCCGTGTTACGGATACCCCGGAGGGCGCCTTGCCTTGCCTGGCCGGTCGTTGGCTTCTTAGCGTGTCTGCGGCGTTTGGTTTCGTCGGCCACACAGACACACACCTAGCTGTTTTTTGTTTTACCACAATCCCGCACGGGCGAGAAGAAGCGTTGTGAGCGCTTCAGGAACGTAAGCGTCGTTGCTGTTGTGCTATGTTGTTGTTGTGGTGGTGGTGGTGGTGGTGGTTTGCTGGCGGGGCGTGTACTTGCGTGTGTTGGCACTTGCCGCTCAGTTGCGTGTAGGCTCAGTAGTTGATTAGAAGTTATACCACACGCCCGGGGTCCACGTGACCTCTCCTCGCGCGCGCGCTTTCATGCCTCCACAGTAGGCTAGGCTGTTGGTTTGCACCGGCCTGCCTGAAGGGTTTTTGTAGGAATAGTAATAACTAAGCGTTGAAAGTGGTTGCAGTCTGGCAGGGGTATCGTTGCCCTCTCTGCAGGGCTGTGCTACTACATACACAAAGTTAGGCCTTTACCACTTATGTGGCGGGCAGGTTGAGGTTACGGCAGGGTTGTCTGTTTGTCGGGATTCGTTCTGCAGAATTTGTGTTGTGGTCATAGTATGTCGTCCCGGGCACAGTTATTTCCGGAAAGGCATGATATCGGTGCGCCAGGCATGCGCCTGAGGCGTCCTTGGGCCCTGGGCGGGTCCTGCCGTACATCCGTGCAACGCTCGTTATTGTACGGTGTTTGTTAGATGGGTGGTGCTTATTCTTAGAGGGGTTCACACATGATGTGCGTTGTTGGAGGAGGATTCTACTGTGGTCGATGGGTGCGGATTTTGTGCTTTGCTTCCTTTACTGCTTCCTTTCCATGCACATATGATTTCATCACACGCCGTGGTAGACGGGTCCAATCCACATGCATCGTTATCATGTAATACAGTTGTGGTGTCCTGGCCGAGGGGTTTCTAGTCATGTGACCCCAGTCAGCCCCATCTTGTCAAGAAGAAAACCGCTCATTCCTGAAGCCGCTGCCGCTCATTCGCAGCCTTCCTCACCGGCTGTACAGCACATACGACGGTTTAACAGGCCTTGTCCGCATCCACCTCGACTTAAACTCCTCACTAGCACCTTACGCGCCTGCTGCCCTCCCCTCTGCAAGCCCTTCCCTTCCCCCCTGCTCCCCTCCCCTTCTGCACGCGAACGCAGTGTGACTCACACTGCGTGAGGGGCCGCCACACAGCGCAGCCCACCGCATCCACACCCGCCTTCTTCCCCTTCGCCCCCAGCACCGCCAATCGCAGCTTCTTCATCACCACCCCCACCCCTTCCCCTCTTTCGCCCTCCGCCTCTTCCTCCCACTTCGCCCTCCAACGGGCGTGAAGTGTCCATGTCCACCTGCCTGCACCGCCCCCGCCCCCTTCCCCCCCGCCGTCATCATCCTATCCGCACGCCCGCTCAGTCAGTTTCCTTAACTCTTACCCCCCACCCCCATCATCCCCCCCCCCCGCTGCTCACGCCACCGTGAGGTCATCGTTCCAATACACATGCAGCACTGGCACGTAATAGTCGGAGGGCACGTGGTGGTCCTCGAAGGTCGGGCCCTCGTCGGGGACACCGTTGTCAGCCAGCGTGCGGTTCATGTCCAGCTCCTGAGGGGCGGGGGGGGGGGGCAGGAGGGGGGGGAGGAGGGGGGGCGCAGGAAGGTTAAAAGAGGATACTGACGAAGTGGCAGGGAGGTGGGGAGGCGGGTATTGGAGGGGGAAATAACGAACTGTACAACATGCGGACAGGAGGAGGTGTAACGAGGGAGCAGTGTCCATGTGACACATGCAGGCATGTAGGTGCCACCACCAAGGGTGCATCAAGGGTGCCAACCCGTGCATCCCATCCCCTCCTCTCCCCTCCATCCCTCTTGCAGCTGCATGCCCGCCTCCCCACCCCCCCCCACCTGGAACGTGTGCCCCCCCACCCTCCCCCCCCCCCACCTGGAACGTGTGCCCCCCCAGGTTCTTGTCCGGCACCAGCGCCTTCCAGGTGTAGCTCTTGGCGTGCGCGTTGAGCTCCATGTAGCGCTCACTGCGGGGGGAGAGGGGGGGGGTGGAAGGGGGGGAGAGGGGGGGGGGGGGCGTGGGGCAGGGCGGGTTGGTGGTACGAGGTGAGGGTGTGGGCGCCCTTCAGGGAGACCACCATGGGTCATGTCATGGGGGGCGGCACGTGGTGGGTGGGGGGCATGTCATGCAGAGGGGGACCAACCCTCCACCCTGCTACTAGCATTACACCATCCTCCTCCCTACCTACAGCTCGTCAATCACTTCATCTGCACACCCCTCCCCCCCCTCACGCGGCTCTCTTTACCCCCCCCCTCCCCCCTCCTCCCGCACCTCCCCCTTCCTACCGTATCTCCGCCATCGTCTCCTCGCACGGCACCTCTATCTGGTCCTCCTGGTCGGTCAGCACATTGCGGATGCGGACCACCCGCGTGCGACCCGACAGCAGGCCGATCTGATGGGGGGGGAGGTGGGGGGTGGGGGGGAGGTGGGGGGGGGAGGGGAGGTGGGAGGGGGGAGGTGGGGGGGAGGTGGGAGGTGAGGTGGGAGGTGGGAGGTGGGGGGGAGGTAAGATAATACCCATGTTTGGGGCGGGTGGAGAGGTGGGAGGAGGGAAGGGAGGGGCAGGGATTGGGGCAGGGCAGGTGGGGATGGGAGTGTGGGAGGCGGGAGGAACACCTAAGTAGGAGGCCCCCCCCCACTTCCCCCCCCTCCCCCCCCCCCCCCCCCCCTCACCTGGTACCTCCTTGCATTCCGCCACCAGGGTGCTCCGAAGCTGGTGTCCCAATTGGACAGCGGCTCGGGGGGCGGCACATGGATGAAGCGACCCTGGGGGTGGGGGTGGGGGAGGGGTTGGGGGGAGAGGGTGAGGAGGGCGGTTGGGGTTGGGGGAATAGAGACATGGAAGAGCTACTTGTTGTTCAGTCGAGGAATGTGAACCGAACCCCCTGGCCCCAGCGCTATTGGTTTGGAGGGGTGGTGCAGCCCACATACCGCACCACCACCACCACCACCACCACCACCACCACCACCACCACCACCACCACCACCACCTCCCATGCCTCCCTCCCCCTCCTCCCCCCCCCTCTCGACCCGCGACCCGGTATCGGTAGGGAATACTAACCAACACTTTGTCTTGTGGCGCCCTGCCAACTCCTACCCCCATTGCTTTGCCCTAACTTGTGGTAGGTCTTTGGTCTTGTCTTTGGTCTGGTATGGTCTTTGACCGCCCTCCCCCTCTCCCCCCCCGTCCCCCCCTCTCCCCCACCATGGGTGTGTAGTACCGCTCCATCTGGGTAACGGGGCACACGTGGCGCCGGGGGTCGCGGGTTTCGGGGTCGAACCTGGGGTGGGAGGAGGGGGGGTAGGAAGTTGGGGGGGTGGGAGGGGAAGAGGAGATGGGAGGAGAGGTCAATGCGAGGGAGCGGCCGTTGTAGCGGGGCTGCTGCTGCTGCTCCTCCTGCCGCAACAATAGGCCAGCAAGAGGTGGGAGGGAGGCAGAGCGCCCTCTGCTCCTCCTCCTCCTCCTCCTCCTCCTCCTCCTGCTGCTGCTGCCGTGCCTCCCGTCCTGCTCCCTTCAGGCCAGGCAGGCAGGCAGCGCCCTCCCTGCTGCTCATCCCTGGATGCGTCTCCGTGCTCTCCTCGTCCAGTAGCTGTGTTACCGTCTTACCACTGCCGCTGCTGCTGCCGCTGCTGCTGCTCCTCCTGCTGCTGCCCTCTGGCTTTCGTCCTTGTGGGTTATTCCATTGCTGCTGCTGGTGCTGCTGCTGGTTGTTGCTCCCCTCGGACCCCCCGCCCCCCCCATGCCATCCCATGCGTCGTACATACACACACACGCACACACGCACCAGTGGGTGATGTCCTGCCCTGCAGCCGCTATGAGGGGAGCGGCTAGGGGTCCCGGATACTCCTGGGAGGGGGGGGGCATGGGGGGCAGGGAGGGATGTTCGTTGCACCGCCTGACTCTGTGGGATGCATGCCCTGAGATACCTGCCAGTTCGTACCTTTATTAGGTCCGATATGTTGTATACGCCTCCTAAAAAGGACACCCAGCAGTCGCTTGGCGTGTTGTGCATTGCAACCTGCAGGGGGTTCGCGGTTATGTATGCCGCGCAATACTGTGCATGGGCACTGGTAGCCACGTTAGCTCCGCACGTGCACGCATACCTCATAGGGGGTATAGTATCTCCGCAGCGGCCCTTTTGGCTGTTTGAATATGCAAAAAGGGTGCGGAAGAAGGCTGTGTCAGGCACGACGAACTGAACGCGACATGCACTGACGCGCGAAGAGCAACTCTTACGGGCGCCATGATCTGAAGCTTGTGTTGTTCAAGAGGTATAGACTTTGGTAACAGTTCCCTGCCTATGTATTATAGCCAACCGTTCGGGGACTTTCGAGTAGAAAGAAAAGCTGGATATGCAATAGCTTGCTAGCAGGTACAATTAATGAAGGTACATCCAAGATGATAATCAGCTCGTTTTGCTTGTGAAGACTCGAGGCTTCTCGTCAGGAAGAAGGGCTTAGAACGACGTACGGATCATTCTTCCTGTGTGTTACACGCTGATAATGGCAGGACTAATGCACCCCTTTCTAAGAATACACCATCCGTTCTTTATCTGACCCGTTTCTTTAAAATGCCAGATAAGTGTTGGGTATGAATCGTCTCCCTGTGGCGACCTGAGCACCTCTATTTGACGTAGAGAGGGACAACGACCACAAGCAATGATGATATGCACATTCAATGTAACGAGACCCCGTTGCTCGCGATAGAAGCTCTGATAGTCATGATTCCACTTGGATGCAACACTCATGCCTTCAAGATCACCTCCACCTGGCTTTAATGATGCAATGCAAGCATCAACTTCTGGCAAGAAGTACAGAAACCATGTATAGGAAGCTTCGATGCCTGCGTAATGCATGTCACAGACCGCTCGTCGTACGAGAACATGGCACTTTTAGAGAATATCTGCAGCAAACATGTTCCTAACATGCACGCACTCATAGAGGGAAAGCGTTGTGTTCATGGAAACAATACTTAGTTGGAAACTGTCATTCCGGGAATGGCTACCTTGCCTACTACGCACCCGGTGCGTCGTGGCGTGCCCCTGACGCCCTCACAGCACGCTGCATTGGTTCAGATTCGTCAGGCAGTTCAGTTATGCGGGGACTCCGGTACTTTGCGCTCTGCGAGGACGCTGGGCCTCGCACTGGCGGAAACTGGATTGATGGTTACGGTCCGGACGTGCGTCGCGAAAGGGTTCCACAGGCTGCGGCATTCCTACCTGCTGGTGCAGTTAAACCATGGAGGTATATCGGGCGCTTTTCTTTAGTGTTGTCTGCGCAAATGTTGCGCGACGCGCCATGATGCTTGCTGCCCACATCGACGAATGGTAGAATGGGCCTGAGCTATGGCGTTATAACCACGTTGATATTATGCTATATCATAGTTGTTGGCTCACCTGCTGACGTCGAAAGTGTCAATTCCTTTGCCACACGCCAAAAGCGCACCACTTTTTACCATTTCACTGCTGCCCTTCTGTCCACAGGTCCTGCAATTGCAGTTGACCCCGAGTTTAAGGACAAATTTTGCTACACGGGGCTGCCAGGTGGAACCTACGCAACATGCGTCGCAGCATTGCCGCAGATGTTTGTTGGAACTCTGGAGGTCGTCACCTCGCTTGTCAAGCTCATGTCTGACGCCTTAATACGCGAAGCAGCCGCGCAGAGCCACGAGCTGCCTCCCTGGCGCTCGGGTCGCGCGCTGCTCAGCAATTGGCTGCCAGCGCACTTCACGGACGAAGTCCTACCACCACCTGCCATCCCCTTGCACCCAGTCCTCACGCAATCATCCTCAAACCACGACAACTGCCAAACGCTTCCCAACTGCTCCAACTATTCCTCCCAGCTGCTACATAAGCCACCACAGCCTCAGCGGGCTCCACTGCTACGTTTCCTCTCGGACGTTTCCTCCTCCTCCTCCATCCCCTGCTCTGCTGCTGCTGCGGCCGCCGATCCAGCCTCCTCCTCCTCCCCTTCTTCCACTATGAAGACGGAGCACGAACCCCAGGCGTGTCAGGAGCATTCTGATTCGGCTGCAGCGGTAGCGGCACCTACTCCTGCTGCGGCTGCTGCAGCTCACGCAACCCGTGCCGGAGCCGCCCCAGCTGCTGCTGCTGCTGCTTCCTGCGGCTGCGCAAATGAGCCGACTCGCATCATACGGGGTTTCGCTGCTCTTCCACCGACCTCCACCACCACCACCACACCCAACACCCACACCACCAGCATCAGGCAACAGCAGCAGCAGCAACAGCAGCAGCCCGTGGCATGCTGCTGGGGCCCAACAGCGGCGACAGCAACCACAACAACAAGACCGGCACGGACGGAAGCGGCGGCAAGGACAAGGGCAGCAGCCGCTCGCAGCAGCAGCAGCAGCAGCGGAGGTTCGGCAGGCGGGGCGCCAGTGTCATTGCTGTCTCGGGGCCTGGCGAAGGCAGCTGCGGTGGCGGCAACAGCAACAGCGGCGGCAGGAGTCATGACGTATCGGCTGCAGCAGCAGCATTTGCAGCAGCAGGCACTGCAGCCGCAGCCGCTGTGCCAGCAGCTGCAGCTGCAGCAGCCGCATCAACAGGACTATCAGCAGCAGCAGCAGTTCTTCCTTCGTCATCAGCAGTACCAATGGCAGCAGCAACAGGCATGGTGGACTCAGCACCAACAACAACAGCGCCAACAACAACTACAAAAGCAACAACAGCTCCAACAGCAGCAGCAGACCGACCAGGCTTGGCCTCCACCTCATACCCATCACCAGCTGCAGCCTGTGCCTGAGGTCCCCGAGGCCTCCGAGCACCCCTCCTCCTCCTCCTCCCCCGTCCCCTCAAGCGCAGTACCAGCCGTACGAGCTGCGGAGAAAGCAGCAGCAGCAGAGGCAGCAGCAGCTCCCGAACCAGCACCTCCGTCACCCTCATCATCCCTGTCCTCATCCATTGCTGGTTACACCACCACCACAACCACCACGCTGCTTCCGCACGCCCTCATGCTTCAAGACAGTCTGGTGGAACCACCACCCATGCTGCTGGCGGGTGCTGCTGGGGCGGGCGCTGCTGCTGCCGCTGCTAGGGGGGCAGTGGCGCAGGGGGAAGGAGACACGCTGCTGGGAGGTCTTCATGCCGCTGCCCCTGAGGCTGATGCTGCCGCTGCCACTGCGGCTGACGTTGCCACTACTACTGCTGCTTCGGCAGCTGCTGCTACGGCAGCTGCAGACGCGTGCGGCCTGCTGGCTACGTCATCACCCTCCTCATCTCTTCCCTGGTCCACACACCTGCCTGCCTTACCGTTGCCGCTGCCGAACCTGGCAAAGCAGGCGAGGAAGACATCCGGTGGTGGTGTCGCTGTCTGCTACTCCTCCTTCACACCGCGCCAGCACCTGCTCCAGCAGCAGCACCAGCAGCAACCCCCTCGCGCAGCCGGCCACAGCCGCGCTGTCCCGGTGGCAGTGGCTGCTGCTAGGTCATTGCGGGGCGGCCGCGGGGGTTCCTCCTCGCGCCTGCTGCTGTCCTCCTCAGCCTGCTGCGCCTCCCCGTCTGCCTCCATGATGTCGCTAGGTGGGCTGCAGCCCCCCTGCGGTGCTGGGAGGCGGACGGGGGGAGCAGCAGGCGGCGGGGGAGCAGGGGGAGGTGGTGGTGGCATTGTTGTGGCTCCGAGGATCATTACGGTGCGTCCGAGGGGGACGGCGACTGGCATGAGACCGGCTACAGTTCGGGTGTGAGAGGCGGTGGTGGTGGTGGTGGTGGTGGTGAAGTGAGAGTAGAGTGAAGAATAGCTGTGTAATGACAAGTAAGGCTAAGGCTAAGCAAGTGACAAGGCCCCATCATGGGTTGCATGGTTGGGGTGCGGTGGGGTTCAGGTGGGGTGCTGGTGAGGGAGAGGAGGAGATGACAGCGCAGGTGAGGAAGGTGTAGTTAGTCGGGAGGGGTGGTGTTGCTTGGTGTGGGCCGGTTGCGATGGAGGAGTTGTGCTGGGAGCAGGAGGCGGCAATTGCTTGTTTGTTTGGTTTGATATAAAGATGTATGTGTGTTATGTTGAAAAAGGGTATTTATTTGCTGTGCGGAGAATGGTCTGCGATTCGGAGGAATGGTTAATAGCGAATGGACTGCTAGACCCCTTCCTAACTAGTTAACGAAGAGAAACATGAAACTCATGTTCAATTATAGCAAATGGTGCAATTGATTGGTGCACGTTGTCTGTTGGGTTGGAGGAAGACACATCGTGCTACCGCTAGCTGGCTGGGGGGATTGAACAGACGGACGTAAGATTCACAGGAGGTTTAACAGACGGACGTAGAGAGTTGTGCTTGGGATTATGGATCCGTTGTGCTGCTCTGTTGGCGCTCGGAGGGCCACTTCCAACACGACGTTCTCGTCAGGTGTACAACGGATAACAACGCAACGCAACGCAGCACACGTAACACACTTTTCTGTGTGCGGTTATCATGCAAGGAAGCGCGGCGGGGGCTTGCTGTGGGGCATGCGGGCTTGCGTCGCTGCACGTGTGTGTTTTCGTGTCTGTCTGTCAGCATGCCTTCATGCGTTTCTTTGAATGCCATCAACAGGCGCTGTTCCGTTACTGAGGATGCGTGGACGAGCCTTGCGTTGCGGGTCACCGCTTTTTTGTGCATGCAACAACCGCAACCGAAGAGTTTTCCCACTTTTGCGGTCGGGAACATGGTATGTTGAGGAAAACTGGCGGGGAGCATGGTTGTATGTTGTGGGGGTGCATTGCCTTGATTGATTGACGACGATTGCGACCCAATACCTGCTGCCGCCTCCTTTGCTTGATACCTCCCATTTTGCTTGATTTTGCTTCCGGGTATTATTGGTAGTCAGGAGCCATGTATGATGTACGAAACCCGGACACCGCTTCCCGTCAGGACGACACTACTCACTCATCACGCATCACCATCGCAACTCCGACGCTTTGGCTAACCTCACACATTAATAGCCATGCCTAAGACCGCACTGTTTCTTACAAGGCCACATGTGCTATGTGGGTTACCGGCTGGGCTTAGTTGAGGTTCCTCGTATATGCAGGAAAAGCGGCTGCCGCTGCTGCTGCCGCCGCATTGTGGTTGGCTGTCGAGATGTTTGAAGCGGTGTGCGTCGTGGTTGCTAGCGAGGTAGAGCTGCGCTTTTGCTGCTGCTGCTGCTTTGCATGTATCGGTTTTGGAGCATGGAGGGGCAACTAATCACCGCAGCTGCGGACTTCAGGGTACTTTTGGTACCTTTTTTTCATGTGCTTTACGCTTTGGCCGACGTTTCGGAGGCAAAGGCCTGGCTGCTAGCTGCATAAGACAAGGAACTTAAATTGGCAACGCTTTCAAACCGGATCCAACCTGCCTGCTTGTTGGTTTTTGTGAAATCCCCGTTATCTTGCGCGCGTGCGCGCGTGTGGGAGCGTGCGGGTGCTTATATCTGCGTATCACACGAGATGATTCATAACAGTCTATCTCCTGCTGCGTAGATTACTAGTATGTTATAATGCAGGTGGCGTAGTTTCCCTGCTAGGAAGGGTGCAGGCTGTCTGTTTTGCCCTCGCTCCTAGGCTGGTTCCGGCGGCGTGTTTTGAAACCTTCTGTCGAATCTGGTGGATCCGATGCTGCTGGCATTTGAAATTAACTGACAGCTGACTTTGACAAATAGTTTGACTTGCCCCTGGTGGTGGTTAACACTAGTTAACGTCATCACCCGGATAACCTTTCATCATCTTGTCACCACAACACTCGCTGAATCACTCAAACGTAAGGACAATTATGATGGACGGGGATACCGGAAGTGGAACGTCTCTTGGGGACGGCGATGTTGTGGCATGGTAAAAAATTTGATGGCGCTGCTTCTATGGTCATGCTATTGCTATGCTTTGGGTGGAATTGGCGTCATCTATTTTTGCATTTGGCCACCACAAGTTTCAGTATAATGGCTTAAGAACTCAATTGTCGTCAGGTTATCGTCTACTCCCCCACGTCCCCATGTCGTTCTCTTGTTGACCAGCTGTCAAGGGAATGCGTCTTGCACTGCCGGAGCAACTGACGTCGTGAACGTACGGCGGTTCGTCTGTTGCGTAGCCTTGGGCTGCTAGCAACTACCGGTGAGCTGCGAGCGCCTTGCGGGTAACATGCTTATATCCGCCCACTGGCTCGCTTTGTTGTTCGCTTTAGCACGTGTTAAAATAACTGGCCGCGAGGCGGAACTTACTGTGATATTAGCACGTGTGTGTGCCGTGGTCTTGTTATTATAGGTACTATGTTGCAAACAGGAAGGGGAAGAGGAGGAGGGGGGCGGTTAGTATGATGCAGGTGTACCCTAACGCATGCAAGCAATGTTGGTGTGTTTTGATGAGACGGCGCGCACTATGTATGGCACTCTTTTGCAGGCGGCAGAAGGGAGCAAACAATGATTGTGTTGTTGCTCTGTTACTGTTGCGCCTGGTTACACCTGCTGATGGGCTAGCTCCACTGTTGCAATAATGCGATTGCGCTGTGGACTGCTGCTCATCAAACTGCTGGTTGACACACGCCATTTCGGTTGGAATTGTCGTTGCCCCCAATCAACCTGTTTAGCTGCTGTTTGGAGGGTTCGCTGCTGCCATGTCCAACGCGGCGCTCATCGGGATGTTGGTTCTTGTGAGAATGCGCGCAAACGTCTGCAGCTAGGTCCCGAAGGATGGCTTCTAAAGGAGGAAGGCTCTTAAACGTTTGCGGCTAGGCCCCGGAGGATGGCCCCGTAAGCTAAGGGTGATTGCATGCCGTTATTAGTTGTGATGTGCCTTACTTGGCTTTTGTCTGTGAACCATGTAACACCGTGGTAGGCGGACGGTGTATGTGGTGGGATGTTTGTAGATGTATTTGTTGCGCGCGCTATAATGCCGTACCTAACGCGATCATGCCCGTGCCGTGCAGACCCTACCTGTTGAGGGTCACTTTTAGCTTCAGGCCTTTGGCCCCATTTCCGTGTATGTGTCTGCGTGTTTGGTGGTGGCAGAGGCGGGGAGCCACCTGTGAGGAGGGTCATACCTGCGCAATGTTAACGTAACATGTTTGGTGTTTGCTAAAGTATGAGCCTGGGTTTTACGTCGTACATGTGTCCCATGCATCTGCACGTCGTACCCAGCTTTCCGTACTACATCGTACGACACATACGGCACATCTGCACAGAAGATAACAGCATACCACAGCCGCAATCGTACTGCATGCATGTCTCGTATCTCTCGGCCTCGTCCGCTATTACCTTCCACCGCTGCCTTCCACCGTCTTTGCCTTCGAGATAACGCTAGCCAAAGCCCCGTATTAATACTGCTGGGGGAAGCAAGCAGTTGCGCATGCATACCGTAACGAAAATTTAGGGAAGGTCTGGATGGAGGTGGTTCAGCACCAAAAGCCGCCAGTCGCTTGAAGCAGCTCCCCAGCCCTCAGCCGAGCTGCGATACCCTTGAACGCCGTGACGCCTAGAAGCCCCGGACGCACTCCGTCCATGTACGTCCATGTTCGACCAGCACACCTGCTATTCCATTACTCACCTGCTTCTCTGCGGTTCTGCAATTAACCTCCTAGTATACAGCTGCGGTTTATCGCACCGCGTCCTCCCTAATACGTCAGCGTGCGCCGTACAAACACAGGTCGTGCAAACACAGGTCGTACAAACACAGGTCGTACAAACACAGGTCGTGACACGTGAGCAAGGAGGACTGCCAGAAGACACCCGAGACATGAAGAAAAGCAAACCCTTGCCTTCCAACAAACCCTGCATGCAAACAAGCACACACCGCTACACTCTCTCTTGCAGGCCCCGGACGGACCATCCCCGTGAATAAACACTGCCAGGTTCGCTCAGCCAGTCACCTTCCGCTCAGCCAGCCCCCTCCATCATCCCTCCAGTCACGCACCCTCCCACAAACCCACCTTAAAGCCCACCTCCCATCCCCTCCTCTACTTTGTCACTTTGTCCTACTTTGTCTCCTACTTTTTCTCTCTTCGTCTCTTCCCCCCTCCTCCATGCGTGTCAAGAAGGGCCGTGTCAGCACACCCCCCGCAACACCCGGTATTGCAGAGCGAACCGGTCCCCCTCCGACAACCGAGCGTAGGCTTCCCCCGGCAGCGACTCGAAATCCGCATGCGGGTGCTGCTGGTGGTGCTGATGGCTGTGGTGGTGTTGGTGGTGGTGGTGATGCGTGTGATGCGGGTCGTGGCTTGTTCCGTTGCCGTTGTTACCGTTGGTTCCGTTACCGTTGGCCGCCGGAATGCTGATGCTGCAGTTGCCGACCGAGGTAAGGATGTCGTAGGTTGCGCCCCGTACGGCATCGCGCTTGGGTCCGCAGGGTCTTATGGAGGTGAGGAAGGAGTACGCCTCGTCGAGCTGCATCTCCGTGAACCTGGGGGTCGGGGGGGGGAGCGAGGGCGGGGGTTGGGTGAGGGTGAGTGGGGCATGCATGGGGGCAGCAGGTAGCATGCATGCCTTCACAGCCATGCATGGGGCGGAGAGGCAGAGGGGGGGGCATTGCAAAGCTGCATGCACTCGCGAAAAAGACATAAGACAATGACAGACAGGACTCCAGGCCCTTCCCTCATCACCCCAACCTCTCCCACGCTTCCCCCGCCCCTCCCCAGCTCGTCCTCACCAGTAGAGGTAGGCGATGCACACCGCCGGAGCCCGACCCAGCCCTGCCGTACAATGTACGTACACCCTGTAGTGGGGGCAGGGGGGCGGGTACAAAAAGACCGGTACGGTACTAAGAGACGCAAACCTAGTAAAGGGCAACATGGGAGTGGGTCGGGTGTGAATTAATCCATGCCTACCTCCGTGCTACTACCCCAGGCTCATTCTTCCCACATCCCACAGTCTTCTTCGTACATCTGTTCGTATCCAGCGGACACTGCCGCTCCCCCACCCGCTCCCCCGCTCTCACCTCCCCCCATTGTTCAGCGCCTCTGCTAGCATGTGTACGGCTCCAGGGATGGTACGGCGCAGGCTGTGCGGGTCAAAGTCCCGGGCCTGGCAGGAGGGGGAAAGTGGGGAGGGGAGGGTTACGGAGTGGGAAGGAAAAGAGTTAGGAGGTGAGGTGCGGGTGAAAAGTCGCTCGACAGGGGAAGTCTTGGGCGATGGGGGGGCAGGCCAGCGGCTTCTTCCGCACGCATGTTAATACATGTTCGCGCTCGACATGTTCGGAATCCTCTTCTTCATCGAGGATTGGCTTGTAAAACCTCTTGACCCAGATCGGATAGCGCTCTAACCAACTTGACCCAGATCGCATCTTTCCCATTTCCCTTCCTCCGGCCTCAGAAAGCCCTCCCCCTCCAGCAGCCCTCCACCTGAAGCAACCCCTCCAGCAGCCCTCGCCCCTCCCGGGCTCTCCGACACCGCCGCCCTCCCCTTTTGGGCCCCTCCCTCCCATGTCCCACCCCGGCCCCCTCACCGGCCGCCTCATGTGGGTCACAGAGTGGGTCGCACACGCCCGTCGAATCTCCTCCAGCGACACGCCCCAGTAGTGCAGGTCCTTGTCCTGCTGCAGGTTCAGGATGTGCGTCACGCGCTCGTCGGACACCAGCTGCGCCACGTCAGCTGCGTTGCGAGGCTGCGAGCCGCAGATGAGGTTGGGAATGATTTCGTGGTAGTAAAGGCCGCGGTCAAAGTGGTACTCGTAGGGATTGAGGTGCGCCCAGCCCATCTGGCGCTGCATGTTCCTGTGTGGTGATTTTGAAAGGATATGGAAGGAAGGATGAAGGCCGAGTAGAAGGAGGAAGAAAGAGAAGGGACATGGGATGGATTGGAGTAGAAAGGTCGGAATGACAGACCTGGAACCTTAAGAGCTATAGGGATAATTGCGACTAAGTAGCATAGTATGGCTTGTATGCCGTGAGAGGATTGTATATGGCCCGCCGAGTTGTCGAACACCGGGCGCAACACCTAAGGAGAACCCGGCGAGATGCATAGCCTCATACGTGGTAAGCAGCTTCATGCAAATAATGTGTATACCAAGGCATGAATGACTATGGCCCTAACGGGCCAAAACGTGCAGACACTCCCGCGCAGAAGTGGAACGTGCTCTACGCACACAGGCGCGCAACGTGACAAACCTGTTATAGATGTCATCCTTCGTATTATGGTCCGTCTTTATGGATGCAAGGCAGCCCAGTTGGCCTCGATGCATTCCCAGTCGCTCGAAATGCCGTTGGGCGGCTCCTCTTACACGGCAGATCGATAACTGTTTTCGAGAACTAGATTGTAATGATACGTTCGGTAATCGCTCCCTAACTAACATTCTTGACGATTGGACCCTTGTAAAGTTTCTCGGGCCAGTTCCCAGCGACACACCACGTCCAGTCCACAGCAACTATGAAACTGAAACGCTAACAAAAGTTCCTTGCACTGGAAGAGTTGGCATTACAAGGGCTTGCAACAAGGGCTTCGGCAAATGTACGGCGGATCCAAACCAGATACGGTAGATAAGGGACAATCGGAAAAATCCTTGGTAGTATGGGTAGTATGTTACTACACGATTACAAAAGAAAGACTTTGAGGGTACCGTACACGAGAGCATGAAAATACCACTTTTCCCACCTTGCCAGCTAACACATATGCTCCTATTTGTATCTTCCGCCTCTAACCTCCATCGAAGAAGCCCCCATCACAAGCCACCGAGGTCGTCAGCAACAGGCCAACTCCAACGCATGTTGAATGACTCGCAACCCGGAATGAATCTCATGGAAGATAACGCATACCTTAGTCGAGTTACACCCTACTACATGTCATGGTTCTTTGCCTCAAACGTGCGGCAAGTTCTCGTCAGGAGAAGATATATATACCCCCCATATGCTCAGATAAATACATCCCCGCAAGACCTCCACCAGCTATTTGAATCTACCCGTACGAAAAGTACGAGGTTCGACGGACTGTCCAGCATTCATCCACCCCCCAACATATACACCAGCACGGTCTCACCCCTTTCCTTGTTTTTTACCTTGCGCGCGCATTGCGCCTGCAGCAGCATGTATCTGCCATGCTAGAACACACGGGCACACGGCAGCTGCGGTCGTAAGAGGTATCAGCCCATCCCGCAGACCCTACCCTACATAGCCGTGAACGGGCCGTTAGATCTTCCGGGCGCTCTTTTGGTCTTCTAATCTTCTCTTAGTCTAGGGCCACCAGGACTGCTCGCCCGGCAGCGTCCGCGGCATCCTTGCTCTGTTGTCGGGAGCGATGCGACCACATCACCACCACAGCGGCCACCAGCAGTAGAAGTGGTCCGAAGGGGCGCGTTTTTAATGCGCGGGCAAGACGGTTGGCGGTAGGTAGGTAGGTACCGGTACATGCAAGCAGCGACGAGAGCAGGCGGGGGGCGGGGGCGCGGGGCAGGTGGCCTTTAAAGGAGTGTTCGTATCCATCTGTTTGGACAAATAGATCCAGGAAATCAGGGAGGGGAATACAAACATAGCACCCACGCATAAACGCCAGCAACTTATCAAACCGAAAATGAGCAACAGCGTCTACCAAACAGCGTTTATAAAACACAGCTACTGTGAATACAACAGGGCAACATAGAGAGAAATACGAGCACAAGGACTCGTATTGGATTCCAAACGACGTGCATGACATCTAACGGCAACACCCCCCTGATTTCCTTTCGCTCTTGGGTACCTCCATCCCCACATGCCTTGCGACAGCCTGCTACAAACGAAACCAGCGCTATACAGCCACAACAACTAACAGAACAGCAACTAAGAAAATCAACAATTAAAAAATGACTATGTGTTGGCTACGAGCCACGACTCAGATGCACCAACAGACAGGCCGTGAAGTGACCCGTGGGTCATCCAAACACACGTAAAGCTACTATGGGCATTCCAGGGATTTGTGTGAATGTACAATTGGCCCGTAACGACCAAAGGCCCTGCTCGGTGCTACATGAAACCATCCAACAAGAAACCATCCAAATGGGAAGACTTAAGAAACCACAAAAATCATACATTGCCTGCCAACCTGCCTTCGAATGAGTGCAACTACAGGTATACTGGATGGCTTCACATACCTCTCCAAACGTAATGCACCTTTGTATTACTAGCACCTGTCTAACAATTGACGACTAGCACTTCTCAACATAGGACATGGCTGGTGCATCGGCTTTTGCTTGCATACCTCTATTTCGCTTTCCTTCATTCCTGCGTCCTGAAGCAACAGAAGACTAGGCAATACCAGGTGCACACGCAAAACAAATTATGAAGAAACCCAGCCAACATGTGCGCTACGACACAGCCGCCAGAAAAGCAGGTAAGGAACAACCAAACAATCAAACCACCAAACCGAATCAACCAGAACGACACGACGTAACAGCCGACAACAGCAAGGCAAAACCCCATCAATAACACAAACCTCGCCTCCTCCACCAACCACGCACTGCTGCTAGCCCCATGCATCCACCACATTGAACCCATCCAAACCTCCTATAGCCCTCCTCCCTCTCCCATTCCCCCTAAAACAATCCCTGGAAAGGAAAGCCCCTTACATCCCTGGCTCCCTCCCTCCCTTCCCCCATTTCACGCCGCAGTCACCATCACAGCCTCAGTGGTATCCGACGTGTTCACCATTTCGGGTACCTGCTTCAGGAGCGGCTGTACGGCGACGTAAAAGTCTCGGAAGAAGGCGGCGGGTTTGGTTTCGGAGGCGATGTGTTGTTTTGCGTCCAGGGAGGGCGCGGAGAGGTAGTCGATGAAGGCGTTGCGGGACTCGGGCGGCTGGGAGGTGAGGATGGCGTTGAGGAAGCTGCAGGGGGAGGGAGGAGTGATGCGGGGGAGGGGGTCAGGGAAGTACCAAAACCACAGGTTAGGGCGAAGCAATGGGGATGGAGCAAAGCAGTTTAGGCTGGGGGGGAGGGAGGAGTGATGCGGAAGAGGAGTGAGTTATGGGGAAGAAACGAAAAGGACCCAAAGTGTCGAATGATAGTGGCAAAACATCGGTATGTGACAAGCTCCCGGTGCATGGAGCCGAGTAGGTCGAGCCGAACGTGCGACGACTGAACGTCGGTCAGTAAAGACCGAGGAGGGACGGCGAAGGAGGAGGGCTTGGTCCTCGGCTTGGTGGGCTGGGCTGGTCTTGGTGGCTTACCTTTCCCTTGCCCCTCCCCTGCCCCTCCCACCACCTCACATTGGGCGTTCTTCTTTTCCCTGCCCCCCCCCCCCCCGACTTACCGCGTGCGGGTGCGCTTGGCTGCCACCTTGGCCCGCTGGTGCCCCGCCGCCCCCGCCACCGCACTGCAGGCCACCGTACCCACACCTGGGGGAGCAGGAGGAGCGGGGAAGGGAGGAGGAGATGGGGAGAGAGGAGGAGAGCGGAGCGGGGAGAGGAGGAGGGGACCGGGGGTAAGGGGAAACATTTAAATAATCGTGTGATGAGAGAGAGGGGAAGAAGAGAGTTGATAAGTGCAAAAAGAGTGAGCGGAAAAAGCCTTTCCATACCACCCTCCCCCTATTCCCTCCCCTTCCCCCTCCCCCTCCCCCCTCCCACCCGGCAGTGCCATGTCGCTCCACCAGCCCAGCAGCGCGTAGCAGGCCACCCCGCCGCCCACCATGCCAACCTGGGTGAGTAGGAGGGGAGGGGATTACATGAAAAGTGGGAGGTAGAGAAAGGACGGGGAGCAACGAAAGGAGGGGAGATGCAGGGGGCAGCGTCGTTGAGGGTGCGCGGAGGAAGGGGGGAGAACCCAGCAAGGGGGGAGACACCGGAGGAGTGCAGGTCCAGGTGTGCAGTGACGGCGAAGCACCGCACCTGGTGGGGACGACCTGGGGGGGACTATCAAGGACCCCCCCCAGCATGCATGTCACCACACATGTACAAGACAAGAACCCGGCCCCCCCCCGCCTCATTAGGTATTCTTATTTTCCCCCCACCCCACCCCACCCCACCGTCAGCGCTGACACCTCGGCCGAGCGCTCCGCCTCCCGAATCACCGAATCCACGATATCGTCCAGGACCATGATCTGAGGAAGAAAAGGGAGTGCGTGGAGGGGGGGCGGGGTCTTACCAAGCCACGAGCGAGGGCAAGTAAAAAAGGGATAGGCGGTGGAGACCGGGGGGGGAGGCCGTTGGGGGTGGCTGGCCTATGTGGGTCGCAAGCATTCGATGTGGGTTGATGTGGGTTGTGTTCGGACAGCATAACATATCCTCCGAAGCGACACCCCACACTTCGCCCTTTTTTTGCTGTTCCCCCCTCTCTTTGCCTTTCGCGTAAATGCAGTGCTTGCAACACGCCACCTGCCTTCTCTGCCAGCGGCTGCTTCTCCAATGCGGCATAGAAAGCGGCTGGCTCCATAGGAGAGGGTGGCACTTGCTCGCCGTAGGCCTGCGGCGGGGAGGGACCTGCGGAGAGGATGGATGGGGAAGCGGACTAAGATGCAGCCTGCCGCATCTGCTCGCGAGGATGACGCATTGACGATGGTGAAGTCTGCGTACCTGTCCTGCTGGAGACAATGGAGTGAAGCGGCGAGTTCTTCTGGCTCTTAAGAGTCTTATCCAAAGCCGACGACACGAAGCCGTCCACATCCTGTGCGACAAGGATGCCAAGGTGAGCATGCATCCTTTCGAGGATGCGCCTGAAGGAATCCACACAAGCCTCAGCACGCACCTTGACGTCCTCAAAGCCGGTGAGCGAGATCAGTATAGGGCCGCTGTCGGACCTCGGAGCTTGCCGACCAACCGACTGCTTCTCTTCCGATCTTGCGTCAGCCAAGGCAAATGGCGTAAAGCCGGGAAGGCTAATGCGCGTTTGTACAGGTCGCTGCTCTGCAAGTCCAAGATACACAGCAGCTGCGGAGACCCCGGAAAGCAGCAGCCCAGTCCTTCCCGCCCGACGAGCGAGGTGCAGCAGATTCTGAGCCATGTTTCTGCGTTAAGCATGGATCAAGGGTTACCCATAAGCAGCATAGCTGCGCTGTAAACTGCCAAAGACCTGACCCGCAGCGTCTCGGAGCATTCAATGGCAACCGCATGCGCCAAACAAGATGAAGCTATTGCATACTGTGTGGATCGGTCATCTTACGAGGAAATTGAAACGGGATGGAATGTTTAGTCGCAAATCTGGGCTTACCAAACAGGGAAAAGCGCAGGCGGTGACGATTCCGCAGTGAAGGTATCTATGACAGGTACACCAGTTAAGAAGACTACTATAGTTGCTGGTGACTACAAGCGATGTATGTGTATCTTACAGAATGAGGAAGACGAAGACGTTTCGGCTGTCATTACCGAACCGCTGTCCAACAACCATCCGGCCGGAACGGCACCGTCGCTGCATTCCTAAAGCCCATCAGCACGGCGAGCACGCATTGCATTTCATCTTTACCAGTCGCCCTTTATTAACAGCAAAACCCCGATGAGGCCCATGCTCCTTGCACCGAGCATCAAAAGGAGTAATAGTCCCTTTAAACTTTCGCTGCGCTACACCGGTACCTAGCCCTCACCCCATCCCCTTCCTGCCTTCCCCCGTGTGCCGCCTTCCTTCGCATGTCACCCCTTCCTCCCTACCCTTCCTCCCTACAATACGGCATCACCACTGCACCAGGTAGCACCCCCCGCCACACCTCCCGCCACCGCCACCGCATCCAACATGCCCGGCGGCACCGCCACCACCTCCAGCAGCCGCAGGTAGGAGGGCACCATCTCCCCCAGCCTCGCCCTCCCCGCCGCCCCCTCCTGCCCCCCCATGGCTGCCTCCCGCACCCCCAGCAGCACCCCCATGTGCGCCCCCAGATCCAACACGTCCAGGTGCAGCTGCAGCGTGATCTTGTCCGAGTCGGACAGCAGGGAGGCGGCGGTGGGGTCTGCAGGCAACGCAATGCAACGTACAAGGGTGGGTGGGTCAGAGTCTCAGAGATATGTACCAAACCGTAGGAAACCACGAATTAGGGGGAGTGGAGGGGGAAGAAGAACACCCAGTTTGCGTTTTATGAACAATGAAATGCACGGGGGGGGCCAAGGCAGGGGGGCGCGCGCGCGAGAATTGATAGAGAACCCCAAACCAAGTGAAACACCGCAGGGAAACGTGGTGGACGGGCGGGCAAGCAGGAAGCAGGCAGGCACCCCCATCTCCCTCCCACCCATACCTCCCACCCATACCTCCCACCCTCTCCCCTCTTACCCTCCTCTCCGCCTGCTCCTCCTCCTCCCGCCTTGGCCTTCTTCAGCCGCTTCAGGCTGCTCTCCGTCTTGCGCACGGAGCTGAGCAGCTCCTCCGCCAGCTGCCCGTAGCGCCCGCACACGCCCTCGCACACCGGCGCAACCAGCAGCGACTGCGAGGGGAGGAGGGGAGGGGGAGGAGGAGGAGAAAGACTAAACGTTAGGAAATCACGAATTCGGGCGAGACAATGGGGGAATGAGGCGGAGAAGAGGGTAACGCGAAGACAATGCACACGGTGGCAAGGCACATGGAGTGATCCTTGCAAACCGCTCCAGTACCCCGACCGCTCCATTTACCCCCATGAAGCGCAACCCCCCATGCCCACCTGCTGTTCCTGCTGCCCCATCTTCTTCGCCGCAGACCCCTCCAGCAACCCCCGCAGCGGCGCCAAAACCCCGCCCACGTAGTGCGAGGCGCGAGAGGGCGGCCCCTTGGAGGTCATGCGGTAGGTGGCGGTTATGCCCTTGAGCTGTCGTACAACCACCACACAACGGTCAACCACCTCATCGGTTAGTACGGCAGCTAGGGAGCGGCCTGCGGATTGTACGGCGGTTGCGGCTTCTTGGAGAGCTGCTAGGACTGCCTGGGCTGCTGTCACTAGGGCGCTGTTGCTGCTGCTGCTGCCTTCCGCTGTTGGTGCTGCTACGGATGCAGTGGGCGTGGATTCAAGCCCTCCTGCTGCTGCTGTTGGTGTTGATGTTGCTGTTTGGTTTGCTTGCTGGACCAGTGCTAGGGTGGTTGCGGGTGGTTGCTGCGGGAAGGCGACCTCCAGGAGGGAGAGGGTGAAGGGGCCGAGTAGCGCCTGGTGGACCTGGGGGGGGGGGGTAGGGGAGGGGAGGGAGGGAATGGAGAGGGAGGGAGGGGGAAGGGGTCCAAGGAAGTGGGCGTGTGTCGGCTTGTCTGTTGAGAAAGCGGGCCGCGAAGCTGCGCGAAGGCGAAAACATACTGTGGCTCTTGGAAGTGTGGTGTGTGCGGGTGTGCTTGCAACATGCATGGCACTCCTTAACGCTTGCAATGACATGCACACATGCACACATGCACACATGAGGACATGCACACATGCACACATGAGGACATGCACACATGCACACATGAGGACATGCACACATGCACACATGAGGACATGCACACATGCACACATGAGGACATGCACACATGCACACATGCACACATGAGGACATGCACACATGCACACATGAGGACATGCACACATGCACACATGAGGACAGCAACGCCGCAGCCACAGCAGAGGCTCGCACAACCTCTCCCCCACATGCGCCCACCCCCACCCCAACCCACCACCCCAACTCACCATCTCCGCATCCGCCACCACCGCCACCAGCTCCTCCACACCCAGACTGCCAGCCCACGCAGCAGGACCCCCGGACACCGCCGCTGCCCCTCCTCCTCCTGCCACTGCTCCTCCTCCTCCTCCTCCTGCCGCTGCTCCTCCTGCTGCTCCACCTGCTGCCGCTGCTGCCGTGCTAGCCGAGCTTCCCCCAGCAGCAGCACCACCCCCCGCCCCCGCCGCGCCCGCCTCCCTCCTCGCCGCCGCCGCCACCCAGGTGCCATACCTCCGTGCCAGCTGCAGCACCAGTCGCAGGAATCGGTCGGCCAGGGGCGGCAGCACCACCTCGGGACTCACCGCGCGGCGCAGGCAACGCAGCAGGGCGGCAGTGGCGGCCAGCTGGGGGGGCTGGGGAGTGGGGATCATCATGAGCTGCTGGGTGGCGCCTCCACCGCTGGAGAGGGGTGTGGTGGAGGAGGAGGAGGAGGAGGGCTGGGGCGGGAGGAGCTCCAGTTTGTCAGAGGAGAGGGCGTCCTCAAGCTCGCCTGAAGGGGGGAGGGAAGGAGGAGGAGGTGGTGGGTTGCAGGGGTGTAGAAAGGTAGGCAAAGGGGGGCGGAGGGGGGGGGGGCGCAAGGAGGGGCGCGGGGGCGGCAGCGACGGAGTGAACGGATGGGTCGGAGAGACATGCCGTGTTTGGAGGCGGCTCTCACCATCACTCCCTCATGCGGCTAGTCCCTCCCGCAATCCTTCTCCCATGTCCAGTTCCCCCTCTTTACCACCCCGCTACCGCCACCTCTATCGCCACCCCCACGCCCAGCGACGCCTTATCACACGGTTCGTTAGCCGTTTCCTTCTTTGCCACCCCGCCCCCTCCCCTCCCCCCTCCATGTGAGTGCAATCCGTGCCATTCCCCACCCGCAACCTCCAACCCCACCACCCCTCCCCTCCCTCCCCTCCCCTTCGCCCCACCCGCAATCTCCTGGTACAGCAGCGAGAAGTACACGGAGGTGTTCCAGCGTCGCATGAGCGCCGAGTACGCGGCCGACCCCCTCAGCCGCTCCACCTGCCCCCGCGTGGCACACAGCCCCTCCAGCTGACCCAGCCAGGCGCGGAGTGCCAGGTAGTTGGCGTGAAAGGCGGGCGGCACGCCGGGGGAAAACACACCTGGGGGGGGAGGGGGAGGGGAAGCAGGCTTGATTGGCATGCTAGCTACCAGCGCGCCCTGACCCCTTTGCCCGTGCACCCACCCTGCTGCCTAACCCCTCCCCTTGCGACCCCCCCCCATGATGGAGCCTACACGTCCCCATGAGTCGCCCTCCCTCAATCTTTACTCCACCCCACACCCTGTTATGGTTCGGTCTTCCTCGTCTCCTCCCCCATAGCACCCCCCCCCCCCTACCCGGCATGCCCCATGCACCTCCTCACCCCGCCTCCCTGCTCCCAACCCTGCCGCCTAATCCTATATCCCTCCACTCCTCCTCCCCCCCTTCCCTCCCCCTCACCCGGCATGCCCGCCGCCAGCGCCCCCTGCACCTCCTCCAGCAGCGCCCCCGCCAGCAGGTCCAGACCCCGCAGCGGGCTCCCAGGGGCCAGGCACTTGTCCAGCAGGGGGGCCAGCGGGGGCGAGCGGATGGCGGAGAGCAGCGAGGATAACACGGGGGCCAGGGCGGAGGAGAAGGAGCTGCGGGGCGGGGTGGGGGTGGGGGGAAGCCGTTGGAACATCTATCGGTTGGTGGCGTCACCAGCTATCTACTTACCCAACAAGTATGGCTACACGCAACCGTATAATCCAGCCAATTGCTGAAATGGCATCCCTATTAACCCCCATGGCCCTCCCCTCCACCCCCCCTCCTCACCCCTGGTGTCCCCCCGCCGCCTTGTGCTCCGCCAGCACCCGCTCCACCAGCGGCGCCACCAGCACCCGCCGCACCGCCCCCTCCGCAGCGCCGCTCTCCCCCAGGTCAGCAGCCGCATGCAGCGCATGCAGCGCGGCAGCTAGTCGGGTGGCGCTGGGGGCGGGAGGTTGGGGCGGCTGGGGGTTGGGGGTGCTGCTGCCCGCAGCGGTGTCCCCCCCAGCAGGAGAGTCAGTAGCAGCGGAAGCAGGGGAGGGTGGTGCTGGGGAAGGAGGTGCGAGTGCTGCTGCCAGTGCTGCGGTGATGCGGTCGCGCAGGGCGGCCCGGTGGGAGGCGATGCGGGGCTCCAGGGAGCGGACAAAGGCCAGGTCCTGAGGGGGGGGATGGGGGGAGGAGGGAAGGGGCGCGGGAGGGGAGAGAAGAAGAGGGGTCAGGGAGAAATCACTGGCCCCTTCCTGAACGCCCCCTTCCTCGTCTGCTTCCTTCGCACTGCCTGCATCTCGCTATACCACTGTACACGCTCCCGCCTGCCCCCGTGTACCCCGCTTGCTGCTGTATACAACCCTCCCCCCACCCCACCATGATGGCACCGCCGTATCACACATTTCGTTAGTTGGTTTCCTCTTTACCCACCCCTCCCCTCCCCCCCCCCACCTTGCCCTTGTTAGCCAGGAACGCCAGCCTGCTGACCTCCGCCGCCACCCGCTCCAGCAGCCGGCACCGCGACAGCAGCTCGCCCTCACCCAGCTGCTGCCACTCCCCGCCACCACCCCCACCCCCACCCGCTGCTGCGACACCGCCACTGCCGCCATCCGCCTGCTCGCTTGCTACCTGGCTGCTGCTGGCTGCTTCCTCCCTGCTCTCCCCCTCCCCGCTCTCCCCGCTCCTCCCCCCATCCGCTGCCGCCAGCTCTTCCAGCAGTTTGTCCACCTTGGCCGCCACGTGCGACACCTCCAGGGTGAGCTCCAGCAGGCCCCGCTGGGCGGCCACCTCCTGACGCCGGCGGAGGCCCTGGAGGGAGGAGAGGAGAGGAGAGGAGGAGGAGAGGAAGAGAGAAGAAAGGGTGAGGAGGAGGAGGAGGGGGTGAGGAGCAGGGATGTGGGTACATGTGGTAAGATGTTGGGCAGCCAGGCAGGCGAGAGAGGAGGAGGAGGGGGGAGCAGCCGAAGGAGCGTACCTGGTTGAGGGAGTTGAGTTCGGAACGGACGGCCTCTTGTACGGCATGTAGCTTGTCCTGAGGGGGTGGATGGGACAGGCTGTGTTACCGTACACAAGCGGCTGCGGACGAGGAAGTGTTGGAGTGGCCGCATGGGCCTTTGTCACTACTTAAGGCGGTAGAAAAGCAAGGTGCACCAGGCACTTCGTTCCACCTCGGATTCTTAGGCTACCAGCGTCTTACCCTGAGTTCCAGCAGCGGCTTCCGCATGCGCACAACCGAGCCCTCCACGTTCGCCAGACGACCGCTGAGCCCCACGTAGTCCGCATAGTCCTCATTGATCACTTCCACAAGCTGGGGAGAAGGAGGCCATGGGGAAATGAGGCTGTTGTGCTGTGCAATCTTGTGACAGCTGCCCCCAAATCGGACCATGCCAAACGTTTGTAGACTTACCTTTGTTTTCAAAGTTGATAGATAGTTATTGAGTTCATTTTGAAGGGTCGCGAGGGGCACCTGAAACGCGCAAGGAGTATGGCAGGGAAGTACGCCAAAAATAAGTATAAAGTTTGAGGTCAACAAAGCTGTGAGCATGTATGGGGCCTACAGAACAAGCTGGAAGAGAGGGTCTCGCTGAAATGGTTGATCCCAGAGCCCTGTTCGCTAGCCGTGACTTACAAAGCGCCTCAGATCAGCAACACACGCGTCAACAATAAAGTCAGCCTCCAGGAAGCGCTCCGGGTTCAGCCAGACGGGACAGCCAGCCCGTCCCAACAGCAAGCTAGAATCTGCTGACCCCCCGCCATTTGATGCTCCGTCCGTTGTCATTTCGGTAGATGTCTTATTAACTAAGAGCACCGTAATAGGCTAGCGTTCTCTTTTACGAAGCCCATATGTTATGCTTGCTTGCACGGAGTAACGGTAGTCTCAGGCACGTATCCTAGGTAATCCTTTATGTTATCGCACAATCCGTACCTTGTTTTCAGAAGTTAGCTTTCAGCGTGTGTCCTCGACGAGCTGCGCATGACGTAGTTACAGCTAGCCGTGCTAAGCCGTACAACAGCCACAGGTCCGCTTGACTACCTTGAGCATCAAGGGACCCCAAGGGCACAGAAGGGGTGATCAGTTCGCCAATACTCCTTAAAGTGGTGTCTCGCAGCTCAGCGCTTGAGTCGCGAGTTTCCAAACCCAAGCCATCATTGCCATCGTCCATCCATAGGACGACAAGCCTGCAGCCATTCGCAAATTGGTTTGCGTCCGCTACGATGCTATGCACGACCGCCCGTCCACCCCTACCAGCCACTTGTATACCTTGCACCCAGGCAGCAGGGCAGTTGACATCAGACACTGCGACAACAGGCACCCCCAGGTCGCCCGTTCTTGCTGCCTTAACACTCCCCCGTAACCCAGTCATACGTTGCTGAATTCAATCATTCCATTATTCATTCGTTAAATTGATACATTGGCCCTACTTCTGCCCCTGCTCCTTCCACTGCTCCCGCTGCTACCAAAGTGCAGCAAGCGAGGACGTGGTGGCACCCCTGCTGCCCACTACCCAGCACACCCAGACACCAACACACCACCCACTCCTCCCTCCCTCCCTCCTCTCTCCTCGTCAGTTTCCCCTTTTCGTCCTCCCTCCATGGTGAAGCCTACATGCCATACAGCTCGTCACGTCGTCAGTCCCTTCTCCTTCCCACCCTCCTCTCAGCTCCTCTCCTTCAATACCTGCCGCGCTTACCCAGCGCCCCCCCACCCACCGGCGCTCCATACCTCCCCCCCTGCTGCCCCCCATACCCCAACCCAACACCCCCATTCCCGTACCCACCCCACGCCTCCACCTCCTCCGCCCCCTCCTCCTCCTCCTCCCCTACCGCCCGTACCAACGGCCCCAAGATATCCGCATCGTACGGCACCTCGTCTTTCTGTCGTACCGCCCATGCGGTGAGGTAGGCATCTGCCCGCGCCATGGCGTCTAGCACCTCCCGCGAGCGGAAACAGCCCTCCGTGCAGTTGCGACCTGGGGGGGGGGGTAAAGAGGAAACAACTAACTGACTGAGGGATAAGGCGTCAACATGGGTTGCAACATGTGAGCCAGCCCAACATGTGAGGGGGGTGGGGGACGGGACGTCAGGAAGGGGGGGAACAAGAAGAAAACTGACGAACTATAGGACGAGGCTTCACGGGGACGAGGAGGGATGAGGGTTAAAGAGGTCCCCACCTGCTTTTACGTCCCCTAATCCCCACCCTTCCACCGTGCAACCCACCCTTCCACCCTTCCACCCTACACAACCCCCACCCCCACCCCACCACCTGTGAGCGGGTCAATGGTCACAATGCGGTCCGGGTGCTCCACGTGGCTGCCCCCCGCCAGCGCCGCCTTGGGCACCAGCCCCCCGTGCCGCACCGACACCGCCATGCGCCCGCAGTCGAAGCGCCGCCCGAAGCGCCGCAGCAGCGAGTGCAGCAGGGCGCCCAGGTCGGTGGGGTCGGAGCCGCGCTTGGCCTCCTCCTGGCGGGGGAGTGTGAGGGGGAGGGGGAGTGAGGAGGGACAGGGTGGCGGTGTGTTAGGATGTCGCCCCGGCCCATCAGTGGACTTGCCCACCCCCCCCCACACACACACGCAGCCAGTTTCCTTAACACACAGCACTGCATAGAGCGCCTCCCCCCTCCCCTCCCCTCCCCTCCCCCCCCCACCATGAGGTGCGCCAGTGTCATGTAGGTGAGTCCGTAGCTGCTCAGCCCGCCACTGGCCACCTCGCCCAGCCCCTCCGACCGCAGGAAGCTCTTGAGCACCAGCACCAGCGGGCGCAGGGGGGGGTAGGCGGACACCTGGGGGGGGGGGCGGGAGTGGGGGGGGGGAGTGGGTGGCGGGTCAATGAAGTACCACCACCTGCTGCTACCTCTCAGGTACTGTAGCGCTCCTTGCGCCCCTTCCCCGCCCCCATCATTGCCGATTTGCCTTCGGTCCCCCCAACGCCCCCCCCAGTTCCCCCCCCCCGCCGATACCCTCCCTCCCACCTGCTGCCTCAGGTACTCCGCCGCCCTCGGACCGCTCACCCCCGCAATGCTCACATCCACGTTCACGCCCCCCGCCGTGGCCAGCTTGAGGATGGGCACACGCGCATGGCGGATGGGGAGCAGCTTGGTGAGATGCAGTCGGGAGCGCAGGTGGGGGGTGAGGCGGTCCAGCAGGCGGGCGATCTGGGGGGGGGGTCAATTTTTGGACCAATTAAAACCATAGAAAAACCAAAAAAGAAAAAAGCAGGGATTCACAAGGCAGAGGGAGGGTTAGTGGTCCCTACCGAAACCGCGGCAGGGGGGGGAGGTGAGGTTATGTAAGTACGTCTGCATGCACGAAACGTCGTCAACCACAGACCCTCGTCCCCAAACCCCCAACGCCCCGCTCCCCTCCCCTTCCCTTCCCTCTTACACCCCCTCCCCTCTCCCCTCTCCCCTCGTCGATTTCCTTATCTTTAACCCCTCCCCGACCCCGCCCCTTCCCCCACCCGCGGCCTCTCCTCCCGCGAGTAGAAGCCCAGCCCCAGCGAGGGCTCCGCCAGCCCCACCAGCACCACATCTATGTCAGAGGAGCAAGTGCCCAGACCAGAACTGCAGGGGGGGGAGGCAGCATGGGGGAGGAGGCTTGGGTTGAGGAGGAGGGGGGGTTGGGTTGGGGAGGAGGAGGGCAGCAGGTCGGAATAGGTCCTACTAGCAACCCGCCAAGTAGAAGTGGCTACCCCTTTCGCTACCCCTTGCAGCCGCCCCCTAACCGCCCACAGCCCCCCCTCCCCCCTCAACCCCCTTTCCACTCACACGTAGCTGCCGAAGGGCTCCGCCCTCAGTACGGCAGCCCGCTCGGGGAAGGCAGCTGCGGCCGCCTGTCGTACCAGCTGCAACACCTGGGGGGGGGATGAGGGGGGGGAGAGGGATGAGGAGTTGGGAGGAGGGAAGGGAGGCGACGTGCATCGGCCACCTACCCGCCTGGCCTTCTTCGCCTCTCCTTACCGCCTCCCCATCACCCTCACCCCTCCATCTCAGCCCCCCAAGCCCTTCCTCCCCTGCCATGACCTTCGCTCTTCCCGCCCCATGCCCCCCCTCTCCTTTCCCCCTGCCAGCCCCATGCCCCTCTCCTCTCCTCCTCCCCATCCCCCATGCCCCTCTCCTCCTCACCACCACCCCCCCACCCGCCCCCGCCCCCTCGCCCCACCATCTCCTTCTTCCTGTGCTCCTGCTCGCTGGGACTCAGCTGCGTCACCAGCTGTCGTATGTTGCGACCCAACACGTCGTACACGTAACCCTCCGGGGATCCCCCGCCGGCCCCACCGCCGCCGCCGCCGCCACCGCCACCTGCATGAGAGGGAGCAGCAGCTGCAGGGGCCGCAGAACTAGCAGCAGCGGCGGCGGTGCTTGGACTGGAGGGGTGTGGGGGAGGTTGCATGCAGATGGGAGGCATGGGGATGACATGTCCCACAGAAGCTGCTGCTGCTGCTGCTCCCCCTGCTGCTGCTGCTGCTGCTGCGTCCTCGTGAGCTGCTGTGGCGGCGTGGCGGTGGTTCAAGCCGCCCTGCAAGCCGGCCCACGCGTCACCATTACCGTTGGCCTGGTTGACCGCGTTGTCTTCATCGTCCCAGAGGGCTTGGCCCAGGGGCCCCTGATCTGCTTTACGCTTCCCAGGGCCACCAGCAACAGCATTGCTGCCATCACCAGTAGCAGCAGCAGCGGTAGAGTCGGGGTGTACCGCGGCGTCCCGACCCACATCGGCAAGGGCCGCGGCTTCCATGTGATGTCGGCCGCGGCCCCACTCCAGGCCGTTGCGCACACCATAACGTCCACCGGAATTTTGTATGGGAGCAGCTGGGGCTGCTGCGGAGGAGGAGGTAACGGGGTTATCATGTCGGTTTGGTGCAGCAAGGGATGATGGGAGATGCCTGGGCGCGCCGGACCCTCTGTCAGCGGGCGCTTCCGTGAAGCGTCGGCGAGACCTGTCGGCAGCTGCCTGCTGTTGCTGCGGTGGTGGCGGTGGTGGTTGATTCGACCATCTGTTTCGGCGCGCTTCTGGGTGTTGCTGGCCGTAGGGTTCGGGCAGGCCAAGACCCTGACCCTGTGCGAGCGGCTGCGCTTGGCCATATATGGCTTGCATCTGGCCGTAGGCTTGCGCGCCCGGATAGTTTACTGGCAATTGCCCGTACCCGGGCGCTGGACCGAACCATTGCCCCGGCAGCGCTCCGACCGGTGGACCAAACGACAAGTTAGGTAGCACCGGCGTTTGGTGTGCAAGGAAAGGTGCTCCAACGCCTGTGGGTTGAGTATGTAGGTGGCGACATTGGTAGCCTTATGGGGCAGGTTCGCAAGTCACAATCCAAAGCCTTAGACGCTCACGGACGCCCCATCATACAACAACTAACTTGACATAGTTGCCTTATGTGTTTGCGATGCTGAAAGCCTTCGGTCAAACGACATTTCCGATGGCATGCTCTCCAGCTGACGACCCAGATCCGCTGTCCTCTGTTCGTTACGCACCGAGCACCTATTTTTCCCAACTATTCCTTGCCTCAGCGCACCGGGCGGGAGCTGCGGAGGTCCGCCCCAGCCGCCTTGCCCTCCACCTTGTTCATAAATATTTTGGTACATGGCTCAGATAGGACGAATCCGACCCAAATTTGTGTGGAAGCAAACGATGCTGCCGGCTCCGTAAAGTTGCTTAGACCATGCCCGTGAATTGTGGATCGGCTACGGTATGCCAGTAGATAATTGAGGCACAGCAGCGCCTGAAGGATGCAGGATGGGCGACAAATAAAGCAGCTGAGGCAATTTGACATGGCAGGGTAGTACCGTACTGCGCATCACATCCTCGGTATTGCCCCACGGGTCATGCCTGGCCGTGTGATCCTTCAAGCTTGTTGTCAAAATGTCTGCAATGAAGAGCACTTCACACGCAGGTCATTTGGACATTTTTTGTATATAAAACACACAGGGCTTCCTGTCAGCGAACTGCATTAAAGGGAATGGAACAGGAGAGCCCCACGCAATCCGGGGACAACCTATTTAGCCCCTTCCATTCCTTCTCTTATCACACCTGCAACCCCACACATGCATTGAGGGCCTTGCGCATATGGGTCAAGTGCTGACTGTGGGGTGCTCTGAGTTGTGCTCCTCCTGCGCCTTTCACTCCTGCCGTGCAGTTTGGGTATTGGGTTGGGAACATCTTTCCGAGCTTTCCGCAAGCTGAACAATGTTACATGAAACCCAGCGACCCATCCAACCATCCGATCCTTCATGTAAATCATGTTACAATCCGTAACACGGTCATTACACGCTCAGAGATAAGATATGATATACTTGCTAGCGTTGGAAAAGGGGGGAAAGCTCCCTTCTGAGGGCCTCCCCCGGTGATCACCCCAACGCCGTACTGGATTGCCCTGTGTACGGCAAATTTGTGACACCAACAGCTGAGAGCTGCTGACCAGGACGCAAACCTCGGGTCCGCTCTTACCTTCCCTGAAACACAAACACGCACCATCAGGATATCCTCAAGCAGGTACGTTCCTACTCGTGGCCAGTTTCCGTAACCCACAAACCGGCCAATGCTTAAGGTCCCCCCCTCAAAAAACCGCAAGCTATATGTCCTATAGCACCCACTCTCGGCAACATCCGATAGCAGATAATAACCGTAACCGTCAAAACAGGCGGATTTAGTAAGCGGTGTAATAGCTATTACGCAATGCAGCCCCCATGCACAAAATGCAGGGCCCCCTAGGAGCGAGAGAGCTTATTGCCGCGGTCCGATAAGTCGTTACTTGTCAGTAAGACTAAAGTCGGTACTTGAAAACTAGCTAACCAATGTGTAGCCTCGGAAAAAGGGTATAGAATGAGAAGCCATCCTGGCATGCCACCCCTTCTGACCTCACCTCACCCCCCCTTTTAAGAACAACCGTCCCTACCACCATGCTTCCAAATGCACGCTCAGACATGCACCGGAGCGCTGCAGAAAACACGGCAGGATAAAAATGTGTACTGCAATCGCAAATGAGCGCTCCCGAAAAGTATATTCCACATCCCCACCTCGCCATCGATGCGGCTTCAGCCTCCGCTTCAATTTCTCTTCCCACCCGATCGTTTTCCGACATGGCCCTCCGTACGACCTGGCTGTACTGCAGTGGGTACCTCCCCCGAGAGGCCCCCCTCGCGCCAAGTCGCCCCTCATCCTGGTCAGGGCAGTAACCACAATAAAGCCATCAAGGAGCTTACCCAAGACCGAGTAGCGTATGGGCTCGAGGACCTTGGCTTAGTCCTCTCCTCCTTCATCTTACTTTTACCGCAGCCGGGGTGACCCATGGGTCACCACTTCTGATGCTCCGCCACCGTGACCCACGGGTCACTTCTGCTGCTGCCCCTGCTCCTCCTCCTCTTGCTCCTCTGCCCCCATCATGCCCTCCAGATCCAGCTCCGCCTCGTACAGGTTGCGGATGCGCAGCCGCTCCATGTCCTCCAGGGTGGCGCCAAAGATCTACAGGTGCATGCATGCAAGCGTGCATGTTCTTAGAAAGCTGGCCGCGAGTCGCTGCGTACTGTGATTGTCGGAGGGTAAAGTCCCCACAGAAACGCCACAAGCATGTGTGCGTGAAGGCACACATGCATGGCAGGTAAAGACGAAGCCACTGTAGTGTGTAGTTGAGCGTAAACAAGAGCAAGCAGTTGGGATAGGTTCGCATGTGAACCGCAAGTACAAGCAAAACAGAGGGATAAACAGAGGTCACCAAACCTGAACTATATTGCAAAACTGTAGTGCGTAGGTGGGTGCGTCACAGACCCGAACCCGGCCGGGAGAGAGCTCTCCCGCCCCGCCCAGCACTCCATCGCTCTCCCCCCAACCCTGCTGCCTGTGCAGGTACTACTGCTGCATTTCCTACCGTGTGACATAAAACCATGAGCTCCACCACCAATCACCCACCCAGCCACCCACCCCGTCAGTTTCCTCCCTCTTACCCATCCACCCACCCAGCCCGGCCCGCGCACCTTGCCAATATCCGCAACACTGCCCACCCCGCTGCCCCCTGGCTCTGTCGCCGCCGCCCCCACCAGCCGCTCACACTCCGCTAGGTACAGCAGCTTGCGGAAGAGCGCCGTACACGTGGCCTTGCGCTGCGCCCCCGTCAACGTAAGGCCCTCTGTGTTGAGCATGAGGGTGCCGTACTTGTCGTATATGCGGGCTGAGCGCTCGCGCAGGGCCTCGCCGGCATCCGCGTCGGTCAGGCCCAGACCGTTCTGTGTGTTTGGGGGTTTGAATTTGAGACATGGGTTAGGACACGAGGACGTATGGGGCTGGTGCTTGAGAGGAGGCATGGTCGCATGGGGGTGCAGTAAGGGTGGGTGTGGGTGATGGCATGGGGGTGACAAGGCAGCATGGGTGCACAGCTACTGAGGCCATAACCACCACCCCCACGCGAACTCCCTCCCCCCCCCCCTCTGCCCCCACCTTGAGAGCCACCAGGTCCTCCACCGCCCCCACGTCGAACTTGCGCTCCCGCAGCAGGTACCACAGGTACTTGCGGAACACCTCCACGCAGCTGAACCCGCTGGCGCGCTGGATGCGCTGTTGGGGGGGGGGGAGAGGGGGGGAGGGGCGGGGAGGGGGATAAATGAAAAGTGAGGCAAAGAGGCTCCCTTTCCCCTGCCCTTCACGCCTGCTCCTGCGGCCTCTGCCTCCCCGCTTCCTATCCCCAATGTCTTGCCCCAACCTGTGGCTTCCTATGGTTCGGTATGTGGTCTTTGACCCCCCCTCCCTACCCTGAGCACCGCCGCTGTCAGTCCCTGCCCTTCACGCCCCCTCCACCCCGCCTCTCCCTCCCTCCCCCCTACTATCCAGCTTCATGCGGAATCTTCATCCCTATTAACCCTCCCCCCTCCCCACCTTCAGCACCCCCGCTGTGAGCCCCGCCCGGTTGCCCGCCAGCAGGTAGCCGTTCAGCCCCTCCACCAGCTCCCGGTTGCGGTCGATCTGGGGCGGGATGGGGAAAAAATGGGATGGGGAGGAGAGATGAAAGGGTGGGTGGGTGGGGGATGCGGTAAAATGAGGCGCGATAGGGGCGGAGACGAGGGAACCGATGTGGAGGTGCCAGGAGGTGGGGCACGGCGGCAGGGGTGTAAGCGTGTAACAGACGCGATGGTGGTGGTGGTGGTGGCGGCAGCCCAGGCCATACCAGCCTAATGCGGAATATGTATCCTAACAGTTCTCACCCACCCCCACTCCACCCCACCCCCCTCACCTGTCGCATGCGCTTGGCTCGCGCCGTGTTTGCCTTCTGCCACACCCGCACCGCCGCCAGCCCCAGCGAGCCTAGCAGGGCTGCAGCCAGGCCGCCCAGGAGCAGCTTGCCTGGGGAGGGGGCAGGCGGAGGAGGGGAGTGGGCAGGCAGAGGAGGGGAGTGGGCAGGCGGAGGAGGAGGAAAAAATTATATAAGAAATGCAAACAACTAAAGGAGGCGGAGGAGGAGGGGAGAAAGGGGAATGAGAAGTGAAGCACAGCTCGGTGCACCATGTACGACTGATGCTGGGGAGGCGGAGGAATGAGGAGTGGAGGCGGAGTGGGGACGCCATCACGCAAGGCTGGGGCCCTCGCTCCCTAGCATTTGAACTGGGTCGCGGGGGCTCTCAACCCACCTGGCAGAGTGGTGGTCAGGAAGGCTTGCGATCGGGTCGCTGCCGACTGGAAGGTCAAGGGCTGTGGCAGCAGGCGGCAGGCAGGGCATGACAGCAGGTTAGCAGCGGGCGGGGTGGCGGCAGCAGGCGGCAGACAGGGGCCAGGGCATGGCAGCAGGGGGCGGCGGGTTGGCGTGTGACAGGGGGGTGCAGCCGTGCAGACATGGAAGCCCTAGTCGGCATGACCTACTGTGGGCACCCTTTGCATGCAGGATAGCAGGCCTTCCCAGCCCCTCATTGTCGCACCGACCCGACTAACGGAGCCCTCCTGACTCCTTGCGACTCACACCACAGGCCTTCACCAATACCCACTGTTTCCTTCCCAATATGCCGCACACATTACCAGGCCGCCCTTTTCCCCTCCCGCCTCATCATAAGCCGCCGTACGCACTTACCTCCACCACCTGCTCCACTATCTCTTCCACCTCCTCCGTCACCAGCTCCTGCTTCCCCTGCTCTTCGGCGCCAGCCGCGGCCTCTGTTTCAGCGGGCAGAGCAGCCTCCGCCCCCTCCGCAGCCCCCGCTTCCCCCTCCGCGTTCTCTTCCCCTGCGTTGTCCTCTGCCTCCGCTGCAGCACCCTCCTGCTCCTCCGCTACCTGCTGCTGCTGCTCCTGCTGCTCGTCCTCCTCCTCCTCTTCCTCGGAAGTGACGTACCGTCGCCGCTGCTGGCGCCGCCGCTGCTGCTGGTCCGCCGACTGCTGCTGTTGTTGGTGGGACCCTGGGGTAAGAAAGATGACAGAGGCAGCGGCAGGGACGAAATCGCATGTAGGACTCCAGGAATGACGCAACATTGCTGTGGGCAAGGTCACTTGGCCCAAACTTAGGGCTTCTAGGGTGCTCTGGCCCAAGGGACGTAGGCCTGGGCCATTTGGAACTTTTGAATGCGGGGCCCTTACCCGAGTCTGCTGCGGTTATCATCTTGCGAACAGCATTTGCCAAGGAGGCCGCCTTCGGCAGCGCAGCAGCAGCGGTCGTTGACTGACGCTGGCCTGCAAAGACAGCATTAAGATGAGAAACGGGGGCCGGTTGGAGCCGACGGTTGGCGCATGTAGCGACTTCTGTTGAGATGAAGAAGCAACGACAGAAGTACAGACCCCGCCCCTTCCCTAGGGACTACCATGTAAGGAATTCAAATGGATGCAACATAGCGGTGAAAAATCGTGTCAACGATAAGGCTACGCCGCCAGTGCCATCGGATACCTCAAGTTACTTGCACCCAAAAGCAAGATCCAATTGCCTAACTATGATAGCTAGATAAAACAGCAATCAATTGCCTTTCGCTGCAAGGACATAGCGCTACCAGAACACGGCGAAGGTTAGCACAATTCCAGAGTACTAGTGAATACTTATATGCCGCACCTTTTCGGGCTGAACAACGAGAAAATATAGGTTCAGCAGCAACGTGGGCGAGGGTGTCGGGTCGCCACGCCAAGGTGGCGGACCGCTGCGCAGCAAGCATTGTACAAGGTATCGCCAAACGTGGCAACAGTGTATGCTAGCGTCCGCAGATTAGGATTGTATACGCAGGACGAGGCTGCAATTTGCGAGTTAGGAGTCAATTTCGTGGATTGTGATGGGATTGGACGTACGGGATTGATGCCATGCTGCCCATGCAGCTACGGCCCGCAATCGCTTACAGTGCCGTGCGGGATGGCGACGCTGTTCCTCAGTCTATGATGGGGTTGGACGTACAAGAGGTTTGTCATTTAGCCACGGCCCATATTCGCCCACAGCGCCATGTGGGATGCTGAACATCCATGCCGCGCAATCACAGCACGTTCCGACTCGCGGCCAGTTATGTTAAATCACATGCGGCACAGGCAACAGTAGTTAAGCAATATGCAAGCGCTCTCCTCCACTTCCCTTTCCTCGTTGAATCTAGTGTATTCCCTGCGCCGGTCGACCCCACAATCGCCTCTACCAGCCCTAAAGCAGTCAGACGCATGTTAGCACCTCTCCTACCTCACACCCGCATGCAGTCGTGTCCTGTAGACTTCTGCTCACAGGGGCCGTCGTGGGCGTCAGAACCCTCAGAAAGACCAGTGCGGGAACGGGGGCATGTCAGATCGAATCATGTGGAGATGATGCCAAGGGGCCGGGGATGTTGTGGTGAAGAGCTGGGCATGTTGCGGTGCAGGGCTGGGTTCGTGGGGTGGGGGAAGGGAGGTGCACGCTTGGGTGTGGACCAGATGCGATGCGGGGGCTGGGGTCCAGGGCACGGGTGGAAAAAGACGAATACCCATTGTGAAGACTGTAAAGTGGAGAAGAAATGGCAAACATCATGATAAGCTCATGATGGATGGAATCGAGTTCATTTTTGAGCCAAACGTGCCAGGGGCACGGATGGAGAGTAGACGACTAGACCTCGGGTGGGAGCAGCTGGAGACCCGGCTGGCATGGGCGTGGGCATGGTGGGAAGAAAACCAAGACTGGCTATAAGAATGGACGCATAATTTAGGACAAGGCCTGACAAGGCAACTAAGGAGAGAAAGGCTGCTGGCCCGATAAGTGTTCTGCCTGCCTTATAACGTTATAAGTGCGCTGCCTGCCTTAGGGCAAAGGAAAGGAGGAGGTCGGGGAGTGTTGCGGCGGTGTGAAGCCCTAGCTACGCCCCCTGACACTGGTATCCCGGGCCTTGTACTGCCTAGTCACCTGTGGTAGGGGTAAATAAGGATTAAGCTTCACGGCTTAGCTATGGGCTATGGGCATGTGGGTTACTGACGCTAGGCTGGGTGCCTGGAAGGCTAAACGTCGCATCGCCATTTAAGGGTGGTGTGAGGAACGTTACCTGGACGAGCCCAAGTAGTTCGGCAAGCTGCACCCAGGAAAGTGGGTATATTTTGGGCATCCAGGAGAGCTGTCTTTAATGGTAATTTGGCCAGGCTTCTATGATGATGTACGGCAGACTCGTACCGTATTCTACCCCAAGTACTTGTGCCGTCTGTCGTATTCGGTGCTCGTCGGCCAGACAGCCTAGCCCCAATGCCTTGACTTGTTCTTAGCCACTGTAACCTTGGAACATTTGCTTGTTTCATCAGGTTTCATGACGCTTTACAACGACCTTTAACCTGGTTAGGGTACTTGGGCAAGGGTTCACGATGACGGAGGAAGCCGATAAACGCAGGCGATCTGGCCGTCGTGGACATAGCTTGCAGAAGCTTGGCGTCGGCTTGTCGTCAGGGGCTGGCGGTACCGATCATAATTCCCGCGGTGAGTTGCCACTCTTGAGTTTCATAAGCGTGAAGATAGGTGATAGTAAACCGCCTAAGGTTAATAACTGCTAACTACAGGAGGCGGCGTCATCCGCGGCTTTTTGCAAAGCATACGTGGTCTCACGAATGAATCGGGTTCGCTGCGGGCTGGCCGCTCTGGTCAAACAGTACAAGGAACGAACCCTGCTCATGGCAGCGCGGGGCACGTCGTCCCGTCAAGCTCAGAAGACCTGCGCGCTTTTTACGGACCACTCGATGATGGCCTACCTGCTGGGGACCCTTCCCATGCAGTGCACGGCAGCCCGTTCCTTTCTTCGAACATGAAGCAGACTGACCTCCTAGCAATCGATGCCTCACGCCATGCCGCTTCGAGCGGGCCGCCCGAACCAGACGTCGCACCTAGCCCCAGCTATGTCACCAAAACAGCCGGCTACAGGCGTTCCAAACAGGGTATTGTAGATGATTCCGACTCGCATGCGCGTGGTGGGAGCGCCTCCTGGATAGCCTCGCTTTTTCGTTCGCGCGATACAATCGATGATATTATTGGCAGCGGTACCGTCGCCAGCCGCAGCGGAGCAAGTACTCCTCAGGCAAAGTCCGCGGCTTCGTCAGCTGTCAACACCGGAACTGGTGGTGTTGCAGACAAGTCCCAGCCTTCTTCGGCTGTCAATACCGGTGCCAGCGGCATCGCATCCGCAAGGTCTGCGGCTTCTTCAGCCGTCAACACCGGCGCTAGCGGTGTCCCACAAGTTAGGTCCGCGGCTTCTTCAGCCGTCAACACCGATGCTAGCGGCATCGCGGCAGCAGCCTTAGTTAAGGAGTCCCTCACCAACAAAGGCAACAATGGCATCCCACCAACTTCTTTGGACTCCCTCCTAGCTGCCGCGCTGAAGGAGGCGCAGAAACCCCCTTCCCAGCCCCAGTCATCGCCATTCTATAACGAGGCAGCCGCCGCCGCTGCTGCAGCTGAGGAGGCGGCTACCAAAGGCTTGTCAGCAACAGCGCCTCCTGCTGCTGCTGTCCCCGCTGCTGCTGCTAAGCTGCCCTCCAGCGGATCCTTGGTCCCTCCCGCAGAGGCTGCCTCAGCAAAGCCTAGCGGCGGGCTTCCTGCCGTTTACCCTGCAAGCGCCGGGGCTCCTCTAGCCGCCGCTCTGCACCAACCGGAACCGGAATCTCAGCAGGAAGACGAGGAAGAGGAAGAGCAACAGCCGCGGCAACAGCAACAGCAAGTTCGACAAGGCCAGCAGCAGCTGCTGTACGACACCATATCTTCCGCAGCCCCCTCAGAGGCCGGCGATCTGGTGCTCACCTGGTCCCTACCCAATTTCTGCTCCCACCCCAACTACCCAACCCATTACGTCCGGGGCGGTGAAGACCAGGACCTGGCTGTGCCCTTGGCAACGCTTGCCGCCACTCCCTCCGACAGAACTATTGTCCCCTCCGACACAAACAAAGCAACTGCTGATGCTGATGCTGCAGCGGTGGCGGCTGCTGTGGATGCGGCTGCTGCTGATGTGGATGCGGCCGCTGCTGACGCTGATGCGTCTCTTGCGGATTACCATGGCACTGGCGGGCACCGTAGCTCCGATATCATCATGACGTCGTCGTTGCCAAACCAGGCAGCAGCAGCAGGCACAACCACCGTCACTGCAAGCGTGTCTGATGAGCCGCCGCCGCTGGCGCCTTCAGCGGCCTCTGTGTCGCTACAGCCGCCACAGCAGCAGCCCGAGCAGCAGCAGCAGGAGCTACAAGGGCAGCAGCCCGAGCAGCAGGAGGACTGGGGCCAGCAACATCATGAGCAGCAGCAGCACCGCCGCCAGTCCTCGTCCTCCTCCTGCAGCACCAAACTCGAGCTCTCGGCCATTGCCGTCAGTCAAGCCGTGCAACAGCTGCAGCAGCGGCAGCAGCAGGAGAAGGCCGCTGCGAGACTCCTGCGGAGCCCCAGCCGCGCCCTGTCGTTGTACGGCAACTACCCCAACGGTTACCAGCAACACCAATTGTCCACCAGCCCTCGAGCTAGCGGTGGCGGCATGCTACTGCGTCGGGCGCAAACAACAACGAACGCCAGGAGTCTGGACGGCTGCTACGGCGGTGATCCTGCCGCTCCTGCACCTGCTAAAGATGCTGCCCCTGCCCCTGCCCCTGCTGCTGGCCATGACGACTATCACCAACACTACCTCCAGATGTACGGCGGTGGCGGCGGTGGTGCTTATGATGCCAGCGGTGGTTGTAGTACCAACGGTTATGGTGGTGGTGGTGGTTGTGCTGGAGGTTTAGAAGGTCACCTGACAGCAGCAGCTGGGACAGGTGCAGCACGAGCAGCAGCAGGGGCAACGTCTTCCTCGCCGCGTTCTGCCCGCCTGTCGCGTCCGCCGGTCTTCCTTCCCGCGCGTCGGTCGGCACCGCAATACCTGTCATCGCAGCTGCATGGTGGCGGTGGTGGTGGTGGGGGCATGGGCGTGGGTGAGGGGGAGGGGGAGGGCGCGTATGGTGGTGGGGGCATGAGATCGGAGGCTGCCCACTATAGCGACAATAACAACAACAGCTATGGCTACGACGGCTCTGGTCAGTTGCAGGTGGGTGAACAATGTGGGCGTGTGGGTGGATATATCAGGATACCGTGTGGGTGCGGATGAGAGACAAGGAAGAGGATGCGCCGGTGCGGACTGCTCGTCAACGGGGCGTAGTTGAGCTGTGACCTGATCGCCTTGGCAGTGTGCCTGGTCCCTACATACATGTGGTTTGATAGGGCATGTGGGTAATCTGCAATCCGTACACAACCCTGTACCTACAACTCAACCCAACCCAAACTCACCCACCCCCCTCACATCCAACCACTACAGGCGCTGGTGCACAGCGCCTCCTGCGGCGACGCCGCCGCCTCCTTCCTGCAGCAGCTCCTGCTGCCTGTCTCCGCATCCACCGGGTCAGCTGAACTGCAGTACAGCGGCAAACTGCCACGCATGGCCTCCCCAACGGCCGCTGCTGCCCTGTTCGGCTGTCTCCCGGGCATTACAACTGCTGCTGGTGTTGGCGGCGGCGGTGGTGTGGGTGGTGTTGGTGTTGCCTTACCCATTTGTGGGGCTAGTGCCTGGGATCTGGATTTGGGTTGCGGTGCTGGTGCTGGTGCTGTTGTTGTTGTTGGTGGTGGTGGTGGTGGCAGCGGCGGGATTTCTGGTTTGGAGAGGGAGGGTGCGAGCTGCGGTGGGAGTGCTGCTGCTGCTCATGACCCGGGGCAGCAGAAACAGCAGCCCTTGCGGCAGCAGTCACGGCAGCTGGAGGCGGCGGGAACGAGGTTTAGGAGGCTGTCCACACCGCATCAACAGCAACTGCAGCAGCAACATCCACAGCAGCAGCAACTGCCGTACTGCAACTCGCCATTGTACCCCCCGGCGGCGGTGTCGACTTCGTCGTCGTACTTGTACGGTTCGCGGTCTGCGGCGATGGGTCCGACCCACTGGTGCCCTGTGTCTGTGGCTGCTGCGGGCAGAAGGTAGGTGCGAGGGCGTGCGGGCGAGGGTGTAAAACGTATGTGTGGGGCAAGATAACTGGTTTCTGTGTGGGTTGTATTGAAGGCACTGATGAGCCGCGTAACTATATGTGGTAGGGTATGTGCGTCCAGCAGTTCAGCAGGGTGCCTGTAGCGTAATCGAGTATGTGAAGTTTATGCGACCTTCAGCCCCTCCCTGGTCCCCATCTCCATTCCATTTTCCTATGATCACGGCCAGTCTTCCATCGCGGCTCACCTGCGGCTCACTTGCCGCTCGCATGGACTACCCCACCCACGGACAACCTTACCCTCCCGCTCTGCTCTCTGCTCTCCTGCAGGTCTGACTCCACCTGCACGGGCCACCAGGCCCCCCATAGCAGCACCGGCAACAGCGGCTTCCCCTCAGCTGCCAGACACTCAGGCGGAGGCGGCACCACCGCTCCCATCCTGCGCACACACAGTGCCCTCGCCCACACCCGCCCCCGCAGCGGTAGCGGGGATGATGGTAATGGCAGTGGCAGTGGCAGTGGTGTTGTAGGCAGCAGAAGCAACAGGACCATTGGAGGAGGAGCAGGGGCCCACCTGCAGGCGCCTCCTGCCACCCGTTGCTGCTGGTCTTCCGGCCACCAGCATGTGCAGCTTGCGGAGAAGAAGACCGCAGAGCAGTTGGTGCGGGAACTGCGGGAGTTGTTGCAGCAGCAGCAGCAGCAAGCTCCAGATCAGCAACAACAGCAACAGCAGGCGCTGTTGCAGCATGCTTTTGAGGACGCTGTCGTGGCAGGTGCAGGTGCAGGGGTGCAAGGGGCAGTGTCGCCCGGCGCAGCAGCCGGGCAGTCGCAGTCGCAGGCTAAGGAGGAGGAAGCGAAGGAGGAGCAGGTCCCGGCGGGGCAGCAGCAGCGGTACCCCCAGCAACAGGTGTCTTCTGGGGATTTGGTGGGGGCGCTGTGGCGGCTGGTGCATGCGAAGGACGCGGAGGCGGTTCAGTTCCTGCTGGGTGTGGATCCGAGGAGCCGGGAAAACCGGGGCATTGCGGGGACGCTACAGGAGCTTCGGAGCTGGATCTACGTCAACATGTGGTGAGGAGCATGTGATGGAGGTGAGGTGGAGGGAGCTGTGTTGGTGGGGATATGGCATACGAGATGAGGACTGAGGCTGGGGCCGTCCATGAGAGGGCACATCGGTGCGTGGAGGGGGTGGTGCTGATGTCCATGTGGTGAAGATGAAGGGGCTCAAATGCAACCCATGCGTGCAGATCTATGTCAACATGTGGCGAGGAAAGTGAAATGCAGCCAATGCGTGCGGCCCATGCTGTTGCCTGGCGTGGCTCTGTTTCCGACGTGCGTGCGTCCGTTGTTGTGTGTTCCTGTTGAACGGCCGGTACCATATTTGTACCAACTAGCAAGAAAGGCCTTGAAGCAGCATACATGGGATTCAACAGGTTATGTGTGTAAGATCTGCCATCAAAGACGTGGTTCGAAACACCCAAGCAGGAAGATGATGGTTTCTATGGTTAACTTACGGTTGTGTTGGCTGGTTGCGGTCCAGGAGATAGAAGAGAAGGCGGTGTTGAAGGCTCTGACGGGCTCTGACAGGGGCCGTGAGCAGCAGAATAACCCTGCAAGGCCTGCTTTTTCACATCGGGGGGAAAACGTTGGCGTTAACGCTAATTGATGATATGGCTCCTATGGCTTCCGATTTTATACATGGCTTCGTTAGTAATAGGTGGTGGCTTGCATGTTGTGGTTTGGGTTTAATTGCTGGGCATTGCTATTGCCAAGCTGCCCTAAAGCGATTATTTAGTTCAAGCGATGCTTCAGTACTGACTACGATGAATGGTGTCTTCGTAAGATGAGTCCTGATAAAGATGGCTTTACAATAATGGGTCAAGAAGTGCTGTTTTTTGTCATCTTGTTGGTAACTGGCACAATACAGCGCGCGCATTTGCGGTACGACAAGCCCTACTACCGCATCTAAACCTGTTGCCGTACATTGCTTCTTTGCAGAAAGCTTCCGATGGACTTGTTGTTCCTTGTTTGTGTATGTGTTGCATGCGGTGCGACTGTTGTGAAGTGCCAGCTTAAAGGTATTTTGCCTTTCCTTTGTTGCTGGATTCGAAATTCGGAACCTGGAACCCCACAGAACCTGTGGGGACATTTCCTTACAACCTTTTCGCATGGTGCGTGTGTTAAAGCGGCGCAAGGGTGTGGTATGACGTGCGAATGACACCTCAAACCACACGATAAGTTTGTTCGCCAACCTCCTGCTGGCATGAGTTCGGTGCGCTGCCGTACGGTGTAGTACAGGCCGGGCCAAAGGCGGGTGTGGAGCGTTTTTCCTAAAGTGTGTGCAGCAGCGGTTGATAACATGGGTTGCTAAGAGTTTGATTGGAACAGAGGACTGGGGCGACTGAGAATGGGCAGGAGGAGGAGGCGAGCGAGCGAGCGAGGCGGGGTGCATGAAAAGGGACGGGGCAGAGGGTATCTAAGAGGATTGCACGAGGGGCTGAGGGATTGCTTCTTTGCAAGTGTATGAATTGGGCAATAGTTGCAGGTGGCCTGGCATGGGGCAGGGGTCCCATGCGTGGAGGGTTGCTAAGGAGGGGGCTTGGTGGGACTCTAGAGCGGGCTTGGGTTGGTTTGCAGAGGCGAGGGCCCACTGTATGTATGAGCTCCGGTGAGTGTGCGACAGGTGTGTTGCGCGTGCATTGCAACGCGCCCTGCATGTGGGCCGACGGGCCGACACTGTATATGGGTCGACATTGTGTATTGGCGCGGGAATATTACCAAGCCGTGCGAACTGTATGAAGGTATACGGAGTTGTGTAGGGAATGCTACCGTTTGAGTGCATGGGTGTCGCGAGGAGGAAGGAGGGATGCGTTGTTAAGCCGCACACACTGGACGGGTGTGTGTGTGCCAGGGCTGCAGGTGTGCGTTTGCATGCGGGGGGGGAGTGGGGAGTGAGCTTTGAGAGGTGCGATAATGAGTGCAAAGTGGGTTTAGGTTGGCTAATCCTGGCTTAATGTACAATGTTTTTTGTGATGGCGGCACGCTCTGGGCTTGTAACGTTTTTCAAATGTGCGCGGCGTAAGGATTAGCAGCAGGTATAGCTTTGGAGGATGGGCAGCCTTGCTTGGTGTCAGGCCGGTTGGGCAGTTTGGCTCGGTGCCAGATAAAGCTGGTTGGAAGGAAGCCCTTTTTGTGTCCGAACGAGGTGGGCTTTAGAGATCGGAGCTATTTCAGAAGGAGGAGGACGAGGAAGGAAATGAAGCGGAATGAAGCGGAGGAGGAGAAGGAAAGAGGCAAGGAGGGTGAGAGCTCTGCTTTGCAAGATTTCTGGACGTGAAGCGGGAGAGGGAGCGCGAGACGGGTTGAGGTGAGGCTGCACGCGCAGGCAAAGCACTGGCGTGTTGAATGCAAAACGTAACGTAACGTATCATCAGTCTAATCCATTGCCAGCGCCATCCCTTCTTGAACGCACTGGCGGCGGCAGTGGACGCCTTGTTGGACGCCCTTTGCAAGTACCGGTTTAATTTATCGCCTGCTGCCGCTTCTGGTTATTATCAGGAGTAGGAACATGCTGCGTCTTAAGCGGCGCATACCAAAAACCGCCGGGCCCGGAATAATTGTGGTGTTAATCGTGTAAATGTCGCCGCCTACCGTATGTTGTGTGTTGGGTATTGTCCATGGTCCTCATAGCGTTCATTAAATTTATATCTAGATATATCTTGTTGTCGTGGTCCTGGATTACGGCCGCCGTGAGCCCCGAACATGGCGTGTGTCTGGTCGCAGCTGGTGCCTATGAGGTGGTTGCGTAGCAAGACGTGGGTAGCAAGACGTGGGTAGCAAGACGTGGGTAGAACGTTTGACCTTTCCAGCGTGCAAGGTAAGGGTGCTGCGCGTTGGGCGTTGTAACTGGGGCATTGCTAGTCAGGAGCCTTAAGTGCGGCATGCGAGCTGGTCTGCGTTTCTGTCCTTGTGTTTCTTCGAGTTGTAGGGTATCCCGTGCTTCTATCTTGGCAGGTACAACCCCTTCGTATGCCTCGCATGCTTGCTTGCGTTGTAGCTGTTGGTAGCGTTGGTTGGGCTCTACTGTGCAGGTGTGCTGGTGAGAATGCAGTTTCTACGGGAGGGGGTCTGAATGACCACAGTGCGACGCACAACGACAGGATGGTGTGCAGCGGCGCATGACGCCAGGCACGGCAAATGCTTATCACTATGTCCACCGTTGTAAGGCTGTAAGTGTTGGAATGTTTGCAACGACTTGTGCATCTAGGAGGCCAGTAAAGATGTTCAGCTCGACTTTTTGAGAGGGCTTTCTGTTCGTAACGTCGCACTGGGCGCCGATTAGGTGCCGTACATTGTTAAGCCAGCCTGGATGGGCCGCAGCTGGCCGGTTATTAGCGCTGCCCGATGGGTAACGGAGGAGTTGCCGAAATCTTTGTCCGGGAGACTGCAGCTTAGCTTCTTTTCCTATTGTACAAGCATACTGAATAGGAGCGACGGTTGCGGCAACGTCGTGGCAGACCGCCATCGTGTGGGTACTGGTTTTCCGCACCTCATGCGACGTGCCTTACTTTCAGTTTAGAGACCTTCAGCTACTTCTTAGGTCAGCATGCCAGTTTCGCAGACTTGGCTGCCGCAGGCTCGCCGCTCAACATGTATCCAATCTATCTAATCGGCACATAAAGGCCCATCACAACGCAGTCACAATATTAGCATAGGATTTCATTAACACCTTGCCCTGAATTCAACTTTAGCGCCGTGCACTCACGTCTAGCACGTCTGCACGAGCACATGACGCATGCACCCGCCATCGTACGAGCGTATCCATGCGATTGCATGGAACAGGTAGCCTGCTTTCCAAATAGGTCGCGCTCTGATACATTTCTTCTTAATAACCTCTAGCGCTTTGACGGGCATCTTAGTTGTTAAGCCTGTTTCAAGTAGTCAAACCTTGTCGTCTCTGTAAAGCTTTGTGAGCCCAAAAAGCATAGAATTAAGAGACGATACAGAACACACTTTCGTTTTCACTGAAGTGCTTTAGGCATTGAACGCGCTTATCTACAGTCAACGCCCCCATCCACAGCTGTCCTTCATTTAAGCGGTGCCTTACAGCGTCCTTGGCTGCCCTTACTTTTGTTATGTCTTAATGATGTTATAATCAGCCGCTGCGCTCAAGCATCTTAGGCTGTATGCAGCCAATTGGAACCTCATGCTCGCGCTGAAGCGTGGCCGCTGGGCTGTGGCGCCTGCGGCATGGATACGATGATAGTTAGAGGCTCAAAGCGCGTCGCGGAGGTTTCCCCGCTTCGCCATATCCGGTAAGCCAAGTCGGCATTGGCTGACCATGGCCATCCTATGAGCGCAGCTCCCAACTGTTGTACCCCCGAATCCCTTGCAGGGAGATAGGTGCGCGCCCTCAGAGCGCCGAAAACCCAGCCTACGAAACCTATCGTGCGCTGCCGAGCCCCCCTCACCCGTACAGCAGCTATGACTTTACGGTGGTGGAGGAGATAATCAGGACAGCCGAGAGCGATGTTGGCAATGCGTACACGAAAGGCGAAGGTGCGAACACATCACCTTCCCTGCCCTCCTTCCCTTCTGCTTCCTCGACCAGCCGCTGACGCCCAAGTCACAATCGCACTGCAGGTTCCGGCATTGTTACCCTCCAATCAGTACTACAGGCTTACGAGGTGGTTCTGCCACGTCACGGCGTCAAGCCGGAGGAGGACACTTACTACTACCGCCTGCTGCTCAAGTTGAGCCTCGACCCGGAGGAAAACTGGTGGACCAAGCTAAAAAAGGAGAAGGCAGCTAGCAAAGCCGGGTAAGCAGTGCAACCTGAGCCTCAGGAAACCACCGCTTTCAGCCGCTTGTAGTTCGCTTGTTTCCTCTCTTCAAATCCCTACACCCCCCCATGCAGGCGTCTCGCCTTCGCCGCGCGGCATGCCACCAACATCTCCCCGCAAACCTCGCCAACTCGCACCTTCGCGCTCACCTCCTCCAGCACCCACCCGGACGACCCCTCGAGGCCTGCTCTCACGCTAGGTCTGGGCCACAGCACAGCCACTGGCGTAAGTGCCGCCACGCAAAACGCCAGGTTCAGCTTGTCCTCACCATCCAGCAACTTGGGGGCACCTGGGTCCGCACCGTCCTACCACACAACTGCTTCCTTCGGGCCCACGCGCCAGCAGCCCCAGCAGCCAGCCCAGCTTCAGGTCCCCCGGTATGCCGCTCGAGAGGCCGCAGCGCAGGAGGCCCGGGAAGCCGCGCAAGCAGCCAGGAACATGGTGCGGGAGGCGGCACGTCGAGACGCGGCGCGAGCCGTGGAGGTTGGCATGCAGCAACAAGCAGCACAGCCGGGATGGGAAGCACCCGCAGCAGCACCGGCAGCAGCAGCCCGCAACCGGGGGAGCGCAGTCCATGGTGCTCATGTGGGTCAGGGGATTGTCGCGCCGCTGCCTGAGGAGCCGCTGCTTAGGAGGCGAAGCACCTCGTTGGGAGGTGTGCAAGGAGCAGCAGCAGGAGCAGCAGCAGCGCGGGAGGCAGCTAGGATGGCAGCCGCGAGGGATGCGGACGCCATTCGTGACGCGGCAATGCGCGAGGCGGCACGAGAGGCAGCTGCGGGAGTGCCGTCGGTACCCGCAATGTCTTCCGGCGGGGTGGCAGCAACGCGGCAGTCGGGGAGGAATTACGTGGTTGCCTCCAGCGGCATGGATGCTGAGGAGGCCGCACTGCTTGAGGCGGCACTCGGCGAGCCGGCTGCTGTGACACGTCCACTCGCGGCGCCCCCGGCAGGTGCGGTGCGCGAGCCGACCGCTTGGCAGCCGGCGACGCTCGCGGTTGTAGCAGCGCGGGAGGCGGCTGCGCGGGAGGCAGCCACACGGCTGTCACTGATGCGCCAGGGGCCGGCAGCCGCGGCAGCGACCCGGCAACAGGAAGCGGTCCAGGAGGCGACAGCACGTGAAACTGCGGTGCGGGAGGCAGCACAGGAGGCAACAGCCGCCCGAGAAGCGGCACGTGCAGCCGTGCAAGAGGTGGCTGCGGTGCGGGAGGCTGCAGCTCGAGATGCGGAGCGAGAGGCGGAACGCATCGCTGCCGCGCTGGAAGCGGCGCGAGGGGCAGCACGTGAAGCGGCGCTTGAAGCAGCTCGAGAGGCGGCACGGGAGATCCTTCGGGAGGCGTCGCTGGGGGGAAAAGCGGTGGGTGAGGCTTCGCAGGGCACGTCATCATTGGTGATGACGTTGCAGGAAACTCGTTTTGCGGCTCAGGAGGCAGCAAGGGACGCGGCTGCTCGGGAGGCTGCATGGGAGGCCGCTCGGGAGGCTTCAAGGGAGGCCGCTGCTGCCCGTGACCTGGCCGCACGCGAGCGCGAGGCTGCAGCAAGAGAGGCGGCCGCGCGGGAAGCTGCGGTGCGGGAGGCCGCAGCGCAGGCGGCTATTGCACAAGCAGCAAGGGAGGCTGCCAGGGAGGCAACAGCGAGGGAGGTGGCTGCGCGGGAAGCGGCGGCGCGAGAGGCGGCAGCAAGGGAGGCAGCCGGCCGGGAAGCAGCCGCGCAGTCTGCCATTGCACAAGCCGCACGCGAGGCTGCGAAAGAGGCGGCTGCAAGGGAAACAGCGGCACGGGAGGCAGTTGCCCAGGCGACGGTTCTACACTCTGCGCGGGAGGCGGCGGCTCGTGAAGCGGCGGCACGCGAAGCAGCGGCGCACGCAGCAAGGGAGGCTTCGCGCGAGGCCGCTGCTAGGGAGGCGGCGGCGCGGGAGGCTGCATCACATGCGGCGGTCGTCCAAGCAGCGCAGGAAGCGTCACGTGAAGCGGTGATGAGAGAGGTGGCTGCTCGGGAGGCGGCAGCGCAGGCCGCAATCACGCATGCAGCACGGGAGGCTTCCTTTGAGGCGGCGTTGCGTGAGGTCTCCTCCCGTGAGGGGGCATCACGGGAAGCGGCTTTGCGCGAAGCAGCGTTGCGGGATGCTGCGTCCCGGGAAGCGGCAGCGGCGCAGGCAGCAGCGATGCTTCAGTCAGCTCGGGAGGTGGCATCACGTGAGACGTCCCTGCGGGGGGCAGCTGTAAGAGAGGCGTCTCTGCGGGAGATGGTGGTGCGAGAGGTGACGTTACGAGAAGCTGTGACAGGCGAAGCCGCTTCCCGGGAGGCCATTCTGCGGGAGGCGGCATCACGTGAAGGAGCGGTGGCGAGGGAGGCAGCAGTCACACAAGCCGCTGCTGCTGCTGCTGCTGCTCAGGTTTCGCGTGAGGCGTCGCTAGAAGCAGCTCTGCGGGAGGCCCTTTCAAGGGAGGCGTCCGCGCGGGAGGCAGCAACCAGGGAGTCCAGCCTTCGGGATGCAGCCGCGTCCCAAGCCGCCGCCGTCACACTGCAGGTGACGAGAGAGGCTTCACTGGAGGCGCTGCTGAGGGAGTCTGCGTCGCGTGAGGCCTCTGCACGAGAATCCGCACGAGCTCGAGAGGCGGCGGCACAGGAGGCAGCGACGCGGGAAGCAGCCCGGGAGGCTGCCCTTCAGGAGGCTGCAGCACGCGAATCAGCGTTTCGTGAGTTTACAGCGCGGGAGGTAGCTGCGTTGCGGGAAGTTGCAGCGAGGGAGGCGGCGTTGCGGGAAGCAGCGGCTCGGGAGGCGGCTTTACGTGAGGCTGCTTCCTTGCGGGAGGCAGCAGCACGGGCAGGCAGCAGCTCCCCCTTCCGTGAAGCAGGCGCGCAGATGGCTGTTGCCGCCCAGGCGTCCACTCGTGAGGAGGCGCTGCTGCTAGGGTTGTCGTCTAAGCGAGAAGCCTCGACACGCGAGGCAGCAGCAGCAGCGTTGCGCGAAGCAGTAGGAGTCGCGCAGGGGGGACCCAATACCCCACATGAGACCGCTCAAAGGGGGGCAACGGCGTCCCGCGAAGCGACGAGACCGGGGCCCCTGGGCCGTGTAGCATCCACATCCAGTGAAGGAGCAGCAGCGGCTTTCCTGCATGAAGCAGCCTCCTCCCCTCTAGCTGTTGTTCAGGCGGCCCGGGAGGCTTTACGTGAGGTGGCTTTGTTGGAGGCTGTGACTCGCCCGGTGGCAGCAAGGCCGGAGGCGGTCGCACAAGCAGCACGCATTGCGGCACGTCAGGTGGCGATTCGCGAGGCAGCGAACCGTGAGGCGCCCGCCCAGGCTGCTGCCGCTAGAGAGGGGGCCGCGGCAGCACGCAATGCGACCACGCAGACGCCGCGTGGAGAGGCGGCCGCGGCCACAACGCAGGCGGATATCGTGCAGGCGGTGCGGACAGCGTTACGTGAGGTTGCGACGTCGCCGGAACTGTCCGCGGCGGCACGGGAGGAGCAGTTCCCCGATCTAACACTGCAGGCAGGACGTGGCGGGAGTGTTTGGGATGCCGCCCGGCTGGCGTCCGTTCCCAGCCCCCCAGGCAGGCGGTACCAGCAGGCGGGGTTCAGCAGTAAAGGTATTATTCGCGACAGCGACATGGCATCAGCATCCCAGCTGCCGGCAGCAGCGGCGGCTAGGGTTGAAACGTCGCCATGCCGGCAGGTTGGAGCCGTCGCGCAGCTGGCGCCATCGTCATCACGCAGGGCCCCTGTCTCGCCTCCCATGTCTCCCAGACCCATGGGTCTCCCCCAGGCAGCAGCCTCCTTCCCTCCGGTACGGCGCTTGGATGTCCAGCAAGCGCCGGCAAGCAGCCGTTGGGACACACCCTCCACCACGGTGGATGGCGACTTGCATGGGGCACCCGCACCCATGCACGTCCCCTCGCAGCATGCAGCGGCCCAGTACGGCACCGCATCACCACACTCCACGTCACGACATGCCGTACGTGCCGTACCGCAGCAGCCCGCGTCGAGCCTACCAGGAGCAGGCAATAGCCTCCTGGACAACCCCATGATGTACGGCGCTCCAGGTGGCGGCATGTGGGCCTCCCAGCAAGCCCAGATGCCTCCCCAAGGCTCCTTCGCTTCCCATGCCGGCGGTGCCTCTGGCAATGCCGGCTTGGGGGGTTTGTACGACAGAGGACTTGTGGATGTGGCTGCAAGTGGTGTGGAGTTTAGCGTCGATAGCTACCACACCCTCCCCGCTCCCAACAGCAGCTACGTCGTCGTCAACAATGACAGCGGTCCTAAAGACGGCTCCAGGGGTGATGGCGCTTTTCCCGCTAACAACGGTGCGTTTGGCGGACGTTGGAACCCTGCTGGCAATGGTGACAGCGGCAACCGTGGGAACCCACAAGAGGGCGGCGGGTACGACAATACCGGTAACTTCCCAGCTGGGGACGGTTACCCCAACGGCCGTGGTGGTTACGGAGCTGGGGCCGGAGGCTTCAACGGCAACGCTGGCGGCGGCAGCCCGGGGCGAGGCGCCTTCTCGCCTGACCGCCGTCCGGGATCTGGATTTAACAATCGGGCAGGCGCAGGCAGCCCGGGCAGTCCTGGGGGCTTTACCGTGAGCGGCTTTTCCATGGACGTGCATGGGACTCCCCAGCGCAGCCTGGTGACCCGTGGGTCATCCCGCATCAATGAAGCCATGCTTGCTGAGCTGCATGTGCCTGTGCTGCATGAGGAGGCGGAGGCCTACTTGGACTTTAGCCGCATGGCTCGGGCCTTCCGGCGGTGGCGCAAGAACACTGCCGTACGGCGAGACTTCAGGTGGGGGCTTGGTGCGCTGGTTTTGGGAGGGTGGGTGGGCGGTTGCTGTGGTTGCTGTGGCTTGATGTGGCAGGGTTTGTGGTGAAGAGTCTATCAGTTGCACTTGCGTATAAACGGCTTTGCTGATTGCTGTGATGAGAGGCAGGGTGCGGCCATGTAAAAGCGCGCTGGTTACGGTACCCACAGTACCTAAAAGATGTCATGTTGTGACCCATGGGTCGTTGCAGGAACAACCGCGACCATGCGTTGCGCAACTGGGCCGTGGCGACGTCCTTCTGGGGTGTTCAGCTGCTGCGGCGCTGCGTGAGACGCTGGCGTGCGCTCAGCACGCGCAAGAGCCTACGGGCGCTGGCGATATGGTGTGGCAACAGCCGCGCGGGGTGCATGAGGTAAGTAGAGCTACGGCGTGGGCTACATGCATTCCACTCCAACAGCAGCATTCTTTCTGAACTTGAGTTTAATCATTAAAGCAGCACCCATTGCTTTTACCCTTTTTAACGATGTGTAGCATGTGCCTGACCAGGGCCACAAGCGCATCCATTACCTGTTTACCTCATTCACTACTTTCCTCTAAATAAACCAAAATAAAGCCCACTCACTAGGGTCATAATCCGCTCATTACCCGCTCGTCCTTAGGCGCTGGCTGGGCTACGTTCGCTATCTGAAGTCCATGTCGCAGCAGTGCGACCGCGTGTGGCGCAGCCGACTGCTGCGGCGCTGCTGGCGGCGGTGGCGCCAGTACACATGCGCACACATACGCAAGGTACGGCAGGCTGGCGGCTGGCGGGGTTACTGGGTCGCTTGCTGCGCAATTGTATATTACCGGTACCTTTTGATTGTTCCAGGCCCCGCGTTGCCGGTTAGCGGTGTGCCATTTAGGGGGCGGTATGCTGTGAATGTATGATCGAAGCTGCCCGTATGGCTGCTGCCTCAGGCACAAGCTGTCAACAAGGCCCTGGGCTTCAGGCGGCTCACGTTGTTGAGGCAGCACTGGCAGCACTGGCGGGAGTACGTACTTGACCAGCGGCGAATGGTACGACACCCAGGGAGGCGGGCGGCGGGGGGGGGGCATATACGACATACACGCGCTGCTTACAGCTGTCAAGACCCGTAACATTGTTGTTCCAGATTTGCGGCCAGATGGCGTGTTTCGCGCTCAACCGTAGTAAATACGGCATCAAATCTGCTGCCCTTCCGTTCAGAGAGTTTTCGCCCTGCGCTCTGGCCTGCATCCCACATCACTTCACCACTTCACCACTTCACGCCAGGCAACTGCAAGCCAACACCCCCCCCCCCCATGCTGCTGTGCGCCCTGCTTGCATTGCCTGTCCGCAGACGTTGGTGCTGGCAAAGGCCCTTAACTTCTGGATCGGTCGTTCCCTGCTGGACTGCTGGCTTCAGTGGCGCGCTTGCGTGCTTCACAGGCGGCACAAGGTACCGTACGTGATGTGGCTACTGCTCCCCGTGACTACTACCTCATCCTCCTACCTCCTACATTCCCAAGGGTGTGCCTCCGCAGCGGAAAGGCACTCCGTCAACCGAACCAACATGCCCCCCCTCATGTCATCAAGCGGATGTGATCCTTCCAATCCTTCCAAACATGTTTCCCACCCAATCCCTCCACCAGGTGTTGACGGCGGACAGGGCCTCCAGGTGGCGGGTGGGCCGCACGCTGCGGCGCTGCTGGCGGCTCTGGCGGCAGTTCACAATCCAACGACAGCTCAAGGTATCGGTGTTTGCCTGCTTTCTTTTCGTTGCCCCCCATTGTCTTTACCAAAGGCTTTTTCACGGCACCCTTCCAAGCGTAGGGTATGTAGGCAAACGCCTCTCAGCCATGCAACCCTGCTGCTGACCTGTAAGCTCCCCGCATCCCCTTCCGGCTTCCCCCCCTCCAGCCAAATGCAAAATACGTACCGGTATGTATCCCTCCTGGCCCGCTTCCCCTCAGGCCCTGGCAGCCAGCAAGGCCCTGGTGTACTGGTCCTCCCGCACGCTGCGCAAATGCTGGTGGCTGTGGCGCCACTTCGCACGAGACCAGCAGCAGCAGGTGGGGGACGGGGTTGCGGCGTGCCGGGAACTCAACAAGTCTTTGCCCTTTCTTCCTTTCTTCCTTTCTTCCTTCCTTTGCAAAAGGACATGGAAGCTCCCTCTCACTCGCACCCTTAACGCCACCACGCGCAACGTCATCCCCTGTGTTGACCCATGTGTTGACCCATTGCGGCGTTCTGGGCGGCCATGCCCCGCGCCTTGCTTTACCAGATGCGCTGCTGCCGCCATCTTTCTCACTGGTGCTCTCCCCACTGGTTTGTGACGTACGCGCTAATGCCTTCCCCATGTGTTCCCTACCCCACCACCAGGACCTAGCGGCAGCCCGGGCATCTGCGTTCTGGGAGCGGCGCCTGCAGCGCAGCTGCTTCCACCAGTGGCGCCTGCTCACTGAGGCGGCCTACAGCGCATGCGAGGAGGCGGGGCGGCACTTCAGGCAAGTCGCTGCGCTGCGGGATGGGGCGAGGCGATGGTGTTTTCGGCACCACCGATGGATTGCTGCCAAGCAACGCCAACAGCACCAGCAACAACCAGCAGCACTTTCCTCCAGCGCGTGCCTGCCCTTCCTCCCTGCTTACCCTTCTTACACTTCCTTCCCCTAACGCCTTCACGTTAACGCAGGCGGTGCATCCTGCTCCGCTGGCGCCTCGTAACCCGCCAGTTGGCCGTGCTGTCAGCAACCCACCAGGCCATCGCCCATGCGGACCAGAGGCGGTTGTTGCTCGACAGCATGCAGGCAAGTGCCCTTGAGGGGGACCACCCACCCGAGCAGCTTAGCTTGCCAGCTGCTGCCACACAACACCCCCTGTTGCACAGCCGCCCCTTGTCTCCCTGCTTTAACAGCACAACCGTCTCCCATGCGCACCTTACCCCCCACACGCACCGTCTTCATATTTCCCCCCACCGTCCCCATGCAGGCGCTGGTGGGTGTGCTGTCTGCCCGCCGTGCTTCCGAGAGCCTCCTTCGCGCCGTGTTGGGCCGCATGCGCAACTCGCTGCTCTCCCGCGCCTTCCACAAGTGGGCGGAGGCGGGGCAGCGAGGGCGACTGAAGCGGGAGCTGATCGGCATGGCGCTGGAGTGGTGGCGGGACAGGTGGGGGGCGGCTTTACTGGTTGGGTAAAGAGGAAACAACTAACTGACTGAGGGATAAGGCGTCTTGGGTGGGTGGTGGTGGCGGTAGTAATTAGGTGATGTGGTGTGTGGGCAGGAGGAAATGCGCAGCGCATGCATGATGAGGGAGCACACCAGACACCACGCCCCTAGGGGTGGTTTGCTGGGCTGCTGGGGTACCCAGAAGGCTGGCTGCATGGGGTGATGTGGGGTACTGCTGTACCGCAGACTCCGCCCGCCTCCCCCGCCTACATGTGCTGTGTGGGTCGGCTGTGGCACACCTGGCAATGGGCCTCCAAGATCGGCCTGCTGTAAGGCTTGCCCCTTCTATCCATGTACCGTACCTCGCCTCGTAGGTGCCTGGCCAAGTCGTGGAGTGCCTGGTGCGAGGCAGTGCTGTCTGCTCGCCAAGCCTGGCAGGTGCGTGGGGCTAGTACGGTATACGGTAGCTAAGTGCATGCGTTGACTTGCCCGCCACGTTGGCATATACACACAACACAGCGCTTTGAGCTCCTCCAAGATGCCTGGTAGTAGGAGTAGGAGTCCAGTCCCAAGGAGCCTGAACGAGCACCACATTTCAGCTTGTCGCCCCTTCGCCTTATTGCTCATGTCCCCCCAGTTCCCTCATGTCCCCACTGCTTTGCCCTAACCTGTCATTTCGTATGGTCTGGTATGTGGTCCTTGACCCCCCCTCCCTTTCCCTACCCCCAGGCTGCTCGGGAACACGCGCAGCGGATTCTCCGGCCGCTGCTGCGGCATGCGCTCAACGCCTGGCTGGTTTGGTACGACTCCAAGCTGGCTGCCAGGTGTGTGTGTGTTAAAATAACTGGCCGCGTGTGCGTGTGTGTGTGATGGCACGCTGATACGTTGATACCCGTATAGCCGTCTAAACCTGTCCGGTGGTGTGGTTGTCCTCATCCCCTCTCATCCCCTCTCATCACCGCACCCCCATCCGCATGCGTTCCCGCGCTTGCATCATGTAGGGCTCGTATCGAGGGGGCTCGACAGCAGCTGCAGCGGCGCGAGGCTGCGCGGGTGCTCCATGCATGGCGCTGCCTGGTGCTGCAGCGGCAGAGCCTCCTGGCAGCATGCAAGCAGATCCAGAGGTGAGATCCAAATCCAGATCCCCGCAGACTGCTTTTACGGGTTATACCTGCATTTTGCCTCTTGCGATGACAGTTACACGCGTGCAGTAGTTCTTATGCGTTTATTGATATTATTTACCTTTATTAAACTCCCCCGCTTTTACCTTGCACAACCGCTATGACAACAACCGCTATGACGACAACCGCTCCTAGGAACGAGGAGGCGCGGCTGCTGTGTGAGTCCCTGCTGGCCTGGCACCGCCAACACACCAACATGCGGAGGGCGCGTGAGGTGCACCGGGCAGTGCAGCGGGGGGCCGTGGGGCGCTGCTTCCGCTGCTGGAAGGTAGGGTGGGGGGTGTGGGGTGGCGACAGGAGGAGGGGGGTACTGTAGGTAGGAGGTGGGCTGGCGACATGGGGGGGGACTGTCGGAGTTGTTTGTAGGTTTGGGAGGTGCACTCGACGGGCTGGCAGGACTGGGCGGGTCGACCCTGCCCCTGGAAGGCATGGCTTACCGGTTTATTAGGTTTGTGGGGTTTGTGAGGCCGAGGCTCACCGCAGCCCCAGCGCCCCACCGAGAGCGCCAACACACCCCCTTCGACCGTTGGCTCAATTGTACATAACTCATGTTCAATCATCAACGCCCCCATGCTTCTCACCTCACACTCCCCCCCCCGCAGGCCGTGGGGGAGGTCCGCCGGTCTCACGCCCAGTGGTGCGCCCACCGACTGCACCTGGCAGCGGCGCAGCGCACCCGGCGGGCGCTGCTGGCGTGGCAGCTGGTGGCGGCTATCCGGGCGGATCGGGAGAAGCTGGTGCAGGCCAGGTGGGGGCGTGCGGATTGGGGGTTGTGGGTTAGGCGCGATGTTGGGTGCATGACGCATGAGGAAGGGTGGTGGTTAGGGTGGTAGTAGGGCGCACTTGCTACTGCATTTAGCAGAAGGGAGGTTTGAGCGCAACCGGGATACTGCGTTTAAGCCTGTCAGCCAAAATTGATTGCATAAGGTTACTTTGCTTCCCGCTTGCCGCCCCCTTCCCTGGCCGACGTTGCCATTACTACCCTCCTTCCCCGCACAGCCTCTACACGCGTCGCCGACGCCTTGTGTGCTCCGTCCTGCGCGCGTGGAACGAGCGGGTGATGAGCTGCGTGGGCAAGCGCATGCAGCTGCTGTCGGCGCTGATGCACAGGGAACAGGGTGAGCGCGGTTGGATGGGGGCTTGCGAACCGCCCATGGGCTTGCGACCCATGGGTCATACGGACGGGCCTTTACATGCGTCTGGATGCAAGCTGCGCAGCGTTGATGATGCATACCGCCGGTAGTGCGCATTTCTGCTACACCCCTCTCCGCCTCATTCCCCGATTGTTTTGCCCTAATTCGTGGTCTCATATGCTTTCGTCTCTTCTTTTACCCCCCCACCCCCACCCCCCCCCTCCACCCCGGCCCTCATGCAGCCTTGAAGTCCTGCGCATGGCGCACCTGGGCAGCTCGTCTCGCCGCCTCCCGCGCCAAGGCCAGCAGCTTCGCAGCAGCCGCCCGCCACTACCGCACCCGCCGACTGGCACTGTGTTTCGGCACGCTGCTGTCGAGCTGGAGGGACTACCGCAGCCGGCTGGCGCGGGCGCTGAGCTACGTGGCCATTCGGAGCGACCTGCGGAAGGCGGAGGTGCTGCATGAGTGGCGGGCGCTGCTGGGGTGGCTGCGCTGGAAGAATGACATGCACCGCAGGTGGGGTGTGCATGTGTACCGGTATGCATGCCTGCATGGCATGAGGAAAACGTCGTCCCTGTTCTCGCCTTAATCCGGCTCCATCATGGGACACACAACTCCCTTGCATGCCTGCGGCTGCTTTCCCGTCCTGATGCCATGAGCTATTGTACCGGTGTTACCTTAACTCCCACTTATTGCACGACTACACTTACCAAAGGGTAGTAACGTAACTTCGCATCACCACCACCACCGCCACTTCACACCCCAGGGCTCGCAACCACTACCGCCGGCGGTTGCTGGCCAGTGCGCTGTACGGCTGGTTCTACCTCACGCAGCACCTGTTGGACGGCAGGCGGGCGGAGGAGGTGGCGGGCGCGCACTGGGGGCGCAGGCAGCGGCTCGCGGTGCTGGCGGGGTGGCGGACATGGGCTGCATGGAGGCGGGGGCTGAGGGAGCGGGGCGAGGGGTGTGCGCGGGCGCGGGCGAGGCGCGTCAAGGAGTGGGGGTTGCTGGCGTTCAGGTGAGGGAGGAGGGCAGGGGATGGCGGGGGGGTGGCCAGGTAGGTATGTAGCTGCCATGCATGGAGGAAGCAGGAAGTTGCAGGCGGCATCGCGTGCTGTGTACTGTCCTAGCAATACGTGTGACCAACTGACCATGTGGGGCCACCACCAACTGACACCCCCACCCAACCCACACACAGGGCCAATGTGGTCCGCAAAGCACGCATCGCGGGTGCGGAGGCGCACCGCCTGCGCTACCTGGCCCGCCTGGCGCTGTCAGGGTGGCTGCTGCGGACGCTGCTGGCTGCGGACTGGCTGCAGGCGCTGCGGGGCGTCGCCAAGCAGGTGTGCGTGCTTGCACTGTGCGGCTGCTGCTGACCCATGGGTCACACAAAGTGTGCTGCTCCTCCCACCCACCCTCCCCGCCGGTGTTCTGTTCCCATGTGCCTCCCCCCCCCTCCCCCCCCCTCCCCCCCCTCCCCCCCCCTACCCCCCCTACCCCCCCTACCCCCCCCTCCCCCCCCCTACCCCCCCCTCCCCCCCAACACGTCAGCTCCTGCTACAGCTGGCGTCCGACGCATGGGCCGCCTGGCACGAGGTGCTCGCCCACCGTCGCCACAAGCGCCGCATGCTGCATGCAGCGCTGCGCTACTGGCGCCTCAGCCGCCTGCGAGCCGCGTTGGACTGCCTGAGGTGGGCTGTGGTGCGGACGCAGCTGAAGAGCGCGGCTGCGTTGAGGGGCCGCAGGAGCACCGCGGGGCGGGCGTTGAGGGTGAGTGGCATTGGCGTTTGCGTTCAATCCGTTTGCGTTCAGTTGCTGCGGTAAAGTTGAGCGGTAATGGGGCCTACCGTGTAGGGCCGTGCAGCATCCTTGAGCGAGGTTAGCTCCCCGGTGTGACTCCTGCTGTTCGCCCCGCCGCCTCCTGAGGCAGCCATTACAATGGGGCTCAGCGGGGCTACCAACTCCCTTTTTGGTTTGTTTGTGCCCCCTAGCTTTTTCCGCTGAGTGATCCTGATCCCAGGATCATGAGAGTGACACCCCCCTCCCTCCTCTCCCTCCTCTCCTCTCCCTCCTCTCCCTCCTCTCCCTCCTCTCCTCTCCCTCCTCTCCCTCTCCCTCCTCTCCCTCTCCCTCCTTGCGCAGGCGTGGCTGCACGAGGTGTATGTGCGGCAGCACCTCCGCTACCGCTACTCACTGCTGGTGGAGGCCACGGAGAGAGCGGTAGGGTGTCCTGTGTGAGGGAGGATGCTGCGGGGTGGTGCTTGCAACGGGGAAACATATGTGTGGGAGCTGCAGGGTGATTGCAACGGGGAAACATGTGTGTGGGCGGAGAAACATATGCGGACGTAGCAGAGGAGCCTGTGTGGACGTGTCGGCGGAGGAACCTAGCTGCCAGCGTGTGAGGGGACGTTGGAATGAGGAAGTCCAGTCCTCGTCCAGTCCAAACGGGGCATGCTAACATTGGACACGTGTACACCATCCACGTTGCCCCCACCCCACACATGCAGGCTACCCACCCTCTTTAGTTTCATGACATAAACCTGCTTCCCCCTATCCCCATTGCTTTGCCCTAACCTGTGGTTTCCTATGGTTTGTCATTCCTCCTTTCCCCCACCCCCACCCACCCACACATGCAGACGCTACGTCGAGGCCTGGCCGGCTGGCGTGCCTTCCTGGAGTACCGCGCAGCTCGGCGCCATGTGCAGCTGCTAGCGGCGCACCACCACCTGCGCGCCCTCGCACGCAGGGGGCTGCGCGCCTGGAGGGAGCACCTGGGCCACCTGCAGCGGGCGGAGGAGGTGAGCGCGCGTGTGCGTGGCCTTGCTCGTTTACTCACACTCCCGTCTCATTTACACACCATGCGCCACCATGTGTGTATACAGCGTGTAGCCGTGTTGCATGCTAAATACACACATGCCGTACACACCCGCAAAGCTGTGCTCTCCTGCTCCCTCTCTCCCTCCTGACGCGCATGGCACGCAACCCACCAGGGTATCGCACCCCTCCCCACGCAACCCTCCCTTACGCCCCCTTCCCCCCCTTCCCACCCCCGTTCCCCCCTTCACAGCACATCCAGCATGTCATTCTCCGCCGCCAGCACCAGCGTGACGCCCGGGCGGTGCTGGAGGGCCTGCGCCGCCACGTGGCCCACCGCCACGCCAAGCGAGCTGCGGAGGCGCACTGGGGGCGAGCTGCCGCGCTGCGCACCTTGCGAGTGTGGAGGAGCTACCTGAAGCTGAGCCGGGCGGTGGGGTTCTGGAGGAGCTACAGGCTGCACGGTAAGGAGGGGGGCGGGCGATTGCGCGGTTGACAGTGCGTGTAGGTGGTATACCGGTATCTGCCCTCCGTTGCAAGGGTACTGGTGTGGACCGGCTCTTGCCTGTGTTGGGGGTCTTCTTGCATAGCAGCCATGATACTGTTGATACGCGGCCAAGACACATGCCTACCCGTGCTTTTTTCAGGTTGTCTTGCGGCCTGGTGCCAGCACGTGCAGCGGGCCAGGGGTCTGCGGGAAGCCGGGGCCCTCTTGGCGGCCTGCTGGGGCAGGCTGCAGGCGGCGGCTGTGGTGGGCGAGTGGCGGGGCTTCGCCGACCGATCGCGGCAGCTCAAAACGGTACGTCTTCTCCCCTGAGCTGAAGCGCTGTCATCATCAGCTCTTCAGGTGCTAGCTGCTTGCTTGTTTGCTTGTTCCTTGATTCCTGCGCGCTACCGCTCAGGCACAACCCTACAATCTACAACCCTCCTTCTCTTCCCTCCCTCAGATCGCCCTCCATCTGTCCTCCCGCACCCGCCGCACCCTCCTCACCGCCATCCTACGATCCTGGCACTCCCACGCCGCCCTCCGCGCCCGCCACACCGCCCTCCTCACCACCCACCTCGCCCGCAAACACACCGCCCTGCTTCACGCCAGCCTGCTTGCATGGCGTCTGGCGGCTGGCCGGCTGCGCTCCCTCACCCGGATCTCCGCCCTCATCCGCACCCGCAACCAGAGCTCCAACCTGCGCTCGGTCCTAGCCTCCTGGCACACCCATGCGACCTACACGGCACGTCTGAAGGCCGCCTCCGCGCACCTATCCGACCGCCGCCGCAGCTGCTTGTTGGGTGGAATGCTGGTCGCATGGCGGTCGTGGGCCTCCCACACCGCAGCCCTGCGGTCCGCTTCCACCCAGCTGTCAACCCGGGTTCGACAGCACACCCTGGGGGCTGTCTTCCCCTCCTGGCAGGCCTACGCAACCCGTCGAGCGCACCTCCGAGCGGTTTCGGAGCGGCTCTCCAGCCGGGTCCGCAGGGACATGGTTTCGGAGGCGCTTGGCGGCTGGCGTTGGTTTGCGGGGCGGGCGAGGAGGCTGCGGGCTGCTGAGGCGGAGGTGTCGGGCCGGCGGCGGAGGGAGGTGTTGGAGGGGGTGTGGGCTACATGGCGGAGCTTCGCGACACAGCTGCTGGCGCTGCAGGGGCTGTTGGAACGGGTGCTGGTACGCAGCTGTGCGCTGGCCTTTTTTGGATGGAGGTGAGGGATGCGTGTGGGAGGGAAGGAGGGACTGGGTTCCTTGACGGGACTGTGTCATTGTTGACGTGTTGTGACATTGCTGACGTGTGCTGTTCCGTTGTTCCCCGCCCCGCAGGGAGGTGGTTGCGGAGTCCAAGCAGCTGCGGGCGGCGGAAGCGAGCATCAAGGAACGCGTCGCGCAGAAGCCTGAATTGGGCGAGACAGCGACCTACGCCGTCACAAGGTGCGGTGCACTGCCCTGGAGCTGGTTCGCTGACCCATGGGTCACATGGGCAACTCAAAACGTCCACAACCGCATATACCTCTTCAATTATCCTCAACTGCTTGATCTCATAGTCCAAAGCTGGCTTGGTGTCATCTACCGGTATGCAGTAGAACATGTAGACACGATGGGCGCCGCACCCCCGTTCATCATATGCGGAAACCCCAACCTTTCTTTACCCCCGCTCACCCCCTTGCGCATGCAGGCTCCGCCACTGGCCGCTGTCCCTGGCCTTCTACACCTGGTACGACAGCGCCCGGGAGCGCCGCTACCTGCGCACCAAGACCGCGCAGGCGGTCTACTTGTACGCGGGTGGGTGCCTCCTTTCGTATGTCTCCCTGCGTTCCGTTGCGTTCCTGTGAGTGGGTGGGTGAGTGGGCGGTGCAGCTGGTGGTTGCAGCTGTGTTGGTTCCCTGCTTCCCTCGGGTTACCGGTATGCTGGGTAGCGTCGTCAGGGCCAGCCAAGGGTAGCAGCATGGAGTGTCCTCCGCCTCCACAAGACCAGAACAACCTGCGGCCTCCCTCCTGCGCTGCATTGAACCCCCCGCCTGCCCACCTCTCCCACCTCCCCCCCCTCCCCCCCCCAGGCTGCCTGCTCCACAAGTCCTGGGCCACCTGGCTGGCATACACGCTGCAGCACCGCCACCTGCGCAGGAAGCTGCTGAGGGCCCGGGCGGCTGCTGCAGCCAACACCGCACGAACCGTGCTGGGCGAGTGAGTGCCCCTTTGGAGGGGGGGCGGTTGGTTGGTTGGTCCGTTGGTGCGCGGTTGTTGGGTCGGTACATCCACACCATCCACACTACCCACATCCACATCAAGTGGAGCTTGTCACCCGGCGATGGGGTGCACGTCTGTGTGATGTCCTGGTGGGACACTGACATGCTGGCGCCCCCTGCATGCAACCCATGCACCCCTGCAAGCACCCATGCACCCCTGCATTTCCCATGCACCCCCGCATGCAACCCCTTACTCCCCTGCCGTACCCAGGTGGCACTGCTGGGCCCGCTACCGGGGTCAGCTGCGGCGGTGCGGGCGGCAGGTGCAGCAGCGGGTGAGCTGCAGGCGGCAGCGGGAGGTGCTGGCCGCGTGGAGGAGTACGACGCTGCTGTGGATGCGGCTGAAGGGCGTCCTGGCGCGGGTTCTGGACCGGCAGATGTGGGAGGCGTGGGGCGCCTGGTGGGAGGCGGTGCTGGAGGCAAGGGAGCGGGAAAAGGTAGGTGGTGAAGCGGGGGACACATGTGCGACTCATCTCAATCCCGCAATGCAGCCTATTTGCGGAATATGTACCGGTATCCCTGATTAAAAACCATCTCCCTCCCTTAACCCCACCAGGCCGTCCAAGCCCTCTCCTCCCGCTGGCTCCTCCGCGACCTGTCCGCCTGCTTCGCCGCCTGGTTCCTCACAGCCGCCCGCCGCACCGCCGCACGCCGCCTGGCCTCACGCGCCATGCACCGCAGCCTGCAGTCCGCATGGCAGACCTGGCAGGCGGAGGTGTGGGGGGCGGCGGTGGAGCGGGGGGCGGCGGTGCATGCGGAGAGGCTGCTGCGGCGGTGCTGGGGCGGGTGGTGGTGGGAGGTGGAGCAGGGGCGGAGGGCGGCGGCGGTGGTGGAGGGGCTGCGGCAGCGGTGCATGGTGCAGGTATGGTTCATGTTTGGCACGTGGTCTGGTTGCCTGCTGTCTTCTTTGTTTGCCATTCCTCTCGCATCCAGGTTTTCCTTGCCAAGTGTGTTCCCTGCTCTCGTCTGTTTCCTCCTCTTGTCGTCATCTCACACAGGCTCTAGAGGAGCTCCGGTTGCAGCATGTTGGTGCCTGTCTTCCACCTCTCTTGTCATCAGTTGCAATCCAACCCACCCAATCCAACCCACCCAATCCAACCCACCCAATCCAACCACACACACTCATGCGCGCGCATCTCACGCAGGCTCTGGAGGAGCTCCGGTTGCAGCGGGTAGCCCGTGTTGCCTGCCGGCGCCTCTACGCCCGCCGCGCGCTCCTAGGCTGGGCGGGGCGGGCCGCGGAGCTGCGGGCCACGCGGGCGGCGCTGTGGCGGGCGGGGCAGGTGCTGTCGTACGGGCGACTGGTGCGGTGCTTCAGCGCCTGGTGGCGACATGCGCAGGTACGAGGGGTTGGGGTGGGGTGGTGGGTTGAGGACTGTTGGGGATAACTGGCCGTGTATGCGTGTGTGGGGTCAATGACCATACCAGACCTTAGGAAAACAGCATGCTTTGTAGCCTCCTACCTCCCGCCTCCCCCCCACCTGCCTCCTGCCCCCCCCCCCCCCACACACACATGCCTCCTGCCCCCGCCCCTGCACCTCCCCCCCCCAGGCCATGTCCATCAAGCGCGCCGTGTTCATCCGCAAGCAGCGCGCGCTGGCGGAGGCGCTGCGGCGGGGCGACCAGCTGGCGGCGCGGCGGGCGGGGCAGCTGGCGGAGCTGGCGTTCAGGGGCTGGAGGAGGAGGGTGGGTAGCGGCAGGGGCAGGGGGGGGATGAGGGTGGGTCCTTGGCAGGGGGAGGGAGGAACTGGGGAGGGCGATTCAGGGGCTGGAGAGGAGGAGGAGGGTGGGTACTGGGTCTACTGGACAGGAGGGAGCTGAGTACTTACACGGTCTGCTGCTGCTAGAGCGATGCCTCCGTGTACCATCGTGCACTACACCAACAGCCACTTCTGAGCCACGGAACTAACACCGACCTCATGCGCCCTATCCCTATCCCTGCCTCTCTGCATCCCTCGCTGCTGCGGTTGCCGCCGTCCCTCGCTGCAGGCGGTGCTGTGCCGGCAGGTGGCGGCCCGGGTGCGGGCGCTGCAGGGGCGGCTGCTGGCGGAGGTGTTGGCGGACTGGCGGGGAGTGGCAGCCGTGCGGAGGGCCCGAGCGCGGAAACAGGTGAGAGCTGCGTTGTTAAGCCGTGCTGCACGACAGTGACGGCCAGGGTTCCTCCCTGGATTCATGTTCATGCTCCGCTAACCCAACCGTTGTCCCCCGTCCTAACCCCACTCCAACGTGCGTGCATACCCTGCATAGGCCGCCGTGGTTCGCCACCGCCTGCTCTCCCGTCCCCTCCTCGCCTGGCGCACCGCCGTCCTCCGCTCCCGAGCCCACACCGCCGCCCAGACCGCCGCCGCCGCCTCCCACCGCCGCACCACCCTCCTTGACACCGCCCTGACCGCCTGGATGGATCACCACGCAGCCGTGGCGCAGCAGCGAACCGGCCTGAGGCGGGCGCTGGCGGTTGGACGAGCCGTCGCGGCGGCGGAGCTCAAGGCGCGTGCATGGGAGGCTTGGGGCGCATGTGTGGTTCGGCGAAGGGAGGTGGCGGGGTTGGCGGAGCAGGCGGCGGAGCGACGGCGGTTGAAGGTGCTGGGCGGCGCGTTTGACGTGTGGTTGCAGTACGTGCGGGCGATGCGGGAGGGCGGGATCGATCCGGGGTCGCCCTTCCTGACGCCGCGGCAGCGGGGCAGCGAGCGGCGGCTGGTGACGCGGATGGCGGCGATGGCGGGGAATGAGCAGGTGGGGTGGGGGAGGGAATGAGGAGGGAGCGGGTGGGAGGGTGTATTTGTGTGCCGTTCTAGTATGTCGTACACATGGCTGGCAGGTTCACCTTGTGTTGGGCATGCGTAAGCACAAAGAGCATTGAACACGCACTCCCAAAACCCACACAGGCGCTAGAGGAGGCCGAGGAAGGATCCCCCTTCTTCTCCTCCGCCGCCACCGCCACCGCCACCACTAGCGGGCTGCTGGACGGCCTCTACCCCTCCACCGCTCTGCGACTCGCGCAGGAGCGGCGCATGGAGGTGGCGGCGTTCCTCTCCGCAGCACGAGGAGGAGCAGGGGGAGCAGCAGGAGGTGTAGCTGGGTCCCGTACTGCTGCCGGTGCTGGTGGTGCTGGTGGTGGTGGTGCGGGTCGCGCCTTCAGCAGCGCCGTACCGATGGGACGTCACCGCAGTCAGGGAGCAGTGGCTGCGGCTGCGGTAGAGAAGGAGCGGCTGCAATGGCAGCAGCAGCAGCAGCGGCACAGCTACAGCATGGGCAGTGGGGGCAGCCCCGGCAGCAGCCCCGGCAGCAGCCCCGGCAGCAGCGGCAGCACGGGGGTGTCATCAGGGGCGGGGGGGGCGGACCTGGCGGAACGAGCGCTGCATGTAGTGCGGGTGAGTGGTGGTGGTGGTGAAGTGGTGGGAGGGACAGGAAGGGGCCTGAGGCCTGGGAAAACGCAATGCACGGTACGCGGTAGCAGCGTAACAGCGTGTGATGTGACTACGTTCCTGTGTGATACCGGTATCGAGGAGGAGGAGGAGGTTGAGGAAGCGTTGGAGCTGGTATTCAAGCACGAAAGTCCTCCCCCCCCCGCAGGCCTCCCCCGGGCTGCTGTCTCCCGGCAAGGGTCGTGGACCCGCGTCGGGCTTCACCCATGTCCCGCCGCCTCCGCCCTCACAGCAGCGGCAGCAGCAGCAGCAGCACATGTCGCTGTCCCTCGCTGCTGCTGCTGCTGCGGGCCACCCCGGCGGCGGCAGTCCCTTCAGTGACAGGTGAGCAGCGCGCAGTGCAGTTATGCAGATGTGTTCCCGTTTGAGCAACACAAGCACTGTCGCTTTTGCCTGCCTCTTTCCTTCCCTCACTTTCCCTCATTCTCCCGTGCTTCAAACTTCCCACCACCATCATCACGTTTCCTGTTGTGTCTCATCTCTCCCGCACACACAGGTTGGATCTGCGAGCGCTCTACGCCACTGCCGCAGCAGCAGCCGCACCTCCTCCTCCCACGGCAGCCCAAGCCCCAGCAGCAGCAGCACCCCACCCGCACCACCCGCACCCCTTCTCTGGCTTCTCCTCCAGCCACCACCCGCCCGCCCCCAGCCCCGTGCTGCTGCCCCTGCCGGGACGACCCGCCGCCACTCCGCTCACCGCCTCGGCACCCATCGCACCGCGCCGCATCAACTTCACTCCGGGAGCAGCAGCAGGAGGAGCAGGAGGAGGGGCAGGAGGCCGCAGCAACAGCGGTAACAGCACCGCCCCCGTCCCCGCCTCGACCCTCGGCGGCTCATACTATAGCACTCCGCAACAACACCCGCAGTATCACCCTCACCCGCAGTATCACCACCACCAGCAGCAGCATCAGCAGCAGCATCAAAGCTCCTCCGTGCATGCGGATCATCATCATCACCATGAGGACGACGACGCTGCTGCCCTGATGAGCGACTCCAGCAGCGACCTGAGCACCACCAGCAGCGACCTGCTGCCTCCTTCATCCGCGGCTCGGGCTCAGCGGTCCTCCTCCGTTGCTCGCTCGACAAGAGGAGCAGCTCGATTATCATCATCAGCAGCAGCAGCAGGAACAGGAACAGCGACAAGAGGAGGAGGAGTGTTTTTAGACGGCGGCGATGCTAGCGCTAGCGGTGGTGGTGGTGGTTTCGGTTCGCTGCTACGGCAGCGGAGCAGCAGTTTGACGCTGCAGCGCTCTACCTCGGCCAGTCTGGCGGGGTGGCAGCAGGAGCCGGACAGTGGCAGTGGCAGTGGCAGTGGCAGCGGCAGCACTACTCAACATGGGTCGGTGGGGTCAGCCTCCGTGGGGCACCTGACCTCCCGGGGTAGTGGTGGGGGTGTGGGAAGTGGTGCTGGAGAGGGTCAGGGGCAGCAGCGGGCGGCGCGTGGGGTGGGGGTGGGGTTCATTGGAAGGCCGCTTGCAAGGCAGTCGGGAGGGGGAGGTGGGGGAGGAGCGGTAGGTGGGTCTATACTTGACCGGCGGTCTGGGGGTGTCGCACGGTGATAGTGGCACGCGACGCGTTGCGGCTGTTGTGATGACCGTTGCGGGGGCTGAGGGAGGGCGCATGCAGGGCGTGCGTCCTGGGATTTTTCTTCATACTTGATGAAAGGGGTACCGGAATATCATAGCAGAACAACACACCCATGGCTACCGACAAAAGAAAGACAGCAGACAAGGAGGGGCTGCTGGGTGACCTGATGACTTGATGACATGAGAGACTGTGCAGCAGAGCCAGCCGGGGCAATGGTGTGCGAACTCTACCGTAACAGCGCGTGTTGTGTTGTGTGTGGGAAGGCGCGCACTGCTGCATTTCAGCGGTGTGCGCGTGAATGAACGAATGCTACATGACGGTTACAGTAGTTCCCCAAAAGGGAACACGGGTACGCATGCGTGTGCGTGTGCGTGTGCGTGTGCATGCGTTTGTATGGTGAACCATACAGCCCCCTTGTATGCGGCCTTGTGATCACGGGGGGGCCTGCAGCACACTGCCACTTGATAAGGCGGGCGTTCAAATGTGTGCCCCGGAGTGAGATTAGGGTAGGTGGGGTGCCGTACGCCAACGTTTTCTTACATGGTTACGGCAGGGTTACTGAATGCATGTTTTGTTTAGTTGTGTGGCGGTTGGGGGCGCTGTGCGGGCAGCATGCGTCGCAGCACAGCCATCTTTTGCCTCGTCAACCGACCACCCTGACCCCTCTTTTGACAACTAGAAGAGGTACGGCGGATTCTCGCAATCGAGGCCGCCGGACGCCCCAGACAAGGCAAGACCGTACAATCGTATGGATCCTGACATTCACGCAACTAGATTTCCAGATTTGAATGTGTAGCGATTACATGATGTACCGGTAATTGATGTGTTTTTTGACGCAATGACTGCAGACGTTTGTAGGCGAGAACAGTGACACAATGCACATGAATCCAGTCTAGGATGGCAACGGCTTGTGGTCCGTCAGTTGTAATCCATCAATTTTGATGCCGCCTGCTCTTTGTATACGCGCCATAAACGCGGCACCGCATGCGACACCACCGCTCTGTCTGCCGCATCAAAGCCCACCACCGCAGCACCCACCGTGCTTTCTCTTCTTGGAAGGACACAACGGTGGTGGTCATTCATTCATTCATTCATGCATGCAACATTCAACAACAACAGCATCAACGCAACCCCCGCCTGCAGCCTGCCCCTTCATCCTGCATGACACTTATCCATCCTTGCGTCCGTCTGTCATCCACTGCTCTTATGCACCGGCCGCCCACCTAAAACCCTTCGATCGATCGATGAGGCTGGCAATGTGGCCGTCAGCTGTTGCCAATTCAGGCACCCTCATGCGTTCATTCAGGCCCCTCCTGTGCCTTGACGACGCTCCTCTCTCACCCATGACGTAACGACGTTGCATACCGGTGTGATAACCCCCGCGCCGTGTGTAAACCCTCGCGACGTAAAAACCCCTTTCGACGTGTGTAAACCCTCGCGACCTAAACAGATGTGGTTGCGGATGTAGCTGACGTCCAAAGTCCAGCTATGTGTGTATGTTCCTCACGTGATCCCACTCGCTCACATGATGACCAGCGGTCGAGAGGACCAGCCGTACTCGCCCTTGTGTCTGTCGTACAGCGCTTGCAGCTCCTCCATGAAGCGCCGGTGGGTGTCGTTGACAACCTCCTCAAACTGCGGGGCCGGCGGGTAGCGGAGGGCGGTTGGCGGTTGGGGGGGCAGTTGAGGCCGTTGTTAGTCCGTCAGTCGAAAACCAGGAATGGCAGCGCAGTGCGGGATAGGATAGTGCTCACCAAGGCGTTGCTGTCCTACGTATCCAAAGCACAAAGCACCTTGTCTCCTTCCAACCTGCCGATTGATGGCACATCTCAACCCTCTCGCCCAGGCAAAAACACATGCACGTGCAACCACACCGCCCCAACTGACCCGTGGGTCATCCCGGGCCGTCCGCGTCACCGCCACCGCCCGACCGCACACCATGAAGATGGGTCGCCGCCGCGGCAGTGGCAGCCAGCCTTCGCCGTACAGGAACCCCAGTGCAGCGCGCAGGGAGCGACCCATGGGTTGGAGCGCCTGAGGGCCGAAGTCCAGGACCTGTTGGGTGGGAGGTGGGTGGTGGTAGGTGGGAGGAGGGCGGGGTGTTGGGCAGGGTGTTTGGGAATGATGGAGGGAAGGGGAAACAGGGCAGCGGAAAGAGTACGGTTTAAGTGTATAGTTGTTAGCGTTAAGACGTTGCTGACGTCTGTTTCTCATTTCCCAGTTCCCCCTTCCCGTTTCCCAGGGCCGCAGGGCGCCAGCAGGGCGCACACCCGGGGCCACATCCCCCTCTCTTGGAAACCCGAGCCAACACTAGGAATGCCCCTTTTTCAAACCTCAATGTAGCCTTATTTAAATCCTCTTTACTAAAACAAAACCCACCAATGAGTTCCCGTAGTGGAACACCGGCACGATGCCTCCGTCCACCCCCTCCTCCACCGCCACGCGCACGAACCCCTTGCGGTCTCGGAGCACCACCTTGAGGGAGCGGGGGGCGAATGAGCAGGCGGAGGCATGCCAAAAACGTATGGTACCGGTAATTCACACTCGGCTGGTTACGCGTCCCGGACTACCAGGAAGTATTGGGTTACCTTATTTAGATGGCTGGGAACGAGGCTCACGTGCCGCCTCATGTCCGACTCTTCACCACCCCCGCCCCCCACCCGCCTCCCCACCCTCCCGCCCCCACCTGTTCCTTGCTGTGGTCTCCTGCCAGGTACATCTCCGCGATTCCACCCACGATGACCGCCACACTCCCCCTCCGCAGCATGCGTTTGAAGGCCGTGGTGGTGGCGGGCACGGAGCCCAACCAGGCCATGAAGTGGCGCCAGAAGGGCACGTAGAACACCTTGGGGAAGAGGCGGGGAGAGGGCAGCGGAGGAGGGATGAGAAGAGGAGGGCGGAGCGGAGGAGGAGATGGAGCAAGAGCGAAGAAAGCGGGTGTCAGTCAGGCAGTGAGGGAGAGTAGGAGGAGGAGAAAGAGGAGGAGGAGGTGGGCAACACAGGCAGAAGCTGCCGGAAAAACCTAAAAACCCTAAAACCGAAGTCCTAACAGGCACCCCACCGAGTTGGCTGCCAGGCCGTAGATGTGGAATCCCGGGAACATGGACTGGCACTCCGTGGCGCCCAGCAGCGGACCCATGGGGAACACACCTGCAGCGTGCGGGTTTGGGGGGGGGAGGGGGAGAGGTGGAGGGAGGGGGAGAGGGGGCAAGGGATAGGTAGGAATTCATGGTGCACTGTGGGGCGGGGCAGATGATGCAGGGCGCATGCGTTACCAATACCGCACCTAGCCGCCAATGCTGCCATCAGCTTTGGGTCCCGGTCCCCACACAGACACATACATGCCACCGAGCACCCTCCCCAGTCCGTTTTGCTACCTCCCCGTCTCCAATCCCCACCCTCCACCTCCTACACCTCCTCGCACCATGCGGGAACCTGCAAGAAGGGAAGGAGGGAGGGGAGCGGGTGGGCAACAGCACCCGCAGACCGTCCAGCTGATGGCAGCAGCAGCAGCAGGGGGCAGGAATGCCGTACTCTGTTTGATTTTACTCTGTCCGATACACTCTGGTCAAAAAGCGGCAAGCGTGTCCCCTTAACATGCTCGTACTCCCAGCACCCCCAGTTGCAGCTGCAGTAAGGAAGCGCACTCACTCGGCGAAAACGTACTTCTTGTGCGGGTCCAGCACCTCGTCGAACAGGTAGCTGAAGGAGAAATACCTGCCAGAATTTGGAGGAGGAGAAGGTCAGGCGAAAGAGGAGGGGAGTGAGTTGATTAGGAAGGAGGATGGGACGTGGGAGGCTGTTTATGGTTGTGTCTTTCGAACATCGAGGGATGGAGGAGGATGGATGGGATGGTGGCGGAGGCGGCTTAAAGTTGCAATTCGGGGCAGTATAATATCAAATCCTTAATCATAGCAGCGGAAGAGAACAGATAAATGCAGATAGTAGGACTCACGACCCGAACGCATCGATGCTCGCTCCTGCAACATCCGTTAGGTCAACCGCTTGTTGCGGCAGATACTCACTCGCGCCATGTCTGGAACACCCAGGATCGCAAAAATGCGCCCCACAGAACCGGCTTGGGCGGCAGCAGCAATGTCGTGTAGAGTGCGAGCACTGTGATGAGCGCCCACTTGTAGCCACAAAGCGACAGGATGGTGAGCATCAGCATAATGTGAATCCAGCCGGTGTAGATGAAGAGGGTAACCACGGCCACAAACCAGCTTATGGCGGATTGCTTGAAGCGAGGATGCATGCCATCGCTCCAAATCCGGACGCTTACAGGCTGCTTGTCAAGAGCCATGGTTCAACCAGACCCTAAAATGAAAGCTTCCTGAAAAGATGGATAACTAATTCCAAGCTGGCCTGGGAGGCGTTTAAGAAGGTCCGGTCACTCGCATTTACAATCTCTCGCAGGGTAGTCCGTAAGACGTTTCTCCTATGCGATGTATCATTGAACCCGGCCTGTTCAGGTGAGCGTTCACAAGGTGGCGCCGCTAGTTTCCAGGCACGGGCGTTTGGCGAAAGACATACGAGGTACGGTGACAAGCGAACGATGGATGCGAATCGACTTACCGAGCGAGCAAGTTGTAAGGATCCTTAAAGCGCCTGAATGCTTTTCGCATAGCTGTCATTATATATACCTACTACCTGCACCTTACGACAGAACGCGCGAGAGGAAGGCGTGAAGTCGTACAGGCGACGCACGTTATTCCGAACGATGATAACAACTCCCGGCGTTCATAAACTGTCGCTACACAGCTCGGCAGCTGTGTAATTCACTGCTGCGGGGCGAGCCTTGCCTTCCTTCCTTGCCGAGCGCCACCGCCGCACACGC